GCTGTAATCGTCTTATCATTATGGAGTAGATCCAAGATTCACTATAGTATTTCTTACAGAAATACCTGTCTGCTTTGGATTACTTTTCTTCATTTCTCAATACAATTTGAAATAACCACCTAATTTCGATGCATTTCTATATAATACAGAGTCTCTACATTGTGTGTGTTTGCTTTATTTCTTGCTAATTCCCCTGTTTTCTATGTTAATCTGCATCTTAAATGATGCCCTTTGTGATATTTTACATATGGGTTTAGAATCTCCATGGTCACAACATGCTTCAGTTGCAATCCAATGAGACTGATAACGAATGTATCCAGGTAAAATTTAATCGCTTCCAGAAAGGCATCCTTCTTTTCGTTCCAAGAAAAATTGGGCCCTGTAACCATAAAAATGGTAAAACACAAAAATATAATCAAAGAAGGTATGTACAGTTTGGTGTTCGGCTTTTAACCAGCCATTTTATTATTTCCAGATTTATTGTTTGTTAGAAATATGATTATGATTAGCCTGAAATACAATACCCTAACGCACAGTTTCTTTCAACACTAAAACAGAGGTGCTAACAAGTATTAATACAAAATGACAACAACTCTAATATGTATCTAAATGCCAAGAAAACAGATTCCTCATTGAATTCTTACTAGAAAACAAAGAAAATATGATTGCATGATGTAGTGAAGCAGGGTCAGACAGGTTGTTATTAACATGGAAATGTTACACTTTGACACCTGGCTAGGTGAAACACTAGGTAGTCTTCTTTTTGGAAAATCGGTGTTGTGTACAGTTCTTTGTCTTGTTAATTTCATTATTCTCTCCATCTATTGCTTTGGGGGGGGGCTACTTAATATAAGCTTGATTGTTCTGTCTGTATGTTTCATTTGTATGATAACGCATTTTGAGACTTGATGCAATGGTCTATCATACAAATGTTTTGTTTTGTCAAGAGGAATACTTATATACTTGTGCTTTCCTGTGCCAGGCTCCAGTCAAAGAATGAGAAACATGACAATGATTTCCAGTAGCTATCAAATTTACCACAGACTAGGCGATAATTTTAGCATTTATAAACTGCAAAAAATGACAGTAAATCAATTTTGACTGGTTAGTAATTCAATTTTGATTGGTCAGTAATATAATTTTGATCAGGACATTTGAAATCCGTATGATGCACCCATTTACTACACTAACAAGAAGTGAAAAGTGTTATGCCTCCAATTTTTTGTAAATGACATCCAGCTTTGGGGAGGGGTCAGCCATAAGATCTATTTTTGGGTTGGTAACCATGACATATATTTCTTCTGTTTGGTAAACCAAATAACAACGTGTGGAAGAGTCGGAAAGTGAAAGAGAAGGGAGAAAGAAATTCCTCTGTCATATTACCCTGCGTGCAGAGTCTAGTTAAACTACACTCTGCCTAGTAGAAACCATATTACATTTTAGTAGCCCCGACCCCACGACGGGTGCCGGTGACAGTTCGGGTAATAAATCACTTCTGACCTACGCGCTGACCTTTCTTCCAACAATCAGCGAGCTTGAAGAAACTCGCGCCAAAATAAATTCTGAATTGTCATTGGTCAATTCTGAGCTTAACAATGACGTCAGAAGGAATGACCATATATAGAACGTCGGTCAAATTTGACCGACGAGCACTGATTGGCGCGGTGAGTTCACAGGTTTATTTTAATTTGAAAGAGTGAAGACGGAGCTCTCTTTTAAGAAGTGAAGTCGAACGAATGCAAAGGGTACTGTCATATGAAACATATTAGTAGATCAAGATAGGCCTAAGGTGAAATACTGTCTTCCCAAAATTTTCCTGTCTTGTTCTTGTCTGGAATATCTGTTATCATAGAGTCATTCAGGTTTCTGTATGAAGAGATTGTTGCTCTTGATGGTCCATAGGGATCAGATCACTAAGAATGCTAATCAATCTTTACTCATCCTTCAGGGAGTCTCTGATCTTCATGTGATATGTTGAAAGGAACTCTGAAAATCTGCTTGATTGTTGCATTTATTTGTGGTATATGTTTAGTCTTGATAATAATTCTGTTTCAGTGTTTTACAAAGGAGAAGTGGATGCAAAATTTTCATTTTTACAATTTAGATCGAAATTGGTTCAATTATGCCCATTTTTATGATGATTCTAATTTTCAAGTTGGTGCAAATAGATGGATACAGGTGTGTTTTTATAATGTCAATTGAGTGCTGTGCCCATTAATGTGTTTGCTATATTTTTGTTAGTCCCTTCTTTTACACTAAATTTTGCATTTCATAACATGACCACCATTGTGAAATTCTTGGTATTGTTCTCTCAATAACTACAACAACGAGATTGAATGCTCTGCATGGAGTATGATTTATTATGAGGTCCATTGGGATCAATCAACACCAATATGGGAATGACTAGTATAGTGCAGAAACGAGGCACTCCTAGATAAAATATTAAGAAGATTGACTTATTTTCCCAGGAAAAAATATAGGAAAGCCCTCCTTCTGTCCGTTTGTCCGTCTGTCTGGGCAATAACTCAAATACTGGTTGATGTATTTGATTCAAATTTTATAATTCTATATGCTGATGCCAAGAGACAAAGAAGTTCTGCTGAATAAGACATTTTCAAGATGGCCACAGAATTTCAAAATGGCCACCATTTTTCGTAAAAAAAATGTAATCATTGATAACTCAAATACCAGTGGATGGATTTGGTTCCAGTTTTATATGTTAATGTCTAAGGAAAAAGATCTGCTTAAGAAGAAATTTCGAAGGCGTCAGCTGAATTTCAAAATGGCTGCAATTTTTCATAAAATAAGTTAATCTTTGATAACTCAAATACCAGTTGACGGGTTTACTTCAAATTTTATATACAGATGCTTAGAGATAAAGGAGCTCTGCTTGAGAAAAAAATATTTCAAGGTGGCTGCTACTTATCGAAATCTCCGCCATTTTTCATTAAACATGTAATCTTTAATAACTCAAGTACCAGTTGACGGATTTGGATTAAATTTTATATGCTGATGCTTTGGGACATAGGAGCTCTGCTAAAGAAGAAATATAAAGATGACAGCTGAATTTCAAAATGGCAATCATGTTTCACAAAAACATAATCTTTGGTAACTCAAATACCAGTGGATGGATTTGGCTCAAATTTTATATGGCCGCTATTTATCAAAACATGTTTTGTTCAGTGGGATTTGCTACTCCGTGGAGTTGCTGTTTTTCTAGTATACTGCTAAATAATATAGCAGAGAAAAAATGGATCAAAGAATTGTGAAATAGTAGTTTATATTGGTATAGGTTGTGAATAATGAAGAAATTTATTCATGATTCTTAAAGCCAAACAATGGATTGTGAACTAGAATATTAGGTTTGGGAATTTTTCCAAGAAGCCATTAGGACTCTCAGTGTGACTATTATCGTAAGGAAAACCATTACTTCTGCAAGGAGATAGCCTCAGTCTAAAATGTCAATTTTACTCATGTTTATTCCACATCATTTCTCACCGAAATTTGAATGAAGTTTCTTGCTATCTTTCATTTCTGTGTGATTATACATGGTGTCATTGTTTATTTATATTTTATTCTATTGTTACCTAGTTTCTCTATTTCCTTTTTATTTTGAGATTTTATTCCTGGCGAGTTGCCTTTGGTTTTGCCTCCATTCTGTCTGAGTAAATAGAGCAAAATGATAAATAACCTTTTGGGGAATCACTGTGGTGATAATGTTTTGAAATGTAAAATAAAGTGAAAATAAAGGAAATAGTGAGAAGTAGATAAAACAGGTATGAAGTACATAATTTCAATTATATAAAAATCTCCAAAAATCGTTTACTTCATTCAAATTTTTGAGAAAAATCAAGCAGAATAAGAAATTAAGCAGACGGTAAATTTACTCACTCTCGATGAGTTATACAATATTAACGGGGTTTAGGATGCACCAAAGTAATCTGGGTCTCGATATTAGACATATACAGTTTTAGAGGCATTCAATGATTTGTCTTCTTTTCAAATTACGGCAGTGCAGTGTATTGCTAGCCTTCCTGACTAAATAAGCCTGATAAATTTCGATTTCCAATGCCATTGTCTCTTTAAATGCCACTACAGTATATTGTCCCTCTCTATGGTGACTTTCTGGATTTTCCTTCCAGTTATATGAGTGACCCATGGCCCATTTTTGGATGTACAGTAAGACCTGTAAAAGTGGAACACTTGTTATAAGTAGAACATAAGTGGATCATGGATAAGATATGTATATGTTCATATGATCGAGTATGATAGAAGTAATTGTCATTGTCAAGGTTATCGAATTGTAGTAGTAAGTTTATCAGCTGTATTCATTTATAAGTATTTTACATATAGTCTGATAGTTTGCATGTCTAGGTAAATGTTTGCTGTTGAAGAAATGCTTGTGCATTTATCATATTATTTGGTTTTGGCGTGTGTAGAAGAAACTACCCAAGTCTATGAGACTGTATGACTAGTATAATGGGAAAAGAGTGATAAAGAATGGAACAACCAATTGGAGACAGAATCAGATCTACCTTTCTGAATAATTTGTTTCCATTTTAAAATATTTTTGGCTTATACCATTCTTTGTCATAACTAATTTCTAAAAATCCCTCCAAAAGTCATCTATCAACGTTGTATATTTTCACTTATTTCAGCATTGACATATATCATCTTTGTATATTTTCAGCAGTTACATATCATCTTTGTATATTTTCAGCATTGATATATCATCTTTGTATATTTTCAACATTGACATATGTCATCTTTGTATATTTTCAACATTGAAATATCATCTTTGTATATTTTCAGCATTGACATATCATCTTTGTATATTTTCAACATTGACATATGTCATCGTTGTATATTTTCAGCATTGACATTTGTCATCTTTGTATATTTTCAGCATAGACATATATCATCTTTGTATATTTTCAGCATTTACATATCATCTTTGTATATTTTCAACATTGACATATGTCATCTTTGTATATTTTCAGCATTGACATATGACTTCATTGTTGACAATCAGCCAATTGGGAAGCTGATGTTCTGTTGTTACTGCAACTCAAAGCCACATTTGCACAATTGCATCTCATTCCTGGATGCTGTGGTAAGTCTTCACCTTTAAGTTCTCTATTATTTCCTCAAGTATAACTACGTACAGAATTCACATTTTCATAGTTTTGCCCCAAATTTTATTTTATTTTGATTGGTTTTCCTCTGACATATATCTTATATTGTACAAACATATTCTATGAAAGTTAGAAACATATTTTGGAAGATTATTATGGGAAACTCCCTCCATAAAGAACCCAAAAGGTTAATTTATATAGTCCCAGTAATGTTCCTTGTCAGGTTCCACATTCTCTACATCTCTGGAAAAAAAGCAGAAGAGGGTTAGATATAGAGACTCTAAAAATCATTATTTTGATGTCCCCTTTTATGTAGACATGTATTAAAACAAGGTGAATGTTTAACAACATGACAGACAGTATAACATGGACTTAGTCATGACTGATAAGATAATGACAATTTTATTGATGGTAAATACTTATAATAACATTTACATTTAAGTACCCTTCTTGTAAAGTGTACATAAGTAAACGTACTGTAAAATAAAACAAAATTGAAAAAATGCAGTTCAAAGTATAGATATATCAGCATAATGCCAGCTTCAATATTATGTCATGGTGCATAGAGGTTGAAATTGAAATCAGTAGAATTGAAAGCTGTCAAGAAGTGTCACTTTTGATGACATATCATATTTCAATCACATAGCTTTGCCACAGAATGCTGAGATTTACTTGTTACTCTTGATGTTCAACATACCCGTAGTATCTGATGACTTGTCATGTCAGTTTAACTTGAGAAAGCGCAAAATACAATACATGGTATAAGAGCATAAATAAAAAAAATGGTAATGTTGAAGAAATTTATCTTGAATTTAACATCATCGACAGGTGATGATGTTAAAGTATTATTTCACATTCCAATTGACACAATTGTGTTTTTTAATTGTTGATTATTAATAGAAACGTCTAAATGGTAGGTTGTGTTTGGATCAGTACATTAGTATAAATTACTCCTTAAATCATTTAGTGAATCTAAAGTTGTAAATTCTCCAGATAGTCATGTTTGAAAATGAGAAGTTGAATGAAAATGGGTGAAAACAATTATGAATTATATAGAAATCTCAAAATGTCAGACTGTAAATCCAAATTTAAATGAGAAAACATACACTTGAATAGTCTAGATGTGAGTAGAAATAATCTTGATTTACGTCATTAAAATTCAGTTCAATTCAGTCAAACTGATATCATATTTGGAATCTACATGTAAAATCACACCTTTATCAACTTTGAAAATTTAATTTTCTTTGAAAATGTGACTTCTAGGTCGGGGAGATTCCCAACAGACCCCATGTTGTAAAACCACAAAAAGTGAAATATCTTTTCTTGTGTTGGGCAGATAATATTTTCTTTCACTGGACATATTTAATTTGGATAACTATCACATACATAAGGGTAATGTGAAAAGTGAACCACTAAAACTGGTGAATATTCAAGTTTAAGGGAATTTTGTAATACCCTGCCATGTTATTTCCCTCGAATCAGCCACCTGGTGGCGAAACTGGTAACTACCTACTCGCATCTGAGTAATCAAGCATGATTGGAAGTTCTTAACACCAATTTGCTTGTAGCATACAACTTATAGGGATGGGCATTTAATTGTTACCACTTAGCTGATTTAGCATTCAGTATACCAGTAAAATAATTTTATGGCAATTACCAAAATCAGAAAACACGCTAAGACAAAAGGCAACATTAAAGAGCACAAAACAGAACAATTCCTTATAAAACATAAAAATCAAATCAACAAGATTTAATAGACTGATATTGCATGTAAGATAATCTTTTATGGATAGCTCATTCATTCTCTCAGGAAAGCAGCTATATATTGATAAAAGCTCTACATCTTGTATTTGCATGTATTAGCATTTAGTATGAATATATTTATTATCGTACCTGAAAAAGGGTAGATGGATAGTGACATCCCACTTTTTGTCTTCCAGACAAACTGTGCTACAGATTGATTTGAAATTTTCAGGGACATTTCAGGGTGAAAACCTAGATAGAATCAATTAGTTCTTAATACATGTACATGTATTTAATTGTATTGCCATTTTTGTTGTTGCAGGAAGAATATGAAATTGCCCAGGATGAGAAAAAATCAGGTCTTGCACAAGAAGTGTTTAACAAATACCTCAGGGACCCAGAGGTGAGTTTACGGTCTCCCCATTTTGTTGTTTGTTGAGAATCCTTTTATTTATATTTCATCTCGTTGCGAACTTTGAAATTATGAAAATTATTTTGACAAGTTTTAGACATTTTCCAGTCAATTTTTAATCTGGGAGCGTAGGGGGAATGTGATTGTCACTGGATTAATGGATGAACGAAACAGTCACAAGAATAAACCTTTGGAATTACCAGATCATATGAGATATTAATAACGCTGCATACTTCCATACCAACGAGCCATTCTACCAGACCCTAATCTCGCATATTATAAATAATTCAACTGATTGATAAGAAGTTTATTTTTTTATTGTGTTCTGGTATGTGCCATGATATGTCTTATCATTCAACATTATTACAGTTTCACTTATGTAACAGTTGTCGTTTTTATCAGATGTTATACCAATAGTTTACGTAAGTACAAATCGAGATTAGTTGAGGTGACTAATATGACAGACATCCTGGATTGAAACTATGATTAAGTCTTAAAATTACATGAAGGATGTAATTTCAAATTACCTTGTTGAATAAAATGAATAATAACATGAATGAATGATTATTTTTGATACTGCAAGACAGGAGAAGTGTCATGGTGTTCTTGTTTTAAAATGACTCAATTGTATTGAAATACAAAAAATTCAAATAAGGTGGTCGTGATTTCAAATGCAAAATATAGTGAAAGGAGAGAAATTAACAAGGAATAAAATAAACAGGCATGTAGTTAACACTCTAAATTATATAGAACTGTTAGAAAATCAGGCAATTCTTTCAAATTTTAGAGAGAAATGGAGTGAAATACGCATGAGCAGAAGGCTAAAACAGAGAAGTTTTAATCATGTTTTTTCTTGTTTTTCAGTTCACTAGTTCATCAGTAACTAACCATCTTAATAGTGATCTAGTCAGCAACTGCAAAGAATTACTTGTATTAAATAGTATAGAAAATAACAATATATTCGAAGAGTGTCGCAAGTAAGTATTCACTTGAGATTGATCGATCTTAAATTAAAGCTTTGTCATACGCCTCTGGTATCCAACTTTTTGATTCCATGTAGATGAATAGACAGACCTTTCTCTCCCCTCCTCTCCCCTTACACCTTTCTCTCCCCTCCTCTCCCCTTACACCTTTCTCTCTAATGCTGCATTGATACAGTCCCCTCATACCCTGACAACCTTCCCCCCCTTGTACACCCTCCCCTCCCCCAGTGCTACTCTGAGTAGGAGGGAAGCGGGGAGGAGGGTACAAGATCTTGGTGCAAGTCAAGGTTCCTTTGTCCCATTTCCTTCAGGTACAATTATTTAGAGGGAGGGGAGAAAATGGAAGATTATTCAAGACAATGGAGAAAACTGTGTACTTTTCACTTAACCTTCTTATTTGTGCTTTAATACAAACATCATTCTTTCAATGAACAAATTACAAACTAATGCACTCCTTAATATTGTAAGTGAATAATGGTTTCGAGGAAATAATGTTTTTTCAGTAGAGTTAATCAATAAAAAATGAATGTGCATACATTTACACGGTTACGCTTTGTAATCAATCTTTTATCACCATCTTTCTAATCAATGTGGTAATATATTTATACCAGACTTGAGGGACCAGATTTGCATTGCATATTATGTGCATTGTATAAATATGTATTTATTTCCAAGATGAGTTCAGAGAGGTGGCCTTATTAAGGCTGCATTTTTATTATATTTATATTTATTTCTGAGATTCAATGGTGTTTGTTTTATTCATGGTTCTGATATGATTTAGATTTGAAAGAAATATATATTTTAACAGTACTTAGGAAAAGAATACCAGTTTTTGGAGATGAGTACATTTATTTGTGTGGTAAATATGATTATTATATTGTATATTGGTCTTCTCGTTTCAGAGTTATAAAACAGTACCTCTCTAAAGAGCCATTCTCAGAGTTTCTTGAAGCACAGTATTTTAAAAGATACCTCCAGTGGAAGTGGCTGGAAGCGTAAGTTAAATATCATTCTATACTATGTCCTTTTGATGCACATTTGTCAGACTTAACCATTGCTAAAATGAACCAAATGTCTCAAAACAATATTGCAGAAATCCCCAGTGGAGCCTTCCAAGGTTGTTATTTCCATAAGAGACTTGGATATTAATCTTAAAGTTATACATTATACTTTTAATAAAATGATAAATCATCATTTTTGTGTAAAAGTTGTGAGAATATGAAGAAATGTTAGTAAGAAACTAGAAAGTACACGGTCTTGACATGTGCAGATAAGCTGATCACATGCCTTTTTTTTTTTCTTTTTTAAAATAGTCTTTATTTCATTCATTTACTAAATATATAGACAGTACATGATTTATAAAAACAGGTTTACATAATCTCATTGCAGTAGTTTGGATAATAAATTCCATTTGGAACAATAATACACATTTTTTCTACAATTAATTTCATATTTTATCATAAAAAGTATCTTTTCAAATGTTCTTTGTTCTTTACTATTCAGTTCTAAAATGTAGGATTTGTAAATGCTGTAAGCAACTATACTTGTAAAATAATTCAGAAAATTAGTTTGAGAGTCTTGGCCATTATAACCAATTATTATTTTTCTATACGAAATATTGAGACCACATGTGTTGTATATAAATTTCCATATATCCTTTGACAAACAACATTCAAAAAGAATATGTTTCAAATCACATAAGTGATTGCAAATACTACAATGATAATAATTTGTTATACCATAGATAAATAAGTCAGTTAACCCAGGAAGTATGTTATTAATTAGTTTGAAATTAAAATTGGCAACTTTTTTGTCTTTAATTTTGATGATCTTGCTAACAAAAAAATTCTGCCAATTTATTTCATCTATTTTACATTGATTTGTTATACAGAAATCTCTTTCCCATTTTTTTGAGACAAACCATTTTTCAGATTTTTTATTCTTCAATATGTTATAAAAGAAATTGGATTTTTGGCCTCTAAAATCTAATTGAACATTTTTTACTTTGAAATTGAGTTTTCTTGATATATTTGTGAAGTTTGCTTGTTCTATGTTAATGATTTTTTTTATTGATTTCATTACAATTGAGACTTGAAAATATTCTGAAATCCAATTTATTTTATTTCTCAATTTTTCTAGAATATAGTTTACATTTAAAAAATCATTTCGAATGATAAGATCTTTGACATAAATAATACCACTATCTATCCAAGATTTAAAGAAAAGTGGTTTGCCTTTTAATTGAAATAATCTGTTATTCCATATGGTTTGCTGGACTATTTCATGGTGTTTCAGATTTTTTATTTCATCAAGATCTTTACAGTTATTGAATGCTTTCAAAACTTGTTTGTAGAAAATAGGTAATCCCTCAAGCTGGTCTTTAGAAAATACATTCATTTTTAACAAAATATCCAAACTTGGAGCAAGTTTGTCAAAATAAAAGTATGGAATTTTGTTAAACATATTGTTTTTGTCGTATATACGGGTAATCCATACAGCTTTAAGAGCATTTAGCTGTGATTCTAAATCTAGCATATTTAGACCCCCATTGTCTATATTGTTTATCATAATAGTTCGCCTAATCTTGTCTTTCTTGCCATTCCATAAAAAGTTGAATATCAAGTTGTTTATTCGCTTTATAATTTCTTCTTTAAAAGATAAAATTGATGCTGAGTAGATAAGTTTTGATGTAGCTAAAGATTTTATAACAGTGATTTTTCCAAATAAGGTAAGGTGTCTTTTTTTCCAAGAATCAAGAATTTTTTCAAGGTCATTTATTTTCTCATTCCAATTTAAATCATAACATTTATCTTCATTGTGACCTATATATATGCCTAAATATCTTACAGGTTCATCTGTAAAATTAATATTTTCAAATTTTTTTTCAAAAGTGCGATTGGTTCCAAGCCATATTCCTTCTGTTTTACTTAAATTTAGTTGAAGTCCCGAATATTTCGAGAATTGTTTTATAGTTTTTAATGCTTCACTTATGGATGCTTTATCTTTGATAAATAATGATGTGTCATCTGCTGATTGTGAAATTTTATATTCTGTGTTATCAATTTCTATACCCTTTATTTTTTTATTTTGAACTATTTTCAAAGACATAACTTCACAGCATAATATGAATGAAATTGCAGAAACGGGGCAGCCCTGCCGACATGAGCGTTCCATTGGAATATTATGTGATAGCCATCCGTTTTGTTTAATGTTAATAAATGGATTTGTATATAATAATTTAAGCCATCTGATGATGTTATCGTTAAAATTGAATTTTTTTAAAGTTTCAAACATGAAGTTCCATTCAATAGAATCAAACGCTTTCGTAAAATCTAAAAATAGAATTGATCCTTGCCCTTTGTCATTATTTTTAAAATACTCAAAAATATCTAACACTAAGCGGCAACTGTTACCAATGTATCTACCATTTATATATGCAGTTTGGTGTAAACTAATAAGTTTCCCAACTACTAACTGTAGCCTGTCTGCAAGTACAAATGCTAGTATTTTATAGTCAGTATTTGATAGACTTATTGGCCTATAATTTTTTAACAATTCTCTATCACCTTTTTTAAATAACAGCGATATGATGATTTTTCTAAATGAGGTTGGCAATGTGCCAGTATAAAAAGATTCATTTATAGCATCTAATACATAATGTTTAATGTCATGCCAAAAATATTTATAAAAGTCTGATGTCAAGCCATCAGAACCTGGCGATTTATCAGATTTCATCTTTTTAATTACAGCTGAGCATTCTGATTCGGTAATTTCGCCTTCTAATAATTTATTATCATTCTCATTAAGTTTTTTGGGAAAATCAACAGAGTCCAAGTAAGCTTTTACTTTATTTGTATTTTGGGCTTTTGAGGAATAAAGTTCGGCTGATCACATGCCTTCTTGCTTAAATGTCAAAACAAAACTTTTGAATTTTGGACTATTTTGAAAGAATATCAGTTTAGTACATGTAGTATGGTTGGGAAAGGTAGACATTATCAAAAGGATGTATCGAATTACAAATTGCATCACGTTTTTAGTGTAAGTACTCTATTATTGGCCGCTGAATTTCTGATGTTACCCTTAATTCACATTTTTTCTTGATATTTCTTGAACTTTGTGGAGCAGGGTAAACACTTATTAGGGAGTGGGCTCTAAATACAGCGATTGTAAATTATTTAATGGTAAATTGAGCCATCAGATCTGTCTTAACTGCCAATAAGTTAATACCGTATGTTTAGAATGTTCGGCAATTTTCATCGAAGAAACATCATTTAACTTTGACTCATGGTGACTCACATAATTATATGGCCACTGTCACCGCTGATTTTACCTAAATTGCAAACATGTCATTATTTAAAATTGACATTCTAGGTGTCAAAAACCAATCATGGGATATTAAAGCAATTACCTACAAATTAGAATCACTGGATCTTGTATCGTGACTTTTTAAATCCTATTATTTCATTAAATTGTATGATTAATATAGGCTATTATGGTTCTCAATAGAATGTGATTGTCACGTTCACCATATTCTTACAAGGATTTTAAGTTGTATAAGTCCAGCTTCTATTCCACTTTTAAAAATTAAAAGGATGATTGTTTATAACACCAATAGAATATAATTCTTACTCGAACACAATAGATTTCAATATTAACCATTTTTCCAATATTTACCATTTTGGAATTATGAATAATTCGAAGGAAAGGAATTTATTATTCAAATCATAAATCATTTATTTATTTACTTACAGTCAGCCAGTGACGAAAAATACATTTAGAATGTACCGAGTTCTCGGAAAAGGGGGCTTCGGGGAGGTATGTGCTTGCCAAGTTAGGGCTACCGGCAAAATGTATGCCTGCAAAAAGTTAGAGAAAAAGCGAATAAAGAAGCGCAAAGGGGAAGCAATGGCTTTGAATGAGAAACAGATACTACAGAAGGTCAATTCTAGATTTGTAGTAAGTATCCTGAATTCTATATTTTTACTGTGCTAGATTGAAATAGTCTCTAAATGTGGAAAACAAAATACTGTATTCATCTTTAATTTTGGCACTTAATTTGGGATATCGGACATATTGGCATCTATAACATTTGGCAGTGTTTCAAAGGGATAAATCTTACAGTGTTCAGTGGTTTCTCAAGGGGATAATTCTCATATCTATTCAATTTGGGATTTCTTATAGTAAGTTTCATTACATATTGTAAGTTACATAACAAGTATACCCAATTCAAGATACTCGTGTTGCTGATCAATGATACCTTCGAATCTAATTTTATATTGCCGTTAAGCAAGAATCATGGATTCGATTCCCACTGGTCATATTTTTGTTATTTTCATGGTTCCAGGTTAGTTTAGCCTATGCATTTGAAACTAAAGAGGCCCTGTGCCTGGTGCTTACAATTATGAATGGTGGAGACCTCAAGTTTCACATACACAATATGGGAAACCCAGGTTTTGAAGAGGAGAGGGCATTATTTTACGCAGCAGAAATCTCATGCGGGTTGCAGGCGCTTCATGAAAAGAGAATTGTATATAGGTAAGATTTTAATTATAATCATTATTATTATTATTATTTATATATTGGTAAAGTCTCCAACTGTTTTTGTGGATGATGTTTGGTGTTAGTGTACAATTTTGTTATATATGTAAACTAACACTTTATCCTCTTCACTTTCAGGGTAAAATGTTGGAGTTCTAAAACATAACTAATTTAAATATTTAATATTCAAACATTCTTAATATGTGTATTGATTGATTGGCTGGCTTTCAGAGACCTCAAGCCTGAAAACATATTACTTGATGATGACGGTCACGTGCGGATCTCAGACCTGGGTCTGGCTGTTGAAATTCCTGAGGGTGAGGCCATCAGAGGCAGGGTGGGAACAGTAGGCTACATGGGTAAGATCCCATTTTTGTTAAAAACAGAAAATCACCTTTTAAAAACCCTTTGCAAAGTCTATTCATTCAAACATCCAAGTATTATTTTTCCTGACTTCAAGTGGTTTAAACTTTACATGAGGCCTTAAGTGATCAGCTTGTCCAATAATTTTGAATATTCCTCATTTCAAGAATGACCACATGTACTTGTTTAAATCATCATTTTATCTTATCATTTTCTCCATTCAGCCATTCATCCCATCCCCTTTTTCATGCAGATAATTTTGTTAAGTTGCCTCTAGTGTTGTATAACTTGGGCAGATATATTGTATAACATGTATTTAGAATAAATAGAACACATCTTATATTGCAGCTCCCGAGGTTGTAAAAAATGAAAAGTACACATTCAGCCCTGACTGGTGGGGTTTGGGGTGCATCATATATGAGATGATCGAAGGTAAGGCACCCTTCAGGGCCAGGAAAGAGAAGGTGAAGAGAGAGGAAGTGGACAGGCGTGTCAAAGAAGATGTCGAAGTCTACTCAGAAAAATTCACGGATGATTGCAAGGATATATGTATGCAGGTGTGTTTTAGACAAGTTTTAAATAAAATCGTTGTCATATTGAAACATTATGATTTCTAATATACTGACAGTGACAAGGCCTTATTATGTTTCTGACAAATGATCACTTCGGATAGTGTTATCTTCTTTAGTTGCGTCTCATATACATTTGAATATCATTTGTGACATTACAATCTCGCGACACTGTATCTACATCCTGGCATCTGTGGATGAAATTCAGCAGATATTGGATGATCAAATTGTCAATGACATAGGTTGTAAAAGAGCATGATTTTGTAAGATTATTTGAATTGGTCTATCTATTTGATAGCATTTACTATGTATTGATTTATGTTAGTGAACCTTGTTATTCTTGAGATTAATTTAAAATTATTGGATTGAAATGTACTTTTCTTTCATCTTTTTAAAAATTGCGGAATTTTTTTTTTGAAATGTGGCCCCAAACCTTGTTAGCTTCTGGATCCGCCAGTGATGCAAGACTTTGGTGTGGTTGTTCATAAAATGATTTTGTTTCAGCTTTTACAAAAAGATCCCCATGAAAGACTGGGGTGTACTGGGCGCGGGTCAAAAGAGGTGCAGGCACACCGATTTTTAAAAACAATAAACTGGAAGAGACTCCATGCAGGCCTAACAGAACCACCATTCAAACCTGATGTATGTAGATATTCAGATATTACACAAAATATAGTTTTTGGCCATAGTAACTTCCAAGAAATTCAATTAGTTCTATAAATGCTCCAAATCACTTATCAAAATCTAATTTTTTGTGTGTCAATTTTATGCTTTTAAATGTAGATTTTCGAATTGTGATATCGAGTTAATTGAAAAATCAACATTTTCCAGTTTAGTTATGCATGTTGGGTAAATAGGGCTAAAATCAAATGAATTTTTCCTCAACTCCATATTGATATTTGGACACCATCGGCAAATTGTTTTCCAATCTGTAGCTAACACTTATAATCGATGCTACCATCTATTGGCAATTGTGAATACTAATGTCAGCCTCTTCTCAACAATCGGAAATCCACATGCTAAAGCCTACTATTAAATGCTTAACTTTTACCTGTTTATCAAGGATCTTTTTGTATGTTTCAGCCACGGGCGGTGTATTGCAAAGATGTACTGGACATAGAACAGTTTTCTACAGTGAAGGGCGTTAATTTAGACGCAAGTGATGATACATTCTACAGTAAATTCAACACTGGGTGTGTCACTATACCATGGCAATCCGAGGTAAACACTAAATGAAATGAATTAATCTATTTTGTTTTTCAGTGGCATAAAGGAACATGCCATGTTAGTAAAATCTACAAGTTTTTCACGTATGTATGAACTTTCCATGAATGTGATGCAATATTTTTTGTCTCATTTTATGCCAGGGTATTTAAACTGTGTGTTAAGCATGGTTAGGCCAGGGTATTTAAACTTTAGCATGGTCTGTTAAACGATAAGGCAAAGGAGATTTTTTCTCATGTCCTAACACTTGAAATACATATGAATGGGAATAAATTACATTTTTATAGCTTTACTTATATCTGGTCTTCAGACACAGTGTCTCTTTTATTCGATTGTATAAATATTTAATAATGGTGAATATATTTCTCTTTTTCTAGCTTATAGAGATGGACTGTTATAAAGAGATCAATGTCTGGGCACCAGATGGTGGCCCCACTCCTGACCTCATAGAAGATCTGCCCCCTCCCCCACCCAGGAGGAGCTTTTTCGACAGAATATTCAAACGGAGGGTAATAACTTCTTATCCTCTTAATATTGTAATGATCACAGCAGTTTAAGTTCATAACTTCTATCACATTTAACCTGTGTATATTATTCCAAATCTGTCCGATTTAACATATGATTATTATTTTTTGTCATTATTGAAAGGATTAGTTTCAGACAATATCTTGTTAAAATGAGCAATTTTTCAAGTTGTTATGATATGAGAACATTATAATAATTGGATCAAAATGGCAAATTAACCTTTACAAATCACAGTCCTGAAGCACCAAGAGTTTATTAAATGAAGAGTTAGTAGCCATTAAAGGGCAGTCTCTGTAATTCTAAACTAAATAATCTGTTACATACACCATCAACAGAATCTTCTGAAAATATCAATGTCTCACCTGTTGTCACTTTCTAGATTAAATTTTTTCCAAGCTTCAGGTATCACAAAAAGAATATCTGTCAAATTCTATTGAAGAAAGTGTAAGGTACAAATTGTGAGTTTAAATTATTTTAACATATTTAAAAGCATGTTTCTCAGACATCCTCATTATGTTACCACAATTGTTGTGTCAGTTTGCAATAATTTACCAAGTGGTGAGATTTTGTCATGTTAATGCTTTATAAGGTCATTTTTTGGTGTTTCAGCATAGGGACCAACGTAGCTAGGCAATAGATGGTGTGCTACAGCTAGAAGGCAAACATGGCAGAGCAACTAGCCAATCACTTCATCCCATTTGGGACAGGAATGACACACCCCAAATAATGGGCACAAATGTATGTGAGATTGACATGTGTCGTATGCCACACATAAATGTTTCAAATACGACAATATTTATTTCTTTTTATGCTGATCATGCCTGGTGTATGTGATTGTGGTTTCAATACTATCTATGTTGTAAATAAGCAGCCATTATTTTGAGCACGAATAAGCAGTGTTACTATGGCAACAGACTATAACTGTTTCCATGACAGCTAAGTAGCATTACTATAGCAACAAGGGTTACCGAGGCAACATTGGATGTTGTTCGTAGCCAATTGAAGATACAACAGTATTCTAAAGTAAGGAGATTAAGTGGCAAGGATTATACATTGTACAGAACGGATTACACAGTAAACATATGTTGTGCAGAATTCAGTGGATAAAAGATACAAAGTTGATTGTTGAATATTTATACTGTGGATAAGGGATATCACAGCGAAGTTTGACAATAAAGAATGTAGCGAATACAGTACTATGTAAATGCTAAATGGGATCACAGTCAGTAAAACATTGCACATATGTGTAATACACAGTTGGTACAATATTGCACATATAGCTGGATTACACCGCGTATACATGACTGCACATAGATGGATTATACGTGAAATACAGCATGTTCAGGGGGATCCAGTGAGGATTCAGAAGTAGTCAGCACGCAGTACTGCAAACCAAACTGAAAATCATTTTCACATGTATTTAATTCTCCATCACATGGCCATACCATACCCATAGTCATATACTTGCTGTTATTTTCTTTAAATTATTTACTTGTAAACCTAGGCTGATTTTTTAATTAAATCATGCTTCTCAAGATCACTCATCTTCTAATTTTCAATGTAGTCTGCTATGTTATGTAATATAACGTGTAATGTTACATGTAACAGGGTTACTAGATCATACAGTTAAGTATATGCCAACATGAACAAAATAAGCTTGTAGAATATAAACCCCATTTCATAAAATATACAGATTGTACAATATTAGTCAAATTCTACAATGGTAGATCAGTTGTACAGAACTAGAACAAGTCAGATTGTACAATAAAGCCAAAATAATATGCAGCGCTGTCAGATGAAGCTGCACATTTGTACAGCTCTGCATCAAACATATTGTACAGTATTGGAGATTGCCAGCATTATCAAGGGACCCCCTACTACCCACTTTATATCTGTAGTTCCCTGGTATTGGTATTATGTGTAACCAACTTACATGACTTAGTCCTAGAAAGTAGGATATCACCATGAGTCTTATGAGAATAGTTCAGAAAAGCCAAGCATTCAAGATGACATTTTTGCAGCCTTTAGAGATTTAATAGAAGTATTAAATACCAGAAACTTTAAGGGAACGCTGTGCTCAAATACTTTTATGTTACTACCTTATATACACTACTTGATAATTATTAGACCCATCAAACAAAATGTTTGGCAATAGTTAAAATGATTGAATAAAAAAGTGTTATTTTGACCTACTTTCATTCAAAAGGGCTGCTCAAATGCATTATAATACAGAAAAACAGAAAAAATTTGTTTTTTTGAAGTTTGAAAATCTAATTTTGACATTGTCTTAAAACAGGTGAAAAGATAGTGGATTGAAACCACACTGAAATAAATATGAACACTTTCAGTAGAACTGACCTCAGAATAGTGTTTCTCTTATGTAGAGTGTTCCCCTTAATAGGTTTTCTGTAATATACTTCACACTTTTGGAAAGATATAGGGGTAGCATTTTTGCAAAATTTGGCCATGTCAATAGAAGATCATGCAGAAAGACATCAAAGGTCATTGAATCGTATTAGGAATGATTAACTTTTACTCATAAACGACCATGGTTTAGTTAAAATTGCTAGTATGTAGTGTATTAAGCTTATTATAAGCAGTCTGAGGTGGGATCAAGATGAAATCTCAGGGAGTTAGGCCAGGAAAAACTTGTGTCGTTTGACATATAATCCTAGGCCAAGGAGATGTAATAGTGTTAGATGTCTCATTGATACCAGCAGTGGAATGTTCAGTTTGAAAATTGTTGCTATTACCTTGATTGAAATAGTTTCTTGAAAATGGTGTGAATTCACAATTTGTAAAGTTAGTGATCTCCGATACTTTCGAGACAAATGTCTCTACTCTTATCAGTTGGTCACCTGGATTGTACATTTAACGTTTGTTAATACAACTGACACTGAAACACTCAATCAAATTAGAAAGATGACAGAGAAAGAAAAATTACAATTTGTAACGCTATCATTGAGAAAAGCATCAGAATTTAAACAGAGAGGGTCGACCAGGGGTCCATTCCAAGAATGTCTGATGGATGAACCTTTAGTAGAGGCTTGAGCAATGTGAATGTCTGAATGGTGCTTCCCTAAATGACATAAAGGGCAATCATAATGTTCCAATTTAGTCTAGCCTTCGCTATACTGTATATGTAGAATCCTAAATGAGACCATATATAGCTAGCTATCAATAAGATATCTGAGCTTTTTCTGTGCAAGTTTAGCAGCTAGCTTTTTCATAATCTGTACATTTTTCACCCATGAGGAATTATTTTGCATTTTTAATATAAATGTCTGTGGTACAAAACTTATTCAAGATGTCTCACAATTACGTACTTATGTTGTATTTTCCTAGAAAATTATGTACAATAGACTACAGTGCTTGTCATGATTGTGTTGTCTATAATACAGAGGTGACCATGATCACATTGTCTATAATACAGCTTTGATCATGATCACATTGTCTATATTACAGAGGTAACCATGATCACATTGTCTATAAAACAGTGGTGACCATGATCACATTGTCTATAATACAGAGATGATCATGATCACATTGTCTATAATACAGAGGTGACCATGATCACATTGTCTATAATACAGAGGTGACCATGATCACATTGTCTATAATACAGCTTTGATCATGATAACATTGTCTATAATACAGAGGTGACCATGATCACATTGTCTATAATACAGAGGTGACCATGATCACATTGTCTATAATATAGAGATGATCATGATCACATTGTCTATAATAATAGAGGTGACCATGATCACATAGTCTATAATATAGAGATGATCATGATCACATTGTCTATAATAATAGAGGTGACCATGATCACATAGTCTATAATATAGAGATGATCATGATCACATTGTCTATAATACAGCTTTGATCATGATAACATTGTCTATAATACAGAGGTGGCCGTGATCAGATTGTATGTAAGATGGTATCCGCTCTATAGTTAGTACTATGGTGATCATCGCCCTTGAAAGAAATTTACAATTAACATCCAATTATGTGTATATATATGGAATATGCTACTAGCCAATTAAATTTATCAACACACTTGACCAATTGGTGAACTAATGACTCGAGAAAAGGCACAAATATGTCACATCAAAATGTGATTTCCAATATTTGAGATTTTTGCTTATGAAGTATATTTTCAACAAAACATAACAAAAATGATATTTAAAGTATGGCAAAACGTTGTTTTTTCCAGTGATTCTGAACACATGTCATTTTGACTCATAAATTGAGTAACTTTCACATATTTTTACAAAACCTTGAATAAAATCTTGTTATTTGTAGGTAAACTTAAATTGACTTGTCAGTATAAAACTACAATATGTCAGAAAATACTAAGTTTCACTTTGCTGATCAGTCATGCATAGATACTTTGTAATCCTATTGTTTTGAAAGACACCCCATTCCTCCTTGACTTCCACCAATGAAAACATCAGTTCTAACCAAGATTTCACATTCGCGATGTGAGAACCGTGGTTCGAGTGCAAGGAACACAGTTCGCGAGGTCAGAACTGATGTTCCCGTTGGTGGAAGTCTAGGAGTCCTGTTATTGTGTTCTTGTTTCTAACAATGAATGACCTTCTCCAGTCACTGACAGATTGAGGTGCTTCCGCTGGCCATGTTTGGCTAATGTCAGCTGTCCGCTAAAAACATATTGCATATAAATATCTGCAATCTGATTGGATGAATATAATAAATCTGTCTTGCACAATCCCAACCAAAGTATAAAGGCCATGTTGTGAACTGAAACTCTAACTGCTACGGATAATATTTTGAGTTAGAACTTGAATTATTTATGTTGAAAAATGAACCACTCTACATGATAAGGCATGGTCGATGTTTTTATCCCGTCGAAGTTTGAATTTTTGATATTCTAGTCATGTATGGTGAAATATTAAGCAGTAATTTTTTGTATTTTATTTTCACATGACAGTACGTAAAAATTACGAATTATTTAACAATATTTACCCATCACTCCCAAATTAATTATGGGAGAACAAAGTGGATGGAATAAAATAGGTAAAAATCTCATCCGTGAAAAATCTTGATTTGACTTTGTATTTCCTAAACATCATTATTTGGGCACCCTCCCTAATGCCAAACATAAATCCAATATAATATATACAGTAGGACTTAGGCTTTATCCATATTAATTTTAGTTTATTTTTTAGTTTCTTGGCATGTAGTTTCAAGAGCATAATTCTGTAGATCTATTAGAAAGTTAACATAAATTGATATGTAAGATGTTACCATATCATTGTAATGTGCAATAGACCTATACAGGATGACAAATATGGGTATGGATGAATAAAATAATGTAAAACCTGTAAAAGTGGAATGTCCTTTGTTCTGTTAATAAACTGTTTCATTTGGCAATGCATCTATAGAAGTTCAAGAATGTGGCTTTAACCCCGCAGGCTTAAAAATTACTTTACGTATATATATTTATTGTTTGCATTAAAATTACCATGACATAACTATGCTTCATATAGTCATAATCAAACAAAAAAAAGTTGGTTTCATTGACTTTTTTACTGGAAGCTAGAAAACATTTTGATCCCCCCATGTTAGGGAATAGGAGAGTCAGTATCAGAATGTGTAGTGCACTCATACTTTTGTACCATTTTGATACAAGTTCAGCTTCAGTTTTTTTCTTGTTTAGAGTGGCAAATTGAAATTACCTAGTTGATGTCTATGGGAATGATTACTCTCATATTTATTACTCAATACAGTTAACCTCCATATTATCTCCAAAAATGAAGACAAGATTTTTTACTTTATTTACTTTTGCACACTTGAAGGTTTAATAACTAAAATTAATTTAAAGGAAAATCCTAGGTCACTGACTTCATTTTTATCATTGCTCTTCAAAAGAATATAGTTTTTGTCTTTTATGGTGTAATATCTTGCTAGTTATGTACCCAATAGCAACGAAAATAAATTAGAAAGGCCATTTCAGGGTAAAATTTATTAAATCCATCAAACTTATGTTCTATCAACATAAAGTTAAAAAAACTCAATTTTTAAAGTGTAGAATGATGATATTTATTATGTAGGTCCTAAAGCTGAACACTCGTCAAATGCTATAATATTACGCCATCTATTTTTGGAATATGATGAGTCACAGAACTGTGAAAAGTGTTCCACTTAAAGAGGTGTTCCACTTAAAGATGTGTTCCACTTGATAGGTTTTACTGAACAATACATGAACATTTACTGTAAAATAAAATATATGAATTAACATCTGAACATAGTCCTGAAATTGCTCCTTTAAGGAATTACAGCAGGTTTCATTCTGTTAATCATAGTTAACTGCAAAATATTTCATCTTTTATGATCTCATTTGTATTTGAGTTGTCATGGTATCTAGTAGATTTTAACTCATTCCGTAATTTATTCTCATGCATGGTAAGTTAAAACTTCCTATGGGAATTCTCAGTTATTGTACTTATACTTGATTTGGCCGTACTTATTTTGGCTAATTTGCTGTTTTGAACATTCAAGGCGGTTACTTAATTTGGCGGACATGCAATAGGCTATTACAATGTACTAATTTACATGGTTCTAAAATTACCATGGAATTTGATGGCAACTAATTTTGGCTGACTTTAACAATTTGGCGGTGACTAATTTTGGCGGACTTTAACAATTTGCCAAATTTAAACGGCTGCCAAATCAAGTAGAAGTACAGTACTATTGTGCATACAAAGTGTTTTTGTGATCAGTGATAATGCATTCACTGATTGCTGATAGGAGGAATTAATTCAGCTGTGACTGCTTTGCAGTTTGTAGTCACAATTTTGCTTCAAATGAGCAATAATACCTTAATCAAGTGTGACTGAATCCCAAGGCATGTTTTATTCAGTTAAATTTTGTCTCACTTTCTCAGCCCCCATATGAATTTTCATTGCAAATGGTATTTTTTGTTATTGTTATGAAACTTTGGGAGAATGATGTACATTATATACATTAGATTAGAGTCATAAAGTATTATTAAAAGTTCAGGAAAGGGGTTATTGTGACTAAATATGTATCATATTGTCAAGATTATTATTTTCATTATTATTATATGAATATCATCAACTGACAACTTATTTTAACTAAACAAATATGTAATCATAACTTCCATGAAACACATGCTGTAAAACTGCCTGTTCGTATGTAGAGGACGACTTTTATGTAGAATTATTTTGATAAAGGGTAACTTTATCAGCATAATCTATCCTCAAAAGTCCCTGTATATTTTCAACAGTTCTTTGATTTCTTTTATTGAGGTGAATACAAATATTATTGGGACCAACATCATGTGTTCATAACAGGGAGATTTTAACATTAGAGCTAGGCTAGTGACAATGGTAGGAAATATAGTTGGTCCCTGAGTTGGTCCCACTTTCCATAATATGTGTTCCATTTAGAAGTGTTCGCCTCATTGAGGTGTTCCCATAAATATATGCATTCACATATTGTAAAGGTGTTCACATATGATACAGGTGCTCACACAATACAGTTAACATATATACAGCCATAATTCCCTGCACTGTATTTTCACATTTTTCAAAGGCCCACAAATCATTATGAACAAAAATGCCATCTCATCCTCCGAACGCAGGGTTCCAGACATCATAAGTTCCTTCCTTCTTCCAGAATAAGGAGGTACGAGTTCTGGAGGCCTTTGTTAGGAGGATGTGCCATCTAGAAAAATGTAGAGTTTTAATGGTTTTAAAATAAATATCAAGATTTCTACAGTAATACCTGACTAATGTCAGTCACAATCAAAGATGGTGAATTTTAATTGGAATCCCCTTTGATTGTGAAACAAGTCAAAACAGAGAGTTATTTATAAAAAACATGTTAACAGATCATTGATAATCTGTTAGTCTGATTTTTTTAAATAGCCCCCTGTATATGCATGTATTAATTAATAACAAGTCAGAGCCAACGGGACTCTATTTTAACTTATGATTGTATGTACAATGTGTCTTTATGTATGTACTACTACATGTAGACGTCGCCCAAACTATTCATATGAAATATAAGTGAAAAAACTAATACATTTTATGGTTTCTTATTTATGTAGGCTTGTACTGTAGTATTAAATGTGAAGGTACTGTTTTGATGGGACAACTTTGAATACAATTCTTTTAACAGTTTAAGTCATTAAAAAAATTTTAATTGTTGTTTATTAAATTTTTTCTATGTGTATCTCAATTGAAAGATGGCAACACAAAACACTATCTCTAAACAATGAAGTGTATTTCATCCCGAACTGGGGAACAGATCAAAACCTTCTAACTGTATATCAAACTAGAAAAGCATAAATTAACTTGGGCTCATTTGATGCCTGCTTTATTTTAGTGATATATTTTGACAAGTAGGCCTAACATCTTTGCCACAATTTAAGATAAATTCCCCAAAATTTGTTCTGAAGTGCAACTTAATGTAATAGTTCAATTTTAGGAAATCCTGTCTATTGTTAATATTCATTGCATCATTGTTTGTATGGAGAAAGTACTGAAAACTGCTAAAGTCATGAACAGATGAAGGATGTCAATCATGAATATAAAAATGGTCTGATTCAGAAAAGATTGAATTTGATAAATGAACACTTGGCATTAGCATGTAAAATGTCACCACCTGCTATCAGAGATCACGGTAGACGTTCGCCATTCGCCAATTGCGAATTTTCGAAAGAGGTGGCGAAAAATATGTAAAGGTATTTCGCAGTTATGGCGAATTAGAGGTGTCACGGTTTCCCGATATTGGACCGAATTTCGGTCCAGATGCTTCGGTTCGGGACATGGGACAGAAAGGGTTAATATCGGTACATAGATTCCTTCACTAAAATGCATAAAAACGTGTATAAATAGCGAGGAACACCTCCGATTTCGTTCTGAAATATTTTCACTTACCTCGTACCTAGATTACACTTCTTTGCATTGAAAAGTGTTATTAACGGACCCGCGATTTCAGGTAGATGGTAATGCTTGTTCGTAAATTTCTTCATCGTCGTTCGCAAATCTAGTGCATTATCAGTATGCCGGATGTAGGAAAGAAATTGAAAAATCGAGCCGGCATCTAAGTCGAAAAAGTCGGCAGTTTGGAAGTATTTTGGGACTCTGATATCACAAGGTAAACGAATTGGTAATATTACACCGTGCAGACTATGTGAAATGCCGATCACATTCGCGGCAGATGCTTTACATTCAATTTTAATGGACGTTTTTTTAGGGACGTTTCGTTTTCCCCCTGATTGGACCCGCGATTAGAAAAGCCACATGGTTTATTTTCACATGATTTGACCCTTGGAAATGGAATAGTAATACCACGAAAGTTTGGTGTTTTACTCGAGAGATTTTAATGTGTACATATAAGTAAATATATTAATTATAAATATTGTCAAGGATAAGTCGCTGCATTATGAATTTGTGCAGAAAATACTAAAATTTTGAAACGGTTACGAGTTAGGCCTAAAATTTTCGAGTCGCCATTTTTTATATTGAAATTTTCAGTCAAACTGCTAGTGCGATATATTCGTCCTGTACACGCAAATTCTGCAATATCTGTTGTCGGAAAGACCTAACTTCGATATCTAGACATGTAACATTGGAAATAAAATCAGTTTGTATTTAGTTTTTTAGATTTGTAATCTAGAACTACAGTAGTCCATGGGCTTTCAACTAGATTCTAGATCCAACTCTAATATTTTCCACAAAAAATCATAAATTTCAATTTTATGCATCTGGCCTATAGTCATATAAATCTGACCCTCGTATGATGTTATTTGTTGTTATTTTTTCTGATTTGGATATTTATTTTTTATTATTTTCTTGCATACAAGGGTCATACACACTCCGCGCATCTAAATTGCGGGAAATGCTTTCCTGGCCTGTCTACCCAACCAAATTCACACAAATGATAAATAAATGTCTTTGCTTCAACTATAAAGTATTTAATCTTACCTTAGACACGTAAAACGCTTGGTAATTGAAGACATATAAGCATGCCGCTTGAATTGTAAAAATTTTTTCATTTTGCCATGCCAAGGTCACTTCCGGGTTAATCTGAGTCTAGATGTAAAACTATATCAAACGAAATCATAAGTACTTGTTACACGAAGATTCAGTTGAAAGGGAAGCAGTGTCGTTAAGAAGGGAAGTTATTTGGAAAAGTTATTGTTTCAAAATGAGAAAAGTAATAAGTATAAGAGAACGGCTTTGGAATCGATCTCTGTGTAATAAATAATTATGATTCCGTTTCGATACATGTTTTACATTTAGACTACCGGAAACAGCATTCAGCAACATGGCGGGCGATAATGAAAATATAATTCAATTGATCATATTTCGTCAATTATCAAGCGTTTTACATGTCTAAGGTAAGATTTAACACTTTAATGTTGGAACTAAATAATTATTCGATATTTTGTGTGACTTTGGTTAGTATGGTAACTATGGTTACCGAGACAGGCCAGAAAAGCGTTTACCGCAATTTGTTCCATATAATATCTACGACGGTGTATGCAAATAAAATGATAAAAAATAAATATCCAAATAAGAACAAGAAATAACGAAGAACAGCATACAACGGTCGGATTTATATGACTACTGGCCTAGGAATTGAATATACAGTGTACTGTATGAAGCATATTTCTATTGTTATTTCAGCTAAAATTGGGTTTCAATAAATCAGTAGAGAGCCTAGACAAATCATGCCATAAGGTCAGGTCAGACCATTTTCTCTAGCTGATCCCTAACGATTTTGACCACAAGGCGGGACCACACCTGGCATCGGGACAAGTAGAATTGACCAAAATAAATATCTCCACTGCCCTCCACTCTTTGTGTACCAAGGAAAAAGAGAGTGAGGACCCTGTCGAAAAGTTTTGTAATGTATAACTGTTTCGTATTAATCGGTGTCGGTGAAGGTCATAATGTCTGTTTCGTATGAAACGGTGAAGGTCATATTGCATTGGGACAAATTTGTCTTGTCCAAAGTGGGCCCCTGTAGGCTACATATGTAACTCAGTATATGCAAACTTTCTTTGCTCCATGTATGATGTCTATATTATCTCTTCTACTCCCTTACTTCTATTTGTTTAGTTTGTCAAATCTCTGTGACAGAATTGCCATCCTCTTAATCTATATTATTAGTCTATCATAGGGGTTGCCTCATTGGTCTAAATCCCATTTATCCAAATCCCAAACTAAAACAGCTTTCAACATAAAAGTAATGGGGAAAGATGGAAAACCTCTTAAAAAGGGATCATCGCAGTTTCGAAAATTTGAAATTTCACTCATATCAGATAAAACATTTGTTTTGGTACATTATCTTGGGGATGAAAAATTGTATATACCACTGGCACATGGTAACAGTAAAAATAAGGAAATTGAATTTCGAAGAACAAAACCTTCAGTACTTAATGATATCAAATCCCATTCTAGTAATGTTCCAAATGCTGTTTATCAGGATCTTTTGGCTTTTAATACTGTAGGCACAGAACAGGGCATAGGTAATCCAAGGAACTTGCGCCAAGTTCAGCGCCATTTGCACAACTTTAAGAAAGAAAAAATGTTAGGCAAAGATGCAGTTTATAATTTGATAGAATTAGCATATCACCTTGGAGGTTACATAATGCAGGCCTGTCAACTTGGGAACACCTAACATGAGTGACTTGGAAATGTTGAACACCTCCCCTCAAAATGTGGACACCTTGGTCCAAATCTGAACACCTTGATCCAAATTTTGAACACCTTGGTTTACATTTTATTACATCTTGCCAAATTTTGAACACCTCAAATTTTTCGCGCTCGCTACGCTCGCATTTCAAACATCCATCAACGGGGGGGGGGAGGGGGGAGGGACGAAAAATTTTGAACGGGATGCGTGACATATCCGTAATACGCGTGAAAAGTCTGAACGAAATGCGTATGTTTTTTTTTCCGTCGTTCGTATTTTTGCTGTGTAGACGTTCTTTTTTAGAAAATTTTCTACAGAAAGATTTTTGCTTGACAATTACCAGGTAAAATGCGTATTTGCAAAATAACTGGCGTGACTTCAAATTTTTCAGCAAATGCTTGACAAATACGCAAATTGCGGGACAGTTGACAGGCCTGCATAATGAATGTTGACGTATATCCTAATTTGCTATGCTGTGTAGGTCTTATACCACATTCTCCGAACTTTCAGATATACTTTCAATTCAAAAAACGACCGAAATTCCTTTTTTCATGAACTATGATTCGACTTATAATTTAGGCGACTTTTGGATTTCTCCCTTAACATTTCGACATACATGTATTTTGTACAAAGGCAACAAAATTATACCTTTGGCCTATGTTATTCATGAAAAAAAGATCAGAAATACCACGAGCGTTTTTTCTCAATTTTAAAAGATCAAATTCCTGCTCTTGGTAAACAAAAAAATATCCCAATAGTCATTGATAGAGAACGTGGTATAAAGAATGCACTGGTGAATACAGGAATGTTCTCTGTGTTACACTGCTGGAACCACATTATTAGCGATGTGAAACGCTGGCTGATAGGACGTTAAATGATAATAAAAGAATTAAGAACTTAACAGTATTATGTAAAAATAGTAGGAAAAGGTCAGCAAAAAAAATAGGTGGAAAAAAGCCCAAACCCAGTGATTTTGATATAATTCCAGCCCCTGACTCCTCTGTTGCTAATATTACTATGAATGAAAATGATTTTAATGAACATATTTCTATTAATGATAATGCTACTTCAACCCCTAAATTAAAAACTAATCTTTGCAACTCAGAAATCAAATCAATATTAAAATCTCCTCACATTCGTAAATCAAGCCAATCTAGAAAACGATTAAGATTTGAGCAGTCTGAGCCAGTTATGAATGATACAAACATTAAAAAAAACCTTGTTGATAATTTAGTTGAAAATCATGATGAAATTTCAAATAGTTTAATCAATGAAATGGCCAGTGATGATAATTTAAGTAATAAATCTGATGTTCAATTAAAATGTGAAAATAGTAGTAAAGATAGTAATGAAATGGAAAAAAATGAAATTCAATCAGTCGACAAAGGTGCAGATAATATTAACTTTCTTAAAACTCAACATTATGAACTTATTCTTAATCCAAAGGGATGGTTAGATGACCAGATAATTAATGCAGCTCAGTCAGTTCTAATTGGACAATTTGAAAATATTTCTGGATTCCAATTAACATAAACTATGCTCCCATTTATGTAGCAAATAAAAATATGTTCACTTGGTGTACTCCAATGATTTCAACTAATGGTCCTTCTGTGCAGATTCATCATAATGGCAATTCTCATTGGGTAACTTCAATTCAAGATTCTGATGGCAAAGTATATTTATTAGATAGCTTAAATAAAAAAGACATTAACAGTAGTTTACAAATTCAATTAATTCAGATTTATAAACCAGATAGGGTAAACCATTTTGATGTTATTATTCCAGCTGTTCAAAAACAAAATAATGGTTATGATTGTGGCCTCTTCTCTATTGCATTTATGACTGAGTTTTGCTTCAATGGGAGAAGTAGAGTCGTATTCGAAGAAAAAGAAATGAGATCACATTTGGTATCCTGTTTAACAGAGAAAAAAATTCTTCCCTTTCCAAAACAGACTAAGAAAAAATTAAAATTATCCAAAGTTGCCACATCAACATTCCAAGTAAGTTGTTTTTGTCCATGTGGCCAAGCTGATGTAGTACAAGATATGGTTGGCTGTGAGTTTGTGAGTAAAAAGCATGAATGTCAAACATGGTATCATAAAAAATGTTCTAAGCTTGAGAAAGTTTCAAAGAAGATGTATTGTCCTGATCATTAATTGATAGTAGGCATGCTCATATAAGTAGGTTGGCAGGTTACATAGATGTATTTTAAAACTTTTGAATTTAGATTTTAGTATGTTTGGCAATGATGTATTATAATATGTCATCTATGTAGATCTCAGTGGATTTTAACATTGTGTATATTTTTAAGTGTATTTTGCAATTCTGTATCTATAATGTATGTATTTATGTATAATGTACATGTATGTATATTTTGAATAAATCATGAAATGTTAATAATATGATTTGTTTAATAATTTGTAATATGTTGGTTAACATGAACTTTTAATCAGTAACATTTTCAGTAGAGTTCAGCTGATGAGATCTGAATTGATCGAAAGAAAAACTTGATGCATACTTTATCAACAAAAATAAGAAACTTATAAACAAGCAAGAATTTCATTTCAAATATGATCTTAAATAGGCTACTTTATCAATGAAAGCATCATGTTTTTCTCCTGAACAAGACTGCATATTTGAAATGCATGAGGCAGTTTGATTCCATAATGAACCTTAATTTACAAACTCAAGTGTATTATTAGAGAGACAAAACTCTTATGAATTCATTATAATTTTCCAAAGAATAATCAAGCACAATGTATACAAAACTGAACTAAGAAATGTTAGATGAAGCATATTATCTAGGTGGCAAATGACTGACTGATATAGGTGGTCTGTGTGTTATTCAAGCCACTCTGTATTCCTTTAGTTTTTTGCTTTTTAACCTGGAAACTCATCATGCAGCAAAAAACATGAAGCATGGAAGCACAGTGTGGGCGAATACAAAACTGAACTAAGAAATAGATGAAGCATATTACCTAGGTGGCAAATGAAGGATTGGTATGTATGGCCTTATGATTCATACAATAGGACTTCAGGTGTTCATGTGTTAGGAGGTGTTCATATACGTGAAAGGAGTCCATCTTCCTAGCCTATATTCTTTGCGCTTAGATCCTGGGCACCATCAGTCATATTAGTGAAAACTTCTGGAATGGGTGTGGTGAGGAATGGATATATCATATTCAATGTAATAAATAAATAGTATTGCAGCACATGTCTATGTTACATAAAAAGCAATCTTGGCACTTAGGAAAATCTTGATAAAGGCTATATGAACTCTGAATCACTATCAATAGATGGCAGCACTAATCAAGTAGGCTAAGTTGAAAATTTCCATGATAATTTGACTTGTTTTTGATAAGCTGTTTTTAGGTAATAAACTTGAAGATATGGGGATTATTTTTGCTTTATATTTCAAAGTTAGATGTATTTTTAACATTTCAAATTACTAGATGTTATAAATTGGGATATTTTATGAGGAATTGATCCTTTTTTCCAACGCCGACCAAGGGTCTAATCCAGGGTTTTGAAAAAAATTGATGAAAATACGGTACGTTTGGTGACAGTTTTCTAAGACATCTGGATATATTTTCCTCAAACCTTCAGATATTATTAAAGATAGTAATGCAATCTGTATGTCCAAGACAAAATTTAATCGAAAGAAGTACACTTTCAATATAAAAAACGCATTTGTTTTCGATATAAACCAAGGGTTTAATCAGGGGTCAGAATCAGGGGTAAAACGAAAGGACCCTTTTTTTATTCCTGAATATGATTTTGAAAAGTGAAACTGAAAGTGAAACTGTCATCATCAGACATTTCATCATTTTTAATGTTCTGTCCCGTCCCGTCCCGAAAGTAACGTGTTGAGACCATTTGTACCGTTCCGTACCGTACCGAAATTTTCTCTGACCGTGACACCTCTATTGCGAATTCCCTTTTTTACGGTTTTTCAAAATGGCTAATTCATATTTTGGTTGGCTAAAAATATTTTGGAAGATTTAGCCACAATGGCTAACAAGTTTTTTCAACTATCGTGATCTCTGCTGCTATTTGTGACAGATATCATACCGAACTCAAAATGCCAGGTGACAAACACTGTCCACAAAAAAGTTGGGAGACAATATGTCACCACTTGTGGTGGTGACATAATAAGGCCAATCAACCCAAGTATCAGTAAAACAACTTAAGTAACCCTTGGTAAAACTTTAACACTTTATCTTCATGTCCTACTTCATGATATCAATGTATTATCAACCACATGATTACTGTGTTATCTTGACATTTGAATGTGTGTTTCATCTCATACGCCGGACATGACAGAATACCCCATAACATGGGTATAACGTATATATGTTCAGTTACACAGAGAGATCTCATTGTGTACGTTGGTCATAAAGTCACAAAATGCTAAAAATATTCATTTACATGTGAAAATGTTATAAATATATTAGCAGAGGTCTTGTTCATGGCCCAACGATAGGTCCCAAAAGAGCTTCAACTTATTTTGAATCTCCTTTAATGTATTTTTGTATTGAAGCTACTACATCTTTGTCAAGGCTACAATCGAGAAGCTCATCTTTACTTGCTTTGATGATGTTCCGAACACTCCCCAAACCATCCTTTAAAACGAGGCTCTCGTGTGAAGGAAGGTTAAAACATTTTATCACATCTGTGGTCGTAGAATCGGCGGTGTAGATTTCTAACATACTATCCAGGCGATCTTGCAGCACCTTATTCATTGGCTTGCATGTTACTTTCGCAATTGTTGTCATAACTTTTAAACATTCCCTGGCATTATGGATGGGAATCAAATTCAGCTTTGAGCTGAAATATTTCTGTTGAATCAGCGAAAATATTTTCAGCTCGTCTCGCTCATGTATGGCCGCCAATGCAAGAAAGTAGCATTTTTGATGAACATGTATAAATCTATCCATTCTTTGGAGGAAATTTTCATGAAGTTTTACATCACCTGGTTGTGACTGTGTTATTGTGTTCTTCAGTGGCATAATCATGAATGCAATTCCGGAGAGTGGAAATATACACGTGTCCTCCTCTGTATTTGAAGAGAATCTAACTTTGTGTTCTTGTTGAAGCAATTTCACAATATCACTGCTTTCCAATGATGTATGACAAATCACTGGCCAATGATCTTGAGACATTAACGACATCTCAACACTGGAATAGTAAATATAAAGAAACATCAAAATCAGCTAAAATTTAGACCTAGTTATGATCTGAGGTCAAAAAATATGTTATAAAATTGATTTGGAAATGCGAAGTGTATTTAAGTGCAAACAAAATTTGCCCCTCTCACTTTTATCAATTTTATCTTCTAGAATAAATTTTGGACAATTGATCTGGATAAATATTTGGTGAATTGGTATGATCCTAGGATTTATCCCAAGAATTATCCAAATGAACAAATTACATTGGAATTCTATTAGATCTAGCCTATTAGGCTATCTAGATCTAGCCTATTAGTCTATTCTGGAAAGAAGGATAGATATCTATAGTTATAGTCCTGTAAGCTTAACCCTTATAATCCAGATCTTTTATGTATCGATATATATATCAGAGAATTTTTTCCCATTATCCAAAAATTAATCCACATATGTAGGTGGATGTCAGGATAAATTCCAAGAGTAGACTTGACTAGATATCTAATTAGCCATTGAAATTTAGGAAGCCTAAGCTTATTGTCTGCATTGCCAATGAAATCAACACCAAGCAGTCAGTCTACATAAGTAGGGTCAATGCCAGAAAAATGACTGAACACTACTTACGGTCATTGAAAACTAAATTAAAGAAGATGAGTCAATCTTTTGTTTTAAATTTCCCGCCATCTAATCTTTAAAGTTCACCTAGGAAAACCCTGTGCTTAAATGTTACAAATGATAATTATATTGTTGTCAGATGAAGTCACCGCAATAGAACCTCGTCACTTCAATCGATTAAAATGTATAACAATTTACTTTTAACACGTCTGTGACATATTTGAGATTTACGATTACAATCACAAAATACGAAGAATTATAATAAGAAAAATCATCGCGGAAAAATCATCGCCATCAGCGACGTCCTGTGACACGCCACATAGCCGTTTCGCGGAAGTTGTAAGTTGAGTAGTCTGTTTTTCTCTTTTACGATATAATAAGCACACTAGTCTAATTACCACATAAATGTGGGGTTATTTTGAGGATTTTTAATATTTAGGACATTTGTTACTCAAAATAACCCCACAAATTTAAGGCTTTGATTCCTTGCGGTTATACAGCACCTCCCAAAATAGCCTACCCCTCAAATGCATGGGGAGTAAGTCCCCCTCCCCCTCTTGTATTCACTATATCAACAACAGAATTGAAACTTTCTCAACATAGAGAGATACTGACTGTTGCAAGCGTTATTCTTGGCACAACCTTGAGCATGTTATTAACATGCCAAAAGGTCCAAATGACCGTGACAGATGATCATGAAAGCCTGGCACATAGACTTCAAGATGTCCCTAGTCCTACTATCATGGCCATTGGGAAAGGCTATTCGGACATAGTCAAGGTACATGCATTTTTTATAGTCGTGCCAGGTATCGCAATATATTTTATCATTGTCATAGTTATACCATGCATTGTCATTCAATATAAAATTGTCACGGTCATAGCAGGCATTGTCATTTCTAAGACATTACAATGATGGTCAAGCCGCGGGCATTGCAATGCATGCTTATGGTCGTGCCAGGAATAACACTTTCAATAGACAGCATCTGAACATAGAGAATAACACCTTTTACCTGTTATTTTGGGTGTTAGAACACACCCTTGGTATACGCAGCTAACGAAAATTGACCGGTACGGGTCAAAAGCTGGACCAGTACGGGTTAACGGTTTTATTTGAATTTAAAACAGCCATAACTTGCTCAATATTGACTTCCTCGTGTCTAATTTGAAATATATGATGCCTCTCGATGCTTTTAAGTACCCCAATTTTTTACAGATTTTTAAACGGACCAAAACTCTCTAAATGCGCATTTATGCTCTTTTCTGTCTTATTTTCACAATAACTTTTATTTAGTACTTCTAACATATAAGATCTATTTTTCCCCATCAAGGTATGATGTAAATGACATGCTATTTACATCTTGTGAGTTTCAATGACGCGCGTTTGATTTTATAAAAAAAATGCCAAACTTTGTGACAAAGAATTTCCTCCTGTAGTCCATTTGTCACCCCTATACATACTATAGTGAACCTATGAATTGTTAAAAACACGATGTTTTATGGTTAATTTATAATAACAAGGGTTTTCTGAAGTGATTTAACTGGGTTGGACAAAAAGTTAGTTTGGGGAAAAAAGTATATCGGCTAATTAGGGAGGGGTGCATTGGCTTAACATGGCGTTGACTATTGACTTAGCGTCGGGATACCACCATGTACCTGGTATGCTACCATGGTGATAGATACCAAAATTTTCCCCAACGTTAATTTTTTGGCAACCCAGCTAAATCACTCCAATAAACCCTAATGATAGTATTTGCACAGAAAAACATAATGTTTTTAAATATTCATACGTTAAGAAAATGACAAATGGACTACTGCTTGCAGCGAGAAGACGGACCGGTTCGGGGCAATAGCACACATGTATAAAGATTCCTAAATTATGTTCATGCTTCAACAGCCCAGGCTTTAAAAGTTTCATGGACTAAATGCAGAATTTTGTTGGGATGACAATGCTAGTTTCACCAGGATAATCAGAGCTTTGAATCAGATTATATGATAACATTTCTGAGAGAGTTATATTTTGTAAATTCCCCTCTTATCTTCTGATATCGACTAGAGAACATAAGAGACTCACTCCCAATGCAATAATGTACATATCAAAATGTTAGAATAAAATAACAAAAACTTAAAAGTTGCACAAAAATTTCAAAATCATAGAATGTTGCACAAAAGGTTACAAGTTACAAGACAAGTACATGTAACTTAACATGAACTTGGAGAAAATTATTTCAGAATTAGAGGGCCTTAAGTTCTTATAGATTAATAATTAATTAATGTTTCAGTCGGACAGTTAAACCTTGAACATATGATGGACCAGTTCAAGGGAAGCAGCCCCTTTGTGGTATTTATCAATGGACAGAAGGTGAGCAAAACATCCAAACTCTTAGTGTAGTAACAGTAAATAGCAAACGCACGAGTCCAAATTTTATATATAAACTGAACAATAACAGTTACACAGATATATTGATCGCCAGGAGCCAAAGGTACACATGTAAAAAGTGTAGCTTAACCTCAACTATAAAACAGTCTGAGGTCACATGAGAGACTGATGACATTTATTGTTTACTTTAAAAGATTAGAAGTGTTATTACAGTCTACTGATAAAGTGTTGACCTTGTTATTGTTGGTGTTTATCAAGTCGATAAGTCAAATAAGTTTTTAAGATGAGCTAATTCCATTGATCATATTGAGTTTTCCTATTCTATGATATACCTGTATTCCAATTTTCCATAATATTGATGTCTTCAATTTGATCTCCACTGCATTTGCAACTTGTGAATGAATTAATGAATAAGCATAAATTTTCACCATGTTATGCTACTTTCTAAACATATTAAAGTCATTTGCCTTGTAAAAGGGAAAACTTTTTCAATGCAGTTAAATAAAAAAAACTGTCATAGGTTTTCAAACTATTAAAAAGATAAACAAGTATAGATGTGCAGTACTATCCATTGTGTTTGCTAGTTTCAGTGTGCCAATACTAAACATTGTACAATTAAAGATGGTAACACTCCCCTCTATAAAGGCAAACGGAAGTCTTAATTTAATAGTTTGTAAAATCTAATGTTTGAATCAGTGTTTGTTCATTTATTACAAGAGTTCAGAAATGAATTAAATGACACATTTGATTAACAGGTAAACAGATAAATTTATAGGCTTTATAGGGTGATCCATGGGCTTTCAACTCTAATTGAAAGCCCATGGGTGAGCCAAATGAGGACTTCAGTTGCCTTTGTGGAGGGGTTATACATGTTATATGTTAATTTTATTTATTCTTTTAGGTTGAAGATGATGCCATTGAACCAGAAACTACAGTTCTTGATTACCTTAGAACAAAGTGTATCCTTTTAGGAATCAGTATGAGAGACTATGATTAAGGTATTTTAATAGTATACCTCTAGATAGGTCAATAGTATATCCTAACATCCTAAACATGTCGTTCATCTCGACAATTTAAGGCAAAAAATAAATTATAAAGTAGAGGCTAATTCCTTGTAAAAATACCATTATAAAAACACCATTAAAAAATTGATATGCAATGTGAAATATTCTTGAAAATTGAATGGAATTATAACATCTTGTATTTTGAAATATGTCCTGGAATGATACCCAATGCATTTTATCTGAAGATATGATTCCTTAACTCTTTCTCCAGTGCATCTAGTAGGGAGCAAGAAGGTATGTGGAGAAGGAGGATGTGGTGCGTGCACAGTGATGCTCTCTCAGTTTCAGCACCAGACTAACACTGTCAAGTATCCTTAACATAAAGTAAATATTTTATCATTTGTAAGTTTTGTGTACATTCAACCATGCTTTTTACTGTACATGTACAATGTAAATGTATATTCATCTCAGACCTTTACTTATGTTATGACAGGTTTTGGACAAATATCCACTCCAGATAGAAATATATTTTGTAACATGGTATCTGTAACAAGTGGCACGTAGTGACATTTTCACGTATTAATGCCCTGTATTACATATTATCTTTTTATTATTATTATTTATTTATTATGTTTAAAGTATCCATTATTTGTATATTATCTATTTTTGTATCTTAATGTAATATATTGTCTTTCTATATTTTTTATCTGTTATTGTATCTTTGTATTATCCTTTAAATTATCATTGTATTATCTTTTATTTTTGTATTATCTATAATATTTGTAATATATATTGTCTTTTTATTTTCTATTATCTTTATGTCATCTGTTGTCATTAATATCCTTAACAGTTGATTAGTCACTATAGTGTAAATGCCTGCATTACCCCAATCTGTTACCTTCATGGAATGGCTGTTACCACTGTGGAGGGGATTGGTCACTCAGAAAAACTACACCCAGTACAGGTAAAAATTCAACCCAAAATATCTGAGGATTATGTTTCATTGGGTTCCTTATTCAGGCCTCATTTTCAAAAATAGGCCTCATATTTTACATACATATATTTTTAGAATAGGGACTAATTTTTAGTCGCTTCCAGATAGACCTCTACTGATATCTATGATTTTTTATCCATGATTCTCCTCATGTCAACAGGAGAGACTAGCCAAGGCTCATGGTTCCCAGTGTGGTTTCTGTAGCCCTGGGATGGTAATGAGCATGTACAGTCTGCTGCATAACACTAGTGCACCTGGTATCAAAGACATTGAAGATGCAGTGGATGGTGAGTGAAACAATGTCTTATATGACAACATATCTGGAAACTTCAAAATGTTGATTTTGTGTCTCAAAAAGATTCACAATTGGAATCCTTTTCAAAGCTTAGATTTATGTCTCAAAAAAGATTCACTATTGGAATTTCAATGTGTCTCAAAAATATTCTTTATTGGAATCCTATTCAAAAGGTTGATTTTGTGTGTCAAAAAGATTCACTAATTTGCGTCTCAAAAACAGTCTTTATTGAAATCCTTTTTAAAAGGTTGGTTTCAGACCTCAAAAGATTCTCTATTGGAATCTTTTTCAAAAGGTTGATTTCAGGTCTCAAAATAGATTCACTATCACTATTATAATCCTTTTCAAAAGGTTGATATTGTGTCGTCTCAATAAGAAGATCATACTCATATCATATGTATGTGAATGGGCGTCTCTATAGTGACAATGAAGTTGGAAAGTACACTTGTTATCGGAACTTCACTCATAATTGTGAATCAAACTCTGACCTTGGTAAATCTGTTATTGACTATGTAGTAATTCAACCTATTATAATTCCATTGATATCAGATTTTAAAGTACATGATAGAAGGGTAGAATCTGATCATGCCCCTTTGCATTTTTCACTTTCACTGACAAAATCAGGAAAAACACGTTTTAAAGCTAGTGTACCAGATCAAAGAAAGAATGCATTTAATATTAATTCTTTTAAGTCGTACAAATGGGAAGCGGCACAGACAAATGAATTCATCCAAAAACTTAGTGATCAAACTAGTAATGAATTGTTGACCACTTTCTATACTGAATTGGGCTGTTCTAATATTGGGACAGATGAACTATTAAGTAAACTTTTAAATGTAATACATCATGCTTGTGAGGGAACATTTAAACTTAAAGAATTAAAATCAAACAAAAGCAGTAAATTTCCTATAAATGCTTGGTTCACTGATGAATGTAAAATGTTGAAAAGAAAAGTTCATGATGCTATCAAAAATAAACTTGATGAAACTCATATTAACCAAATTATCAAAGAATACAATCAAACTAAACAGCGGGAAAAAAGAAGGTTTAAAGCAGGAATGTTAGAGAGTTTGGTAGTAAATAGGTCTAAATCTTCAACCGATTTTTGGAAACTTATTAATGCAATGCCAGGAAATATAATTAGAGATATATCAGTACCCCCTGAGGATTTATTAACCTATTTTCAAAATTTGGCAAAGCCTCCAAACATGGATTATTTTGATAATGATGCACTTCAAAAGATGAATGAATTTATTCAAGATAGCATTCAAAATAACTCTGATGACATTAATTTAAATCTTTGTTATAATATTATAGATGGCAGAATCAGTCAAATTGAGGTGTACAATGCTTTTAAAAAAGTAAATTCTCATAAATCAGCTGGCATTGATGGTATCCCATCGAACATAATTAAGAGTTGTGAAGTACTTATTCCAGATTTTACAGCACTTTTTAATGTTATTTTCGACAGCGGTGAATACCCACGTGACTGGAGCATTGGTATGCTAAGTGCTCTCTTTAAACAAGGAAGTCGTTTTAAAGCAGATAACTACAGGGGTATAAATGTATTAGCTTGTATTGGTAATATGTTTGATTCTGTAATTCAAAATAGACTAGTTTTTAATGCACAGGTACAAAATTCTCAAGATCCTCTGCAAGGTGCATATAAAGAAAATAGCCGAACAATCGATAACATATTTATATTACAGACATTAGTTAACAAATCTAAACTGCTTAAAAAACCTCTTTTTACATGTATGGTTGACTTCAAGAAAGCGTTTGACTATATTGATAGGTCAGTCCTGCTATACAAACTCTGTAAGAGCGGTGTAAAGCCCAATAGCAAAATGTACAAAATCATTGACAGTATGTTCGTCAAATCTCAATCTTGTCTTAAGTTGAAAAATGGAGTATCAGACTATTTTAAAACAGATGTTGGAGTTTTGCAAGGGAGTGTTCTCAGTACCTTCTTATTTAATCACTTTATAGATGATCTTGCACTATATTTACCAACGCACTGTGGAGTAATTTTAAATGATAAGAGGCTTAACCACCTTCTATGGGCAGATGACCTCATATTGATTTCAGAATCCAGTGAAGGATTGCAGACATTACTTGACGCACTTTTTGCTTTCTGTAAGACTAATAGGTTAATTGTCAATACAATGAAAACTAAAGCATTAATCTTCAATTCCAAAAGATCTTTCAAATTTGAATTTAATGAAAAAAGTATCGAATGTGTTAATGAATACAAATATTTAGGTCTCATTCTCACCAATAACAACAGTTTTGATAAGAACACTAAATATCTTAAAGAACAATCAAGAAAGGCTCTTTTTAAGATAAAACAGCAATATAAGAAGTTTAATGATGTGCCACCAGATGTAGCTCTTCATCTGTTTAATGCTTTGGTCAGTCCAATTTTATCTTATGCATGTGAAATATGGTATGATAAAAAACAAATGAAAGCAATTGAATCCATACATTTGTCTTTTTTAAAGTCAACATTAGGTGTCAAATCACAAACTGCAAGCCCTGCTGTGTATGGCGATCTAGGCAGGTACCCATTGTCAATCAAATTTGAGTGTTATATTATAAAATATTGGCTTAGACTTCTAACATTTCCAGAATCAAGTGTATTAAACCAAGCCTATTTATATGATAGAGATATTCAAGAGTTAGGATTCAAAAGTTGGTCTAGCAAGGTCTATGATATACTCAGAAAATGTGATTTATTGGATTATTGGAATGACCAAAATCTGAATACTGACAATCTAGTGAGCATGGTAGAAAAGAAGTTGAAGGTATTATTTGTAGAAAAATGGAAAAATGATTTGAACATTTATCCTATACTGAGAACGTATAAATTGTTCAAAAAAGATTTTAGAATTGAATTATATTTGAAATTAGATAATAAAAAGTATAGATTGGCGATAAGTAGATTTCGAATGAGTTCTCATCGATTGGCGATTGAGACTGGAAGACATGCAAAGCCAAAACCAAAACCTAGAGAGGAAAGATTATGCAATACCTGTAAACATATAGAGGATGAATGTCATTTCCTTTTAACTTGTACAAAGAATGATGAGCATAGACAATTATTGTACACTAAGGCTCGTGAAATTCTAAGTAACTTTGACCTCTATAGTGAAAATTTATTTGTCAATCTCATTTCAAGTAAAAACTTAACATTACAAAGACACTTTGGAAAATTCATTTATCATTCATTTAAGAATTTGTAGTCAGAATGCAGGGTATGTGCACCACACTTTAAATGTAACCTTGTAACCTTGTCCTTTCATCATGATGTATACTACCTTTATAACATACCTATGATGATGTATAGTGCAAAGTGTACACAAGACAGCGGGCCAATATAAGTTTTGAAAAGCCCGCGCCCGCTAACTTTCTGATTGGTCAAGGCGCTGACGTCATAACCAATCAATCGAAGATAAAACTGCGCGAGCAATTTTTCTAAACTCATTTCAATCATTTCCAAACCATTTGTTTGTCAATTCTATAAGAAAACGGTACTCTCTGACCAGTCTACATCATCATAGGTATGTTATAAATCGTTTATGTCACTATCGTGGCACATATGCCCTCGGTTCTCAGAGATCAATGTCCCTCCCAAGGTCGGGCCATATATCACTGAGACCTCGGGCATATATGCCACGATAGTGACATAACCTCTAATTATTTTGGGTTTTTGTATATCTCGTATATATTTTTGTACTTTTGCCTTAGTTAGTATTTGTAGTTTAGATATTTAGTTTTTTCATAGTTATGACTAATGTAATCATGTTATGATACAAGATGTCAATAAAAGTTATATATGTATATGTACATATATATGTCAACTGTAAAAATTGTCATATTAAGATTTTTCACATTTCATACCAGGAAGAGCTGTGATCTCACAATGATTATTTCTTCCCATTACAGTTTTCTAAGTGGCTTGAATTGATTGAGGTGACCTCTTTCATAATAGAGAGCCCATTTTATATCATTATTTATTTACTTTAGGCAACTTATGTAGATGTACTGGGTACAGACCCATATTGGAGGGTTTCAAATCTTTTGCCAAGGTTAGCATATTCTATATTATATAAGGTATCACTATTGTAAATCATTATTTCAATGTCAGGAACAGAAAATATGCCATTGCCATTATATATTACCCACTCCATTTATTAATTTAATAAAATAGTGTTATCATTGATGGTCATATCTTTGTATTGTCAAAGTATTGAAAAAAGTACTATCTTAATGTGTCATTTGTGTTCTTGAAGATTATTCAACTCTGGAGTTGCATTTGCTTTAATATCACCATGTTTAACACCCTGCTTTAGCGTGTCTAGAGACGACTTAATTTATGCATCCTTATAAAAATGAATTGAATTGAAAATCCATTTTTTTTATGAAGACATGTGATGGTTGCCCCAGTAACCAATGTAAAGAAAACAGTTCTGGTGGAGATTGTTCAAAGAAGCAGGTTTGTTTGTTTAATTGTTTTGAATTTTAATGTATTTTGTCCCACATTCTCATCAATATTTTGGCTTCAAGTCCAAATTTTTATCAGTTAAGACTCTTTATGTGACATCGCTTATTAATCTGGGGGTCATTAACGTCACAATTTGAATTTCGTTTACGAACGATAAAACTTATGAATGATTTACGAAAGTGTTCTGTTAATGGCTGATTTGTAACCTTACGAATTCGTAAGTCATTTGTAACTTTTTAAATATTTACGAATTTCATAAAGTTACGAATTACGAATTCGTATCTTTGCGAAAGTTCTGTTAATGACCCCCTGGTGTCTAAATGATAATATTCTGCTTTATCCACAGCACCATTAGTATACAACAGGTCCCAAGTTTTTCATCGTCTTTTTTTCATTTGCAGTTTTTTCATAGATGTCACTCATTTCACTAGGGGTATCAATTCATACTTCAAGGTAGTTTGGCTTAAATAATGTGAAACTGTATATGAAAGAACCCATTGCATTTCACTGAAGAAAAACTGAAAATTGTCTTGTTTTTGTATATTTTTGACATTTATTCCTTACTCTGCCTAATAATTGTTTTTCAGGTTATATCGGAACCCCTTTTTGACTTGGCTGGCATGGAAAAGTTTGAAAAAATTGAGACACTTGAATTTCCTAAGGAATTAAAAGTATGTTTGTTAACTTGTTTTTCTACATTGTACTGTTATTATTCAATACATGTACTACATTTAATCTGTGATCTTATTTACATATTGTGTTAATATTATTCATATATAGTGGAGATATTCTATACATATTATTTATTTACATGTGTTAATATTGCCGTTTTAAGTTTTTGAGCTGATCAATTTTCATTTTATGATGTACTACTGCACATGTTGCTTCAGTCTTTCAATCCCCCCTCCCCCTATTGAGGAGGGCACATATCTCACGATTCAATATTATTTCAGGACCCTGAGTTTCAGAAATCTGTTAAGTTCTCAGGATCACGGCTCATTTGGTATCGACCCACCCATCTCACTGAGCTCCTGGAGTTAAAAACACAATATCCAGATATTGCATTAGTGAGTGGTATTTCACGTATAGGTGAGTAACAATCCCTATATGTAATATGGTAGACCTGTAATATGAATGAGTTTTTGTTTTTGTGAGTACTGTAACAAATGTGGCATTGTGTTCAAACTTTACACTGTATGCATATATGGGAAATAACAGTGTATATGAATTTAGCTTCGTCCTCGAAAACTCACCCAAGGTTGTAAATAGTGGCATGAGTGCCTCAAATTGTTCTAAAAGATGTCAGAGTCAGAAAAGAACTTAAGCTATAGATGACGCTGCCTTTACACCAGAGAATGATTTGGAAATGTCATCTGCAAAATGTTTTCTATTAGGTAAAACATGAAGATTATTCAACAGAATTAAACTTTTCAAATATGAAGTTGAGGAGTAGGTCGTTTTTTATCGTACCTAACAAAAGGTACGATATTATAGTCAGCTTGACGGGCGGCGGGCGGCGGGCGGCGGGCGGGTGGCGGGCGGGTGGCGGGCGGGCGGCGGGCGGGCGGCGGGCGGGCGGCGTCTCACTTCAGCTTGTCTACAGGTTTCCAGCCAAACCATTTGAGGGATTCATCTGAAATTTTCAGGGATGTTTCTACATATCAATGTCAAGAACTGATTAGTTTTTGGGCATTCTGGGTAAATCTTAAGGTGGCCATTTTGGATTTTCCGTCCTAAAATCTTCATTTTCAAGACTTGTCTACAGGTTTCCAGCCAAACCATTTGAGGGATTCATCTGAAATTTTCAGGGATGTTTCTACATATCAACGTCAAGAACTGATTAGTTTTGGGCATTCTGAGTAAATCTTAAGGTGGCCATTTTGGATTTTCCGTCCTAAAATCTTCACTTTCAAGATTTGTCTACAGGTTTCCAGCCAAACCATTTGAGGGATTCATCTGAAATTTTCAGGGATGTTTCTACATATCAACGTCAAGAACTGATTAGTTTTTGGGCATTCTTGGTAAATCTTAAGGTGGCCAATTTGGATTTTCCGTCCTAAAATCTTCACTTTCAAGACTTGTCTATAGGTTTCCAGCCAAACCATTTGAGGGATTCATCTGAAATTTTCAGGGATGTTTCTACATATCAACGTCAAGAACTGATTAGTTTTTGGGCATTCTGGGTAAATTTTAAGGGGGCCATTTTTGATTTTCCGTCCTAAAATCTTTACTTTCAAGACTTGTCTACAGGTTTCCAGCCAAACCTTTTGAGGGATTCATCTGAAATTTTCAGGGATGTTTCTACATATCAAGGTCAAGAACTGATTAGTTTTTGGGCATTCTGGGTAAATTTTAAGGTGGCCATTTTGGATTTTCTGTCCTAAAATCTTTACTTTCAAGACTTGTCTACAGGTTTCCAGCCAAACCTTTTGAGGGATTCATCTGAAATTTTCAGGGATGTTTCTACATATCAACGTCAAGAACTGATTGGTTTTTGGGCATTCTGGGTAAATTTTAAGGTGGCCATTTTGGATTTTCCGTCCTAAAATCTTCACTTTCAAGACTTGTCTACAGGTTTCCAGCCAAACCGTTTAAATTTTTTACATATGTTACACAGTGATAAGTTCTAGAGCTGATTAACTTTTCTGCGGCCATCTTGCTTTCTTGGTCAACAAGACCACAATGCTGTGTTTTAGGTACGATATTGTTCACGTCTGTGCCTTGTTATAATCTTGCTATGTGTTACAGGACCAAATGCAAAGAAGCCAGTTTTACCACATTCTAAACTGGTATCCACAAGTCATGTTGCAGAAATGCAGGGGTTTGAGGTCTTGGAGACAGGGGTGAAGGTTGGAGCTTCAATGTCTGTGACCGCTTTGACTGAGATTTTGAAACAACTTATAGAGAAACAAGAAGGTATCAGTAATGTTTGAGTACATACTATTTGAATATTACAATAGCTGTAATTGAAGATTTACATATTCAAAATGGATGCCATTCTCATTAAAATTGACATTTTTGGCTATATCTTTACTCACTCTGGACATATTTTAAAAATAACGTTTTATAGGATTTCAACTACTCTGTTCAAGATGATCTACTCAAATTGATGCCTATTGTCTATGAGTGCTTATAAAATATGTTTTGTTCAGTGGGATGCACTACTCTGTGGAGTTGCTGTTTTTCTAGTTTAGTGTTGGAACACATCATTTCAGTTTATTCCGCTGCCTCACTTCAAATGTATAAAATGGCAATTGCAGTCCCATCTGGCATGCCCTGTTAATTATTCATATTTTTTCATCCAGGATAACACTTATCTCTTTATAGTAGTCATTTAGTATGTGTTGATTGCTTAGTTTGGCCATTATTCAAGTTTTTAATCAAAATCAAAATCTGCATATTCTTTTTGTCCATATATAGCGCTATATATGAATCAATCTAGATTTGTATTATGCATCAGTGTCTAAAATGTGGTATTTAACAATCCTGAGTGCCAGAGTTTAGTACATTAGACAGAATAAAAGACTAAATGAAAAACCAAAGCTTGAGGATCATCTATAACTCAAAGAGAGTAGATGAAGATCTCTTTTAAGGGAGCAAGGTCATCAAACTATTTTAATGTGTAGTTTTTACATGGTTTGAAGGCTTTGTTACTCTCCCAGTATATCTGTGATGGAGGCTCGATAGAGGTCCTTAGGCTATTTTTTGCTCTTTTTGATCTGTATATCTTTCCTCTCCATTCTGATATTCTTCACATCTTTTTGTTTTGCAACTGGCAATATGCTCTGATTACAATTTAAAATCTTGATTCTTGATCTGATTGGTCGAATAATAACTTTAATCAGTATGATAGTTATGTAAAAAAATTGGAATGGCTTCACTCACCAAATCTTAAACAAAAAAATATCATGACATCTCAAGACTGAAAATATTTTTTCATGATGTTGCTCCCTGATATTTCAGAATTTGTAGCCTCCTCTTTATTTGGGCCTCAACAAAGTATGATGAGCAATGCTTTGAAACCTTTTTCCATATGCTTTTAGCCATATAAATGAACTACATGCAATTAGAGAAAGCTTTTGTGGGTTATTTTATGTTCCTAGTACAAATAAATTAACCACATTTGTGCATGTAAATTATGATTTGACATGACAACAATTTTTTTCATTTCATAAAATCCATCAACTTCCATATCAGAGTAAACAAATGAAATCAGACCCCGGAGTAATTTTATTCTATTTTTGTAGTTTTTAGCAAATGCATGTATATTGGAAAAAAGCTTTTCTGAGTTATTTCATGTTCAAAGTACAAATAAATGAATCGCATTTGTGCATGTATTATTATAATTAGAAAAAATTAAATCAAACCCTAGATTCACTTTCATATATATTTGTCAAATTGTTTTCATAAGAATCTCTCAGGGGTTGTATTTCACTGACTATATGTGTACTTGTTTTTCCATTTGAGCCTCTCTGAAGCTATGTGTGGTCTTATTTGGTTCATTTAATATTGAGGTCAAATTTACAGGTCAAGGTCAACTGAAAGCTGTGTTGTTTCTGAAGGTCTTATTTACAGGCCACACTCGCTTAATAGTCAAATACTGGGTGATTCTAACCTGTTTCAGGTTTCTGTCACCTATATTATGCAGCAATCTCAACTTGTTCAGCTCAAATGGGGAAACTACTACAAGTAGTGTTTACTCCAAGATAAAACAACAAGCTCTATGGTGGGATAAATGATACTTTTTCCACAACATTAAAAGAAAAATAAATCTAAAAAATTTTTGTCCATGGTAATGGGCAAAATAAATCTAAGATCTTGTTTTCCCCAAAATTTCAAATTCTAATATGATAATTGAATTAAATAGGAGATTATCTATTTTTTATTTACAGATCGATCTCAAATTAAAAGTTACCAAGCTATTGTAGATCAGCTGAAATGCTATGCTGGTCCTCAAGTCAGGAACATGTCTGTGAGTACATTATAATCATATTCCAATATTCTAATAAAATATTTATCATATTTACATTTAGAGGCAAGTAAAAGGGTATTCCCAAAGTTGTAATAATTTTTTTTTTTTTTTTGAATTATGATACTCTATTAAGGATACCCTCATATCATAATGGGAGATGCTACAAAGTGCACGTTTCACACAACATAAATCAAACAATCCAAATGTATTACTATATAGTATATACAGCTATAGAAGCAATCAACACATTTCATATTTGATATTATACTAATGGGCCTTTTATCACACCAGACTGTTTCATAACCACTCTGACAAAACACATGGGACATTTTATTATATTTTTTCAAACTTGCAAACTAAAAATGTTTCATTATCACATCAAGGATGATAGGTATTAACATTACTCACACAAAGTAAAAATAGTAGCTTTGAAACAGAATAGAAATTTTGAAAACCAATTTTTGAATAAGAGTCTAAAAGGGGAAAGGTCTCTATGACTCTTAGTTCAAAGTTTTTCAAAGTTCCACATTTCCCACGATATATAAATGTATAGTATGTATAGTAGCAAATTGACTTGACAGACTTAGCCTTTCGAGTGCACTGCTGTTCGATATTTTTACCCTATACGAAACAGAGCACATTTTAAAATAATCGATCCAGCAAACAGTGACGTCCATGTCACGTTTCTCACAAGTAGCATATATGTTCCTAGAAAACGTTGCACATTTTCGTTCTTTACACATCGAAGCAACTTAAACATGAGACATCTATTGATGGTATAAAAAGAACGTTGTTGTAACGTGTCCGTAAAGTTCGTTAGTGTGAAAAACATAACAAACAGGAAAGTAACTCAAATGTTATAATTCAACGTTGTCAAAACAGGCTTTTAATATCAAAATATTTGTTGGTGGAAAAAAACATGACAAAAACTTTGTGTTTCAGACGTATTGTTAACGTTAAAACTTTGAAATAACGTCAATAATGACGTTCATGGACCATATTCATCTGACGTTATTTAAATATTCAGCAAAACGTCGATGGATGGTTGAATTTCAACATTGTGGAAATGGCTTCAAAATATTTGTGAGTTAAGGAAACGTTACAAAGACGTCAATATGTTCTCACTAAATCGGTTCATTACCGACATTATTTTAACATTAAAAGTTAACGTTGTCAAAACGTTCTTACGATGTGAAATAACCTCAAAATGTGACATCAAAAATAACGTACATGTAACATCCAGATCCAACGTTATAAATAAAAAAAATTCCTAACCCTGCTAGGAAAGTTAAGTACCCGGTTACCCGGTTACCCGGTCACCCGGTTTTTTACACAACCCCGCCAATTAGTCATCATGACAACCACATATTCGTAGAAAACTTATTTGCATCATGGCTGAAAATAGACCCATGTAGGGGCGCTTCTTCGTCCTCATAAAGTTTTTATTTTGCAAGGGAACAGAACATTTTAACTTAAACATAAATTGTAGGTGATTGTAAGTGAGATGATATCTAAACCTGATGATAAAAAAACAATATATATCATTCCTTTCTTACATTTGACTAATAAACCAACACTATAAATGTCAGACAGTCAATTATTTACTAAATGGTCACTTTCCTCACCAGATGAATTTATTGGGATATAGAGATACTCATCCTGCCCTCTGTCCTTCTGTACACCATTGTTCTCAACAGGATATTTTCTCAAGTATTCTCATTTTCATTATTCAGACCAAAATTGGTCAAAATGTGCCAATTTTCCACGATCTTTGAGTTGTTCAAGTTCTTTGTTCAAGTGAGTGCAAATGGATTTTCCGTTGGTTGGAAGCCTGTTTTTAAAATCTCAGTTTGGAAAAGTAGTGGAGCAAATTTGTTCATATTTTGTATGTGAATACTATAAGCATAGCACACTGCCTAATGACACTTTTGGTAGAAGGTGGCCATTTCGAAAAATGGCTGCCATTTTTGCTATATACTTTGTTTGTAAAAATGCCGGCCATGGCTGTTCGATCGGATTTGCTACACTTTGGTGTTGCTGTTGTCTAGTTAGCATAGGGCTCTGGTCAAGAGGAAATGCATGCTAAATTGAAAATGGCAGCCATTTCTCAGGAAAATTTTGATTTTTCTGATTACACAAACACTAGTGACTAGATTTGATCAAAACCATCACGTGTGTCAACTTTTTCAAAAGGAGACAAAACTAGTACTCTATTTACTGGTTATTTCTATTATGCAATGTCAGAAATGATGAGATGTTTTATAAAATGGTGATTAACCAAAATACCATAGTATCTGAAAGGACCATAAGAATGGTAACAAAACTTATCCCAAACTCGTCACTTAAGCTCCAATCTAATCAATAAGATCCCAAACTTATCATCAATATCCTAGACTTGGGTATCCTAAACCTATCCCATTTATATTAAACTTATCCAAACTGATCACATATCCCAAACTTTTCCCAAATATTCCAAACTCACCACATATATTCCAAACTTATCCCCAAACCTTGAAGTGTTTCATTTCAAATGTATTGAAATATATATTGCCTTTGAAAATGGTCCATAGTGATTGGAGAACATAAAACAAGAAAAAGTTATTACATTTCAAAAAAATTGGTTTGACGTAAAGTATCTTTTATCATTATTTGTTTGTTGGGATTTGCTACTTCATGGAGTTGCTGTTATCCATGTAAAGATGAACAGTATTGGTGTCAGGTGTTATTAATCAAATATAAAATGGGATTAGTAATTGAAGTGGATTATACCTGAGTATATAACACAAAAACAATCCTGATGGGTTAATGCCTCAGCAAATTGTTCAACAGTTCTTTTGCTAGAGCTTAACTAAATACAGTTGAACTACATGTATACACATGATTTTATAAAGTTCAGAACACGACTGAATGTAAAGAGAATGAATTTACTACAATGGATTCTGATGCTCAATGCCTTGGCAAGTTCCGTGAATGGAGGTTTGCAGATACCAGGTTTCCGCCCAAAGGAAATGTCACAAGATGGAGATGTCGTTATTGGAATTGCTTACACTGCCAGTAAGCACAATAATGCAGATCGTAGCTTATGTGGTGCAACATATGCCAGTATACAATTGCCACAAGGTTGGGAACTGGTGAAGTTTATCATTGATAAGATAAACAATGATACAGATGTTTTGCCTGGGGTGAAGTTAGGCTACAGAATAGTCGATGTCTGTCGAAAGAAATCTACAAATGTTCTCAATTCCTTACAGTTGGTCCCTCAAGAGTATCATGTCTCAGACAGCAACATAACCGATTCAAGAATAATCGTGATTTATGCTGGAAGTGACTCTACCGTACCAATCAGCTATACCCTTACCCCTTTTGGGTTACCTACAATAGGGGTCAGTGCAAGTTCACAGTTGCTAAGCAACAAAGAAGAATTCCCATATTTCATGCGTATGGTACCTCCAGATCAGTACCAAGCACAAGCGATGGTCAGTATCCTTGAGCATTTCAACTGGACACAGGGCTGTCAACTTGGGACCACCTAATATGAGTGACTTCAAAATGTTGGACACCTAAGTCCAAATCTGAACACTTTTGTCCAAATTTTGAACACCTTTGGCCAACTTTTAAACACCTTTGGCCAAAGTTTGAGCACCTTTGCCAAACTTTGAGCACCTCAAATTTTTCGCGCTCGCTACGCTCGCGATATCGTCAACGGGGGGGGGGGGGGGGGGGGGGGGGGGGGGGGGGGGGTAGGTACGAAAATTTCCAATGAGCATGCGTGACATATACGGGATTCGCGTGACAAATCCGAACAAATTGCGTTCGGTTTTTTCCGACGTTCGTATTTTTACCGTATCATAAACATATTTCGAAAAAAATTCTACAGAAATATTTTTGCGTGACAATTGCCAGGTAAAATGCGTATTTGCGTGACATTTTCTGTCACGCAAAAAAAACTGGCGTGACTTCAAATTCTTCAGCAAATGCGTGACAAATACGCAAATTGCGGGACAGTTGACAGGCCTGTGGACATATGTGCTTATGATATATTCAGATGATGCCTATGGTTCACGTGGCTATCTCTTCTTAAACAGATTTCGGAAGGAAGCAGGGATCTGTTTTGCAGCTGTACATCTCTTTGAAGTGAAAACACCAGATGAGGAATACAGGGAAACTGCCAAATATTTTTCCCGGAAAACAGGCGCAAATGTCATTGTCACGTTTGCAGGACGTTATTACATTGAAAAATTCACAAAGGCATTGAAAGATGAAGGTATATATGACAGATACATTTGGGTTGGGTCCGACTCTTTTGAAGTTAACAGTGAGGCCAATTCATCATTTTGGCTCAAGTTTGAATCCTCACTTCCACCAGATTTTTCAAACTACTATTTCAGTCTTAATCCTATGACGAGACCAGATAACCCATGGTTTCGTGATCTCTGGGTTGATCTTTTTGATTGTACGTGGAAGGTCAATTCATCATCCAAACCATATTGTGAAGAGTTTGAAGATATGAAAGAAAGCAAAGTGAAGCATAGTATTTACAAGTCATATGGACTTGAGGCTGGTGCAATAGAAGTTGCAGCACTAGGTTTACATGCTATGATTCAAAATGAATGCCCAGATGCCATTGGTAATAAAACATTGCTTGACAATTGCCTCAGAGATGGACCTTTGTTGTTTAACTACACCAAGCATGTTTCCACACCTAAATATGAATTTGATGAATCAGGGGACCGTTTGACACAATATAGTATCGTGCAACACAAGATAAAAGCTGACGGTTCATGTTGCAAAAATGAAATTGTTGGTTTCTGGAGCATGTCTGATGAAAAGCTCCAAATCCAGTATGACAACTTGACATGGATGGAACCAAAAGGAACTGGAAATATACCTGAATCAGTTTGTAGCAAGCCTTGTGAATCAAACGAGATTTATTTCCAAGGAGATTTGCCATGTTGTTGGGAATGCCGGCCATGCAGGGCTAATGAAATAGTAGAAGCCAACCAAACTGAATGCAAAATATGTACTAACTTTACATGGCCAAGCACAACATACCAAGACTGTGAGGCTATTATCCCTGAGTACATTTCATACAGCAATCCTGTCATTGTAACGATCCTTGTCTTGAGCATAGTAGGTCTCCTCATATGTGGCGTGGTCCTTGTTATATACCTTAGACATTCTCACATGAAAATTCTGAGAGCATCATCAATTGAACTCAGCTATTTCATCCTTATGGGGATAGCGTCAACTTACGCCACTGCCTTCAGCTTCTGTACGGACCCTGGGCTCATTGTATGTTACTGGAGACAACTGGGGTTCAGCATCAGCTTCTCACTAATTTATGCGCCTCTTCTAACAAAAGCAACTCGTATTTATCGAATCTTCAGGGCGACAGAGACATTTGAGCAGGCGAGGAGATGTATGAGCATGGGAAGCGTTGTCCTAACTGCAAGCATACTGTGCTTTGTCCAGGTGTGTGATTTATTTGATTCATAATTGAATTCTAGAATATCCTTCACTGTATGTTTTAGCCAGTCATATTGGTTACCACATGTTGATCTATCTAATAGTTTTCAAATTTAGTAGCGATTTTCAATCTGTTATGTCCTATCTTTTATTAGTTTTAATTATTTTTAATTGTAGGTCCTTGTATCAGTAGGAATTGTGGTACTATCTCCACCAACCATGGAATATCAGATGCCGGTAGCAATGGAGAAGTATGTTGAGCTGAAATGCAGCCTGCCTCTATGGGCATTGATCACAACCTTGAGTTACAATGTCCTACTTGTTATTATGACAATTATACTAAGTTTCTTGACAAGAAAGCTACCAGAAAATTTTAATGAGTCACTTCATATGTTTCTGTCTGTGTGTGCTACATTGTTTTTGTGGATTGCTTTCATCCCGATGTATTTCTCGGCATTTTATGAGGCACAGAAGTCCTTGCTTTTTGCACTGGCATTAATCTTGAATGCAACTGTTTCCCTTGTGTGTCTTTTCTGTCCAAGAATCTATGCGGTATATTTTGTGGAGGAAAAAGTGCAAAGGTCAACCTTCACTGATCCCACAAGTGGAATTGCCCAAGGGACAACTACTGGAACAGTGGATACTGTAGTATCCACCTCTGCAATCTTGCAGAATCAAAGCAGAACCCCACCAAAGAACACCACAGCAGAATAATTCCTCTAAGATTAATCTCCATTCATGGGAGTAACTCTAACTCTATGTGTTGGGCAGTACATTTGTCGAATGTTGACAAAGATGTGATTTATCAAATCTTGATATTTTTCCTGTATATTGGTCTCATATGTTTGGTAGCTTTTTGTGTATTTGCTGGTTTGACTGATATACATATTGTATTTAGCTTTATTGCTTGAGTTTATAGTCCTATATATATTAATGTTGTTTAAATCTTGTTTTTATTGCCATGTTACTAATGTTGAGAGTTAACATTAGTTGAAGAGAATTGATACTACTCTAACATTTATTCTCAATAAGTTGAAATCCATGTTGAGATTCTTTTTCCTGCATTTCTTAAACACGATTTGTGATTTTCTCATTCAATTTGATCTACAACGTATGAGCCTGGCTATAGGAAAACCTTAAAATTGTGCTACAGAGCCAAAAATGTGCCCAAGATTAAGAGGAAAATGTGCTAAATTCAAATTCGACTTTTTGGTCTATATATGCAAGGAAAAAATGTTAAGACACAAGCCATGGCTCATATGAAAGGTCTCTTTGTGCTTTTTACGATAAACAAAAAATCAGAATATTCAAAAAATCTGTGATAAGACCCATTTTCTTGTGGCCTTGCTCATAAATTGTTATGTCATCAATAGGACTGAAATGTTCCATGGCTTTTTGGAATGGGATCATGATAATGGTAACATGATTGTGGGAATGGAGTAATTTGGCACTGTTTTAGAATGTTGGCTTACTTGAGAGACTCACCTATTTTTATTCTAATAAATTCTGTTATCTTGATTGTCAAATGATGTTTTGTTATTTTTTTTATTTCACATGCTCACTAATTATTGGTCAAAGTAGCTAAGCAAATAACACACCATCCACAACAATGACTACAATATTCATACAAAATAAACTCCATGTCTTAAATGATGTGAGCCACACAACACCCAGTCTAAAGTTCATAAGTGTGTCAAAAGGTCCAGCATCCATTCGCAAACCAAGAAGTTAGTATTATTATCTAATACCATATGTATATTCTAGCTGCCCATTGGCTCGATAAAACATGATATGAAATAAATTAACTATTTCCCTAGAAAGTCCTGAATCCCTGCTAGTAGGGATGACAAAAAAGACTAATGATCAGTTACATCATGTTACCAGGCAATAGTATGTTTTATCTTCCCTACTACTGCATGTAGCTGAGATTATTGGAGTTTGAATGACAAAATGTCTTCTATTGCCAATAAGAAGCTGTAAGCATTAAATGCTTAAGTTAAAGGACATCTTATTATCCCATCGAACGAAGTTCGGAGGGATATAGGGAATGCCTCCGTCCGTCTGTACGTACGTCTGTACGTCTGTCCATCCATCCGTCCGTCCGTCTGTCTGTCTGTCCGTCCGTCCGTCCGGGCAATAACTCAAATACTGTTGGCCCGATTTTGTTCATATTTTGTACACATATACCCTATGGGGGTAGAAGTTCTGCTCAAAAGCCGATTTTCAAAATGGCTGCTCATTTAAAAATGGTGGCCATTTTAGTGCCGATTTTACTGTAATTTAGGTGCAATATGTAAAACTGTAATAGCAATATGTTTTAAATGTAAAAAATTATATAGGACATTGATAAAGCTAGAAATGTAGATATTAAAGAAGCACATGGCAGCCATCTTGAAAAATGGCGGCCTTTACTCGTTATTTTACGATTTTTGCTGTAACTCTAGAAGTAGTGGAGCGATTTTGTTCATATTTGGTATGTGAATACTATGAGCATGGCTCACTGTCTAATGACACTTTTGGTAGGAGGCGGCCATTTTGAAAAATAGCCACCATTATGAAAAATGGCTGCCATTTTAAATTATTTTACTATAATTCAAAAAGTAGTTGAGCGATTTTGTTCATATTTGGTTTATGAATACTATAAGCATGGCACACTGTCTAATGACACTTTTGGTAGAAGGTGGCCATTTTGAAAAATCGCCGCCATTTTAACGTATTTTACTTTAACTCGAAAAGTAGTGGAGCGATTTTGTTCATATTTGGTATGTGAATAATATAAGCATGGCACACTGTCTAATGACACTTTTGGTAGAAGGTGGCCATTTTGAAAAATGGCTGCCATTTTAACGTATTTTACTATAACTTGAATAGTGGTGGAGCGATTTTGTTCATATTTGGTAAGTGAATATTATAAGCATGGTACACTGTCTAATGACACTTTTGGTAGAAGGTGACCATTTTGAAAAATGGCCGCCATTTAAACGTATTTTACTCGGCCTTTACTTGTTATTTTACAATTTTTGCTGTAACTTGAAAAGTAGTGGAGCGATTTTGTTCATATTTGGTATGTGAATACTATAAGCATGGCACACTGTCTAATGACACTTTTGGTAGAAGGCAGCCATTTTGAAAAATGGCCACCATTTTAAAGTATTTTACTATAACTCGAAAAGTAGTGGAGCGATTTTGTTCATATTTGGTTGTGAATGCTAGAAAAAAAGCATATTACTTCTGATGACAACTTGGCTAGTGAGCAACTAGTTTGAAAATGGTGGCCTTTCTTATGTGTGTTATTTTATGATATTTGCTATATATTTCGTTTGTAAAAATGCCAGCCATTTCTGTTCGATGGGATTCGCTACACTTTGGCGTTGCCGTTGTTCTGGTTTTGTTATTCTTTACAGATTACACATATATATGTTGAGAGTGACTGTCACATTTTTGGGAAATAGTGCAGCCTCGTGAACATGTCAGTAGACAGGATATCCCCTTGGAAAAAATATTTTGCACTATTTCCCTAAATGACAGTCACTAATTTTAGCCAAGGAGATTTATTGGTTATGTAATCCTTTGAATCATAAACGTCTTTGATTTATTATGTAAATTAATATTATATACTGTATAACATGAAATATTGCCATGGATATAAAGTTGCCGATTGCCGAATGTAAAACAGAAACGGTAACATAAAATTCGGAAATATAATTAAGTAATTGAAGATCGATCTTTGTGGGCGATAATATGGTAGTTGTCTAACGTGTGTCAACTTACTGTAATAGGGTAATTTTCTAACGAGTATCAACTTACTATACTTAAACAAAAATCATAAATAAAATATGATAAAATCGAAGCTTTATTCCCCAGCATAAAATTGCAATAAAAAGTCATAAGACTTAAAATGTCAGAAGATCTAATTGTATCCAAGTGCTTTGGAAATCCCAGTATTAAAAGTTTTTAATCCCAATATTAAAAGTTTTTAATCCTGTTATTAATTGTCCTGAGTCTATTGAATTCGGATAATCACTCAAATTGTCACTCATAATGTCAGGTTTTCTGAGTCAGTAAATTGAAGGTGATTAAAATTCAGTTGTAAATCAAAATTATATTAGAGGTGTCAGCTTAGCAATATTTTATTTGGCTTTACATTTAGGGGTGTCAGGTCGGAAAACTTTTATTCGGCAATAACAATTTTGATCCAATTCTGAAAATAAAGCACCCGGATTTAATACATGCTATACAGTACTATGTCATCCTTTGCATCATTAATCTTTGATTTATTAGAATTTGAGGCGTAAATAACTGTTTGACATTTTTTACCAATTAGAAATATTAGATATTTGAGAGAAATTATCTCAAAAGTACATTATAATGACAGGGGCTTAGTCATTAGTCATTTAAATGGATAGGAACAGAGCGATCTCTTTATTATTATTTGGGAATATCCTGCCTACTGTTCCCTCTGCCTGCAGCCTTGTTAACATGTCAATGGACAGGATATCACTTGGGAAAAGCATTTTGCACTATTTCCCTAAATGACAGTCACTAATTTTAGCCGAGGAGATTTATTGTTTATGTAATCCTTTGCAAGTGCCCCCCCCCTACAAAACAAGTATATATTGACATGGAATTGAAGAGGAAGTATGACTTAATACTTAAAATGTTTTCTGAGAATTTTGACATTTGACCATGACATTAGGGTGGTTTAAAGATCAACTTTGAGAGATGCTATTTTTGTCAAAATTTTGCCATTTTCTAATACAAGAAATGAAAGCAATTGGCTTAATTATCCCAACGAACCAAGTTCGGTAGGGATATAGTGAAGCCCTCCGTCCGTCCGTCCGTCAGTCAGTCAGTCCATCCGTCCGTCCGTCCGGAAGATAACTCAAATACGAGTTGACGGATTTTCTTCATATTTAGTGGAAAGATGTATATTGGTGAATAGTTGTACGCAAAAAAAAAATTTTCAAGATGGCCGCCGCTTTAAAAATGACGGGACTTTTTCGCAAAGATCATAAATTTTTCATTCTAAACCAAAGTAATTAATATTATTGTTTAAAATTTTGGTTGTATATTTGCCACATCTATCTATTTCACATATATTCCGTGTTTTTCATCCTGACCCCCAGGGGCCGTGTATGGGGGGTCAGGAAAACAGTAATTTTCGCTAATTTTTAGATCTTTCTGAAGTATAGCTTTATTATACTCAAATGAATTAAGAGTAGATTGCAAATATTGTATCTTTTTTCTGATTCGAGCCTCGTAAAATTCAAAATGGCCGTCTAATGTACGATTTCGCAATAATTTTTCGATTCCTTCAAAGTATGGCTATATTATACTCAAATTGAAGGAATTTTGGAGTAGATCACAATTATGGTATTATTCTTCAGATTTGTACCTCAGAAAATTCAAAATGGCTGCTTTGCAGGAATTCGCAATTCTAAAATCTAAATTTTTCAATTTTAACCAAAGTAATGAGTATAATTGATTGGAATTCGGTAATTGATATTTTGTTCGTTGGGATTTGCTACTCCGCGGAGTTGCCATTATCTAGTTTTGATTGTGACTGATAATAAGAGATGTGAATAGAAATACAAATATTCTTAATAATAAATTCTCAAGGGCAATTACAAGAAAGTCTTGAGGATAAATCCCCATATGGGCATTTTATAATGACAATGATAAGTTTTGATATTATTTTGATGGTAAACATAGTGTGTACCCATATTCAGACAGTCTTGTGATAGGGGTTCTTACTGCCAATTTTTCAAAGAAACTGAAAACTAATGCCACTTTTTGAAATTCCACATCTCAAGAAAAAAGGTTTATCTACAACTTGCAATTGGTTTTAAAAGTAAATGGAAGAATGAGTTTTTTTGGAAAAAGTCTAAGTGGAGCAATAGTCTGTTAAATGGACCTGTTCTTTTGTAGAGTTAGATACAGACTTGAATGACCTCACACCTATAAAAAAAAACATTTAAAACAAACAAAAAATGAATTTTTTACAGGAACCAAGTTAATTTGATTGCTAAATGGCTTAGTAAGTTCAGTAAATGGAAGTTTGCAAATACCAAGTTACCAAGATAGCAAGTTTATTTTTTTTCATAATCCACTCTTGTTATACCTGTCCTTGTGGGAGTTGATCTCAGATTGTGTGGGAGGAAGTACTTGATAAGTCCAAGCTAGAATATTACAGATACTTCACCTGATAGGTTTTCCAAGATTATAACACTTGGATTTAAAAAATGTGATTCTCTTGTCCTCTTACACATGATCAATGGTTGCTGTTGTTTCTCCACAAAGACACCTCATTATAATGTCTAGGCCTGGAACTAATATCGTCAGATTTGACATAACAATTGATCTGAGTGTCTTAGTTGTGTGTTCTTCACAAATCCTCTGAATTGTTGCTATTGTTTCTGATACAGATATGTCCATATAAAGTGTCTATATCCCGATCTTATACATTCTTCAATGAAGTCTTGGGTTAATGTTAAATATGTATTTTAATGACATTTAATTATTCTATATTAAGTCAAATACTGTGAATCTTTTTCATATTATGGCAAATTTCGATCAAAGACTGGCATGTTGAAAATCATCCTGTGACAGTTCAATTTGTTATATGGCTATAAAAGAGAGATGTTAAATTAAGTTGATTCATAGTGATTCAACTATAAACCACTGGAATTCCAGAAAGATAAAAGTCCTCTGTGATCTTCACATTCTCAAAAACGCAGGCATTCAAACAAATTCATTTGCATCCTGTAATTCAACTTGCTTGTTTCTTGTCATGAATTTGAAAGTTTGACACATATTGTTTTGAAATTGTTTTCTCTAGCATTTGCACATTGTTTGTTTGTATCCAACACATAATCATAGGAATCCAAATCATTCATATGATCCTCTCCCATTTTGGCGCATATATCTTTCCAAACATGTTGGGAGGCTGAATTTAGCAAGTGCTACTACATCACGTGGTGTATATGTAAGCCCAAATGCCAAAGGGAAAGAACCAGAAACTGTATAGAAACCTAGTAAGAAAAGAAAACTCTGTGATCAGTTGTGATAAAATAGTTGAAATGAAATCATACCCTTTACACCCTAATATCATACAAGATAAAGCATTCAGTTATAAATAATGTGGGTCAGACAAAATCCAATTTCAAAGTCCATAATCCACCAAAGGGTCAACCAAAAATGTTAGTGTCAATGAAAAAGACATCAAAAAAGCTGAAAATGATGGATATAGCACAAAAAACATGATTTTTGAATTTTCTTCTAACGGCACCCCCTATAGGCCTCAGACCCCATTCATGAGGTTTATACACAAATATGTTCCAGAGTATTGGTGGAAGCATATTGTCTTGCCAGTCAACTTCTGACTTGAGCACCATGCTGATGGCAGCCCAATGCTCCTTGAATATACAATCAAAAGGTCAGTCTTTATTCCTATTAGAAGGCTAATTTTAACTTACCCGATGGGCAACTAGTGTATAAACTAAAGGTTTCCAGATATCCTTAATGTAATCTTCCATGGCTTATTAAATTTTGCAAAACCTTAAAAAGTTTTAAGTTCATGCACAATAGTTCATGACAAAAGAATTTTACTTTGTTGATCTGTCCCTTGATTATTGTTCTTTATTCAGATATATTTTATTCCTCTTTTTAAAAAAGACTTACTTTTTACAAACCTAACAATTATACAGTGATACATACTCCATCTTTCATTTTACACCAAAGACAGCTCAAACAGGCTACATTCGCAATTACAATAAATTATCAAAAATATTCCCTGACTTGTCTTTATACAATTTATACAGAATAATAGCATGCGTAATGTATTCCAGATAACAAGAGACAAGTAATATTTGATGGAGAATTCTACAAAGATTCTGGCACAACTCTTGAACCTACAGAGGTTTTAACATCTATAGTTATTCCTCATACCAAACAGGTACCTACATTCCCCTATATAAGTTTGGCAACTGGAAGGCTTCATTTCATAGTGTGTATAAAGCCTGGCTATATATTTTAAGATCAAAATAGGTGGCAAGGAGTAAAGTCATACCTTCCAAATTGATCGCCATTTTTTGACATTTCAGAATGAGTACTATGCAGCTTATAAAGAAGGAGAGAGAAATGCCAATAACCTAGCAATAGTCAATGCTGCATTCCGTGTGAAACTGCAGGAGAATGATCCAACCATTGATGAACTTGTTGCTGTGTTTGGGGGACTGGCTCCCACTGCTAAATGTGTCAATCTTGAAAAGTTCATTGGACAGTGAGTGGTCTATGTGTATTTGATTGTTAAAAGGTGGTGGTGGATATGTATTGTTGAAACTGTAAGAGGAACGCATTCGTCCGTCCATCCGGGCAATAACTCAAATACCGTTGGCCCGATTTTGTTTATATTTTGTACACATATGGGGGTAGAAGTTCTGCTCGAAAGTCGATTTCCAAAATGGCTGCTCATTTAAAAATGGTGGCCATTTTAGTGCCGATTTTACAGTTATTTAGGTGCAATATGTAATACTGTAATAGCAATATGTTTTAAATGTAAAAAAGTTATACATTATATAGCTAGAAATGTATTAAATCTATTAAAGAAGCACATGGCAGCCATTCTGAAAAATGGCTGCCTTTACTCGCTATTTTACGATTTTTGCTGTAACTCGAAAAGTAGTGGAGCGATTTTCTTCATATTTGGTATGTGAATACTATAAGCATGGCACACTGTCTAATAACACTTTTGGTAGAAGGCAGCCATTTTGAAAAATGGTCACCATTTTAACGTATTTTATTATAACTTGAAAAGTAGTGGAGCGATTTTGTTCATATTTGGTATGTGAATAATATAAGCATGGCACATTGTCAAATGACACTTTTGGTAGAAGGTGGCTATTTTGAAAAATGGCTGCCATTTTTGCTATATACTTTGTAAAAATGCCAGCCATGGCTGTTCGGTGGGATTTGCTACGCTTTGGAGTTGCTGTTGTCTAGTTTAATATATTTGAAGTACTGTACTTCTACTTAATTTGGCGGTCATTTTAATTTGGCTGATCTGCCAAATAAAACGGCCGCCAAATTAAGTAGCTGCCAAATTCAATATTTCATATTTGAATCATAAATTTACATATATGGTATATACATTTCAATATTGCAAGTTCGTTAAATTAAGTAGTTTGCTAAATGTTCAAAACACCATGATCCACTTAAATAAGTAGCACCAAATTAAGTAGAAGTACAGTGATAGGTCCCTCTGGTAATATTTTTATTATATTGAATTGATGTTATATGATATAACATATTCGAAGAAATTTCATTTTTTAAACTCCATTCTAGCACATGGGAAGACAAACTAGTAGGTGATGTGTATGATTTCCTTGCATCAACTCTACTGCCTGCAGAAAATAGAGATACCGATGATTCAAGGTTTAAAATCAAACTGGCTCAGGGATTTTTCTACAAGTTCTACTTATCAGTGGTATTAGCATTGAAAAAGAAAGGTGTGAGTATTTTTGTGGTCAGACCTACAAAAAGTGATATTTGAATTGTATCGTGTATACTCATCAAATGTTTTAAATGTTTGCGTTTCCATCCATTTCAATCTATTCTCAATTCAGGTTTTGCTTTTAAATGCTATCACTTTAAATATTTTGAGTTAATATTGTGTGAATGCAATAATAATACAAAAACTTTCACCACTTACATGTAGGGTACAGTGACATAAATTGTGTGACATTAATGTCAAAGAAGTGGTTGACGCTTTCATATGATTTTGGCATTTATGTGGTCCATGCTGCCCAGAACAGTTCAAATTTCGTAATGTTTCATTTTTTTTACTTTATCATTGTAGGTTGATGGCATTGATATACCTAGCTCCATGGAGCCTTTCAGTACCACACTAGACCCTGGTAGTTTCCAGAGTATTCAGCTTTATGAGAGTGTACCCTCAGGGCAGCCAGTGGATGATCCCCTAGGGCGACCAGTTGTACATAAATCAGCCATTTTACAGACCACTGGGGAGGCTACGTATCTAGATGATATCCCACCATTTAAAAGTAAGTGCAGTCATATGTGTAATTTCGATTTTTGGCTATCACTGGACAGGATACTTATGGAGCAATACAATTTCATGTTTGAAGACGATCCAACCCCCATAGCAGACAATTCCATAAATTAATTTCATGATATGTGCATTAACTAGCTAGTGTACATGTATATGTACATTTGAAAGTCCCTTGCAGGTCCCCCTATCTTTGATTTATCAAGGAAAACTGCAAGAAAAGTCTGAAAATATGATACATAAAATTTATTTCTGGTATGACTATACATACAACTCTTTACATCTCCAACCCCCAAAAAATAATCACTTGTAGGTTTAAACCGAAAAAGCAATATCCGCCGAGTTGACAGGATTATTTGAGACCCTCATTGTGTCAAAAAAGCAACTCTGACTATTTAGCGGCCCACTAGTAGATATTGTATGATATAATACAATCTGGAAAGACAAAACTGGAAAAACTTAAAATGAAATATTATTACAGCTCAACAAGAATGAGCAATTATTACAGGTGCTAGTACCTTAATATGTTTCAGATGAGCTCCACATGGCGATGCTACTGAGCACTAGGGCCCATGCCAAGGTCATGAAGGTGGACACAGCAGATGCACTGAAACTACCAGGTGTAAGGGCCTACATCGATCATACTGATGTAACAGGAAGTAACCAGTTTGCTGAAGATGAAGTTGTGTTTGCAGAAGAAGATGTAAGTTCATTGTTTAAGGTAGTTCCACACTTTCAGAATTTGGAAAAATGAAATTTGTGAAATGTCATTTAAAACAAACTTTGATGTTTGAAGTTTAAATTATGTATTTTATGATAACATACATGTATTAAGAAGTCCGATCAAATTTGACCCCCTCTTATGTAGTCTCTATATATGAAAAACTGTCCAATCCTGGTGCCGAAAGGGAGCTCCGCTCCAGAAGAGAATATGTTTTACCAGTGAGAGCGTCTGTGAAATACCTAAATTCACCAGCCATAAAGCCTATCTCCATTTGGAAAAATCTTTCAACTGAAATAAAAACATCGCCAACCCTAGCAATATTCAAGAAAAACTATAATAAGAAATATACATTTCATAAAAAGAATATTTTAACAAAAAATCTTAATTTGAAAAGGTCTTCTGAAACTAAACTTAATAAAATAAGAAGCGACCTTGCCCTTAAAAGTGACTTTTTTAGACATAATTTCAACAACATCATAGATCCTTCTTGCCCCTGCGGCCACCGAAATCAAGATAAGATTCATCTTTTACTCGACTGCCCTCTAACCGCCATACATAGAAATGATTACATACAGAACATCCTAAAGTTAGACAATCTTGATATTATGTGCTATTTTGGAAAAACAAGAAAGCAAAAAATAGAATTTATACTTTATGGAGATGAAAATTTAAATAGTGAACTGAATACAAAATGCCTTCAACTATCTTCAAATTATATCGATAACATCTTAGAATGACCATCCTCCTCATTTCACATCATCTCTCATTAACACTCATATACATCATCATGGGCAAGACCTGGTGGACGACCGTCTGTCCGTTGCAATCCTACACACTCCAGTGACTTATTATATGTTTTTAACTTTCTAGAGGGGGGCCAATAATGCTATGTAGCCTCGGCCCCTCACAATCTATGTAAATAATTATGTTGAATATTATAGAAATAAATAACAATAACCTAAAAAAAAAAAAATTAAGATAAATTTTGAAAAGATATTTTCCATTTTACTATGTAATGGTTATGTTTGAACTTAAAACGCCATTTTCTCAAGACCACAAAAAGTCCACATACGAGTATATAGGAAACACTGGTGACTATATACCGACCTAGTCCCTTGTTTTTCCATGAGCTATATATAACATGTAGGTCCAGTACCAAGGGAAGGTGATTGGAGCTATCATAGCAGAGAACAAAGTGGTAGCACAAAGGGCAGCTAGGACATTACAAGTGCAATATGAGGACCTAGTCCCTTGTCTTAATATAAACTATATATTGCATGTAGGTCCAGTACCAAGGGAAGGTGATTGGAGCTATCATAGCAGAGAACAAAGTGGTAGCACAAAGGGCAGTTAGGACATTACAAGTGCAATATGAGGACCTAGTCCCTTGTCTGACAATACAAGTAAGTATATACAGTATATACAATACCTGATATATCCTGATTTCATTTTGTTTAACAGCATCACTTAAAGGTGCTACAAAGATTAGGAGAGTTGAGAGTCGTGTTGAGACTAATTTTTTAGCTCACATGGTGAGCTATTGCAATCACTCACTTGACTGTTCTCTGTCTGTCCATCCATCTCTCTTTCTAAACGCATGTCTTAATTTTTTGAAATCCTGTAGTTGAAAATGATTTTTTAAGGATGCTATCAAATTAGAACGGTTTGCCAAACCAACAAGGCAAATTATAAATGGAGATGTAGACAGTGTCATGGCAAACTGTGATGTCATCCTTGACGATGAGATGGTAGTTGGGGGACAGAAACACTTTTACTTTGAACCTGTCAGCGCACGCTGTATTCCTGGAGATGGAGGAGACATGGAAGTAATGTGTTCATCACAAAATTTAAGCGGTATCCAGGTGTGATAATATTCATATTCATTTGTAATTTTGTTCAATTTCTGGGAATTTATTTCCAGTTATAACCATCAGAAATTCCAGGAACGATGATACATTAAAAAATAAACCCCGATAGTGCAAGAAATGCCATGTACAGGGTGTTTCATATGTATGCTCCCCCCATAAACTCATAATTGTACCATTGTTCCTTATGGAAAGTTACATGACATTGCAAAGTTTCAGAATCCAGTGGTGCCCCTGAAAAAAGATACAATGTATCAAAGTATGTGGGAACGTGTCATTTCGAGGGGAATTTCTGGTCATTCTGAAGGCAATTTAAAGGAAAAATTAAGTTTCTGTATTGCAAATTTCTAGCAGTTGTCATCATGGCAGAGTTCAGTGCACATAGGTGGGATAGTTATGCGCAAAGATATATAGATAGGATTCATGCAGTGGCTTATAGGGGGGTTAGAGACCCTGGTGCGACCTCTATCACTAAAAATGGGTATGAGACAAAGTGAACAGAGCACCAGACTGAGTCTAAAAATGACCAGACGTTACCCCTGAAATGATCCCGTGCCCACAAACTTTGATACATTGTATCTTTTTTCAGGGACACCCATGGATTCTGAAACTTTGCAATGTTATGTAACTATGTAACCTATGTAACATAAGGAACAAAATGATATGTAACATGATAGGGTGGCAATACTGCATGTATGAGTTTATGGGGGGGGGGGGTGCATACATATGAAACACTCTGTAGAATACCATCAATAACTGTATTTTCTTTTTTTATTGTTAATATTAACAGAGTGCCGTATCGACTGGACTAGGAGTTGCTGCACACAGAGTAGTGGCGAAAGCACAGAGAATAGGAGGAGGATTTGGGGCCAAGAACGCCCAGCCGAAATATGTGGCTGTCCCTTGTGCTGTAGCAGCTAATAAGTAAATAGTAATTTATGAATTATAAAGGGTTTGTAAAGATTTACTGTATTATTATGGGTATCTTAAAATAAATGTGTCATGCCCTTCATCTTTTTTAAATATATATTCCGATATGTCAAGTATCTTGAAAGTGTATTAAAGTGTCTTAAAATGTATCTTCAGATTGAAGTGTCCTGTGAGGTGTGTGCTGGACCGCAGTGAAGATATGCAAGTCATTGGAGGTAGACACCAACTACTAGTCAAATACAAGGTATAGCAGGGGGCCTATAGAAAGGGATGTTTGGGTGTCTCAACTGCTGATTACAGCATTCATGTATTACGTACCTAGCAAAACTTTTGTATGGGAGGGAGTCAATGAAAAAGTAGGTGGCCTATACATAGATGTGTGATGTCATTAATAAAAAGTAGCCATTTAAATAAAAGTAGAGGGCCTGCTGTGCTAAAATGGTTGGCCTGTATTGGCAGAAAAATGGTGGCTGTTACAGTGTTACATGTTATTTTAGGTTTTTGCTGTAACTTGAAAAGTAGTGGAGCGATTTTGTTCATATTTGATATGTGAATACTCATAAGCATGATACACTGTCTTATGACAGGTTCGCTAGTAGGCGGCCATTTTTAAAAGGGTCACCATTTTTATGCACCGAGGTATGCTATTTTAGTTTTTTGGTATTTCTCAATACTGGAGTACTTCCAGTACTGGAGTATTTCTCAGTGCTGGAGCGATTTTGTTGAAATTTAATGTGTGACTTTTTGACTTCTCCCCTTATTTGAAATCACTTTGTTGAGTCCGTCCTGTTTTGTGTAGTGTTCCAACATTGAAATCATAGAAAATCCAGATATCATTTGTAAAGTATTTAGGATAAAATTTTCCCATTAGGTTGGATGCTCCAAAGATGGTGTGCTGCAAGCCTTGGATGTGACTGTTTACTACAACTGTGGTGCCAATGCTAACTACACTGGGTCGGTAAGTGGGGTACAGAGAAGCTGTCCATCTCTCATTCATTTATTATGCAATGATGCATGCTTTTTATTATAATATTCCATTACTTTTTTGTTCCTTTTCTATATTTCAACACCACAATGTTCTTTACTATAGGTTCTTGAAAAGACCCTATTTGAGGTAGGGAACTGTTACAAGGTGCCTAATGTATGGGTGACTGGACGCTGCTGCCTCACAAACATCACACCTTCTAACACCATGAGAGGACTGGGAGTGCCATCTGTCATCCTTGTAGCCGAGAAATGGATGATGCAACTTGCTGCAAAACTCAATATATCTGGTGAAGAGGTGATATGTTCTAGAAGATATGAATGTTAGAATTAATCTGAAATGGGTATTAAACTTTTGGGATTTTTGGCCTTTCAAATCGCCTCTCTTCCATCTGTTCTTTCATAATTGTGTCTGTTGATAACAATTTCAGAAACTGCCATTCATCTAAACTAATGTCCATTTTATGGGGTCCATCCTGCACTGGCAATTTACACCATTGTTTCATTTGCTTTTTGTCCTCAAAATATTGTATTATGACAACATATGGGTCTGTATCATTTATAGTGTTTCCAAATTAAATAATACATGTTGCTATTGATCTTGAGAAGTAATAGATATAGTATCAGTGTGAGTTTCAGCTCACCAGGTTTTGTAGTTTTCTCTGGATGCTCAAACAATGGTTGAATGAGTTATCTCATTATCTATGATATAAATCCATGAAGATGAAGCTCAAGGTCAAAACTGAGTTTGTTCTACACTCACCGCAATGCAACGTGTTTGGTACTGAAATCAAGTTGAAGATCCAGGCCTTTGTGTTCCACCTGTCATAATAAGCATATACCTTTAGCTTCGACAACGTAACTTCTACAGAGAAGGTGACCACACTCACTACAACCAGTTGCTAGAGGGGGTCACCCTAGAGAGATGTTGGAATGAGTGCATGGACTCAAGTCAGTATGTGCAAAGGAAGAAAAATGTGGAACAGTTCAACAAGTAAGATAATTATTCTATATTTGTTTCTATTTTCATTATAATGAGATATAAAATGAATATCCCTTCAATCTCCAAAAGGCATATTATAGAAAGGTACATGATATGCATTACAAGAAGAATATTACGGGTAAGGATGAGGGATTTCAAATTGATTTCAACTTGAGTTGCTATATTTGTTATTAATTTAATAACTAATATTAATTTGTGTCTTATCATCACTAAAAATGGATTCTCCAATCTATTGCTGCCACTTTGATACAACAATAGATCAACAATCCTAGTGTAGTATTCTAATACATATATTTTACTTAGATGCTCTATTTTCTCTCCATTTCTTTAATAAAGCTTAGCACATACAGTATAGTAAAACCTGTGTAAGTGGAACACGCTTGATTCCACTAAACTGTCAAATGTTCCACTCAGGAATGTTTTGCTTTTAATTGTAATTCCATGGTCACATTTGCTCCGATTGTCAACACCCGCGCACGGCTGTTCAGTTTTTTGTTCTAAATTGTAGCAAATGTGACTCAGGCATGATAGAGGTGTTCCACCATATTAACCTATATTACTGTAATAATATACTGGTATTTAATTTTACATAGAGAAAATAACCTAAAAAAGCGTGGAATAGCATTGATGCCTTTGAAGCAGGGTGTTGGGTTTAACAAACTAGTTGCATACCAGGGGGCAGCACTGGTGCATATCTATACAGATGGCTCTGTAAGACTCACGCATGGTGGTGTTGAAATGGGCCAGGGTTTACATACCAAAATGATACAGGTTGGTGTTTTCTCAATGTCTCAGTAGTAGATGAAATAATGTCACTGTTCATTTCTAATATGAGTGTTGACACATTGTTCTGGGTTTCACTATTGACGTGTCCACCATTTGCCATTCACAATTAAAAATCTATATAGGATCACCCATTGGTGGGTACTTGTTGCAAACATGTGTGTCCTTGTCGTAACATGGGGATAAAATGATATTCATATTGACTTAAACTCAGTCAGGTTTATTTAGAGTTTAAGCAATATTTCTCACCATTGCATGGCAATAAATCTTTTTAGGTTTTATATTTTATATTCCATGCACAAATCTTGTACTTGGTATCCCAGCAGACCTTGTATGCATCAGAGAGACCAGTACAAACCTTGAACCTTAGACAATGCCTTCTGGGAGCAGTATGTGACCTCTTGTATTTTATATTTCAGGTTGCTGCAAGAACCCTTGGTATCCCAGTAGACCTTGTATACATCAGAGAGACCAGTACAGACCTTGTACCTAACACAATACCTACTGGGGGAAGTATGAACTCTGACCTTTATGGGACAGCAACATTGGTGTGTATAACCTTTGGTTTAATTAACACCAAATACAACAGAATACATCAAATACAGTTTATATATTGGCTGTTACATTTTAGAAGTTGCAGGGCTAAAAATAAAGAGATCTCACATAATTTTTCAATCAAACAGTGATCACATTTTTACATAATTTGAAGTCACAATACCTTTTGGGTGTATGATTGATGCAATTAGATAAGTAAAATTACATCCATATAGCCCTCCGTCCATCTGGACTGACAATAATACCATTGGCTCAATATAATTTATATTTTATATACTTATATGGCCCATGCTAGTACAAGTTCTGCTCGAAAGCTGATTTTGAAATAGCCACCAGTTTCAAGATGGCTGCAGTTTTAGTGATAAGTTTACAATATTTTATGAACAATATATTCAACTAATATCAATATGTTTTAAATGCAAAAATGTATACAGGATAATGATGAAGTTCGATTTTAGCCTGCCATCTTGAAAATGGTGGCCGTTACATGCTATTTTACGATCTTTGCTGAAACTAGAAAAGTAGAGGATCAATTGATATTTTGTTCATATTTGATAAGTGAATACTCATAAGCATGGAAACTGTTTTAGGACACTTTTGCTAGAAGGTAGTCATTTTGAAAAATGGCCACTTTTTGATAAATGGTCATTTTCTATTTTTTATTTTACGAATTTTATATGTTAACGATTTCATGTAGAAGCATATAAACTTTCTTATGACAATTTGGCTAGTGAGAGGCCATTTTTATTATTTCAGAATGCCTGTACACTTAAAGAGACTAAGCCATACATAACTCCAAACTCCATCATCAGATTACATGTGAAATAATTGATTATTATTTCAGAATGCTTGTATAACATTAAAAGAAAGACTTCAGCCATATATAGATGCAGCTCCCAACTCCAGTTGGAAGGAATGGGTAAGTGAATTCTGGACTGGGACACACTCTTATGTTTTGCTCTTAATTTTCATTGTTTTCATTATGTGTGTTGATGATCGTTAGAGAGCTTTCGATATAAGTTTTCAGCCATACTTAAACCGTAACTTTAACTTTTGAATGACATAAACACCACTGGGGAGGAAGGTTTCTCAAGTAAAGAAACCTGAACCCATGAACTACATACTTGCCAAATATTTTGTTGTGATTTGAAAGATGAAAGCACATCTTCATTTCCAGTGTTCATCCCCAGTACTATACCTGATTTGTACAAGTTAAGGTTTGCGGATATGTATTCCAAATAACTTATATCGAAAGCTCTCTATTATTATGAGTTTTTAACTAAAAAATGATAACCAATTTTAGAGGATCTGTTTTGTCTAAAATAAGTTAAAAATAACTTCTTCAAAGAGAGTTGGTGGTTGTTAATAGATTAGATTACTTTGAATGTTGTTCCTTTCAGATGTTGTAGCTCGACATAAAATTTGAAACTACTAAGATGTTCTGGATTCGTCGAGTGCCAAAATGAACTCATTAAAAGTATGTGTGTTGAAAACGTTTCTTGTTGTTTCAGGTGAGAGCTGCCTACATGGATAGAGTGAGTTTGTCAACCACAGGCTTCAATAAGTAAGTTATCGATACTCTGAGTTTCTAATGCAATGATTTTTATAAAGCAAGATATTCACATATGTCAATTAAGAAAACATTTTGAAGTACCATTCAGAAATGCATGCTTGTAAAATATAGCACCCATTTTTAGTATATATAGTACATAGCTAAGACATTGCAAGAGATTTGGAGGTCATTATGAATCTGAGGAGCAAATGGGGTCAGAAAGGAAAGGAACTATTTTAAAAACTATTGGTTCTCAACATAAAAAGTATATGTTAAAAATGGAGTACAAGTAAATGTGTGTTTACTAGGATCCCCATATCTGGTTTTGACTGGAAGACCCTGAGTGGGGAAGTATACACATACTATGCCTATGGAGCGGCTTGCACTGAGATAGAACTTGATTGCCTCACTGGGGCCCACCAGGTAAAAAATTCATATGCTTATAATGCGCTTATTCGATATGTTTTTGGGATGGGGTATTTGATTTTTAGGTATTTTTTCATACACTGTAATTTACTGTCCATTTCATGCCACTTTGGTTTATAATGTCACCACTTCAAATGGTGACATATTGTTGTGGTTTCCAACTTTTTTTCTGGCAGCGCTTGGTGTTTTGCTTTTGTAACAAATGGCATTTCATTTTTGCCATAGTGGCATTTTTTTGTTTTAAATGAAACTAAAGTATGTAAAAGCCAACTAGCAGTTGCATTTTCAAAAGAATTGTTTATCTTTAAAGTAAACTGAACTAATTTTATGATTGATGTCCCATTTTTAGATTCTGCGTACAGATATTATGTATGATGTTGGCACTAGTTTGAACCCAGCTATAGACGTCGGCCAAATAGAGGGCGCCTTTGTGCAAGGCATTGGCCTGGTGACCTCCGAGAAAGTCAGCTATGATCAAAATGGCCGTCCAATGTCAACTGGTACCTTCACTTACAAAGTTCCAACTTCAAAAGATATCCCAAAATCATTCAATGTGACATTATTGAAAGACAGTCCCAATAGGCTACAGAGGGCTGTGTACTCATCAAAGGTAAGCAAGCCATCAGAAGTTTTAATTGTGAATATTGAGTTACATTTTTATTAGGTGGCACATGATTACTTGATGCAGTGGCATAATCACTCCCCTTCCCTCATATGGACTTAATCAAAAGTATTGTATCGTGGTATCCATTATTTTCACTAGTTATATGCAGAAATTAATCTGAATAGTTTTGCGGATTGTACAAGTACACATTAATATAAAAGATTATGTATGACGAATTGGTCGCGAGAAAGAAATATATATAGCACTTGGTTATGGTTGTTCCCAGCAATGGTCATAATGTAATTTCACTTGTTGATGATATTTTGCAGGCTGTTGGTGAGCCACCACTGTCTCTCTCTGCGAGTGTCTTTCTTGCTATACATCATGCAGTCATGGCAACCAGGAAAGATGTCACACAGGAGAACCAAATAAGGTTTGATAGTCCAGCCACAAAGGAGAATATCCGACTTGCATGTGGGAACATGTATTGAAACTCTCTGAACCATTGTACTTCAAACTGGCTGAAGAAATATGACGTAATATATGGAACTAACAAACTTTTATCGATTATGAATATTGTGATTTTATGAAATCATGTGACTTTTATAGAAATTTTTAAAAAAAAAACCTGGAATCATATTTTGCCTAAATATTTTAAATAAAACTGTGGACATGCCTCTATAAAGAACATTTTTAGTTTTATAATCCAACAAAAAGAAGTCCTATGGGGATAAAGAGAAGCTGTCATTTTTATTATAAAATAGTGATTAAGTCACCACCATGAATGGTATATATTGTTATAGTCTCTCAAGTTTTTTGTGGACAGCGGTTGATGGATGGTGTTTGGCAGCCGGTGTTTGAAACAAATACTTACAACTTCCAATAAATTAACAAGTACTGTCAAAAGTAATCTGTACATCATTCAAGAACAAACCTCAAAAGTGAGATCATCCTTGTCATTCAGGCTATACCTGCTGACAAATGCATTCGGGTCATCAACAACTGTGCTGTTTTGCCTACAGTGCAATGATGGCCAAACCTGAAGCATGTTATTCAAAGTGCTGTAAAATTGGGTAGAGGTTCTATGTAAGCAGTCACGACACTTAGAGCATTTTCCCATGTAGGACACCCATGGAAATTCTCCTTGTGTCCACTACAAATTTGGGAAACTTTATTTCTACATTTCACATGCAAGCCACATCAATTCATATGTAGTTTCCTCTTAATTCCACGAACACTATGACACACCATTTGTCTCTAAGCTCAATGTCCAACATGTGTCAGGTACCTATACACATCGCGACCGATGCAAGCAGTCACGAAAATTCAACAAATCTCGTCCACATCAGTTATGCCTGTGAAATCTCCTCCACACGTGCGCACGTATACGTAGTACTAACTCCCTTACATGCGCGAATCTCGCCCACATCCGTTTTGCCTGTGTATTCTCCTCTACACGTGCACGTAGTACTTACTAATTCGCCCTAATTCCCCTGTTTCACATCTTCGCACAGATTGGTGGGGTAAACGGGGGTACGGGGAAACGGGGGTACATACTCATGCATTTACATATCTCCTATACACTTCATCCTACTATATTACGTACCGTGGTTGGCGGGGTAAACGGGGTAGATACTCTGACATGTAATTACATATCTCCTATACACTTCATCCTACTATACGTATCGTGGCTGGCGGGGTAAACGGGGTACATACTTCACATGTATTTACATATCTCCTATACACTTCATCCTACTATAAGTCATGTAAGTACCGTGGTTGGCGGGGTAAACGGGGTAGATACTCTGACATGTATTTACATATCTCCTATGCACTTCATCCTACTATACGTACCGTGGCTGGCGGGGTAAACGGGGTACATACTTCACATGTATTTACATATCTCCTATACACTTCATCCTACTATACGTACCGTGGCTGGCGGGGTAAACGGGGTACATACTTCACATGTATTTACATATCTCCTATACACTTCATCCTACTATATTACGTACCGTGGTTGGTGGGGTAAACGGGGTAGATACTCTCACATGTATTTACCCATCTACCATACACTTCATCCTACTATACGTACCGTGGCTGGCGGGGTAATCGGGGTACATACTTCACATGTATTTACATATCTCCCATACACTTCACACTCAAAGCCACTTAAGTGTGAAATAGATTTTGTTAAAAAGTGAAAAAAATTCTAAAATGTTTTTTCAAATAGACATATAGTATATATCTGTATACAATTGTACATTCGTTACCCAAGGCATTTAAGTAAACTCCAAGGGAAATTGGCGAATTTTCAAATTGAAATTAGGGTCCGTCTCAAACATGAATTCCTTAAGTAATGCGGGCTCAGCAGGTCATTATGACAGTTTGATTCAAAGAAACGCAAATTCTTTGGCACGCTCTGTAACTAAGAAAGATCGAGGTAGTAAAAAAGGTTGTAGGTGTGGTGTCAACCGAATAAGAAGTGGAAAAGAAATCTAATGCTGTGTAGGTAGAAGATGCCCATGTTCTTCAAAAAATGCTAAATGTCAACAATCGTGTGCTTGCCCTTCAAAAAATTGTAACAATGGTAAACCAAAAAAGGAATTAAATGTGAAAAAAACTAGAAGGAGACTAACAAAAGCCAGCAAGAAACATGTAACATCTTTCGAATACTGTATTTGTCGAACAATTTGCAAGAAATTAATACTGGGCCGACGGATAAATTCCAATTTTATCTTATTGCCGTGATATACAGATTGCTAATAAAGAGAAAGGGTAAAGAAACGGTAGACGTGAATAGGGTTTATGATATATACTGTAAGTGCATCGACGCAATTAATAAAAGAAGAATGGCAAATGATTCGATTACGAAAATGAACATAAAACAAGTAAAACGTGTTGTCACAAATATAGACAAAAATGAATTTATACTATATTCCAAAGTGTGTAAACGAAATTCTTAAAATACAATTGCCTTTAAACGTTTGATATTGTGGTAGACTTTGCCATTTTCAATATTATTGCCTCGTGGACGATGGTTTACACTAGACATATGGCGCGCATCGCCCCGTGATGTATAAAGTTAGCAAAGAAGATGTGCAGCTGAGATAGGAGGATGAACTTTAACATATTGAATTTTGTTTTCAAAATATAAATTATCCATACTTTGCAAATTTCAAAATACCATCTTAGTTAGTACATGTTCGAAATGTGTATTGGGAAAATTTAATATCATGATCACTTGTTATAACACGAGGATCACTTTCTTTTACATTAGGCGTAGATATAAGCATATACGCATTTTTAATAATAGCTTAATGCTACTAATAGGCGACTGATCACTATAATTGTTGGGTAACGGTGGTCTCAGTTATTACACTATTTTCATTCAATGATTTAATGACATACTTTTATGGTCCCTCGATTACATACATCTGCTCTGTACATAATGACCACTTGACAAGTTGCACTCTCCAGATACACGAATGTGCGAATGATCTACTGATATTTGAACTACGATGTCTTCTACAGAAACATTCAACAGTTTAGTCCCATGACAGAGCACATAATTAGTCGAAATTAACATTTGGAAATATTGTGTAACATTATGTAAAACGCCACGCTGAAAATAGGTTCAGTCGCTACTCATTAATTTAGATTTTGAGTGGATGATTAACTTACATTATACGTTTGAACTTTACATTAGTAGAGAGATTTCGCACGGCGTGAAAGTACAACTTATAACGTATACTTATACTTATAACCAAACGTACAAGGTGTTTCATTATGTGGGCTTTTCGTCAGGAAAGATCTTCTCGGACTGTAATAAATAAAGGTCAAAGGGATGCCATTTGTTCTTTCTTGAATTGTAGCATGTTTAGTTGATCCAAATGTGTTTGTCTAGAATAAAATAGGCTCATATATAGTACGTATGTTATAGACCTATCTTTTATCAAATTGACTTTTTGAGATGCTCGTTATGAAACACCCTGTATGTCATTTGTTGAGCTACTGAATGGGTCGTTTCCAGGAATTGCTAGAACCTACTAGTTTGATTGGTGTTTCAAATTGATGGTTTAAGTATTTGATTGGATACTGTTCCTACTCAGCCAATTGTTTTTAAAAAATGCTTGCGGTCAATTGTTCCACACACATGCAGGTAAAGCTTTATACGGAGATCCAACTGTATACGTTGATCATCTCGTATATATACCGTTTTGTAAGTTCATTGAACTTATACTGATCATGAAAACTTTGAAATAATCAACTTGTTTATGCCATGACACGCTTTAAAGGATTATGACTCACTTTAAAAGATCGTGTTTATAATACACTACAACTACTAGGACACGGAAGTAAGCATTTAAGTATAATGTGCATAATCTACACGTGCATTCACAGTTTCTAGTTGATGGAGCTTTTCTGTATCGGGAATAGTTATGTTCCATTAAGTACAATTTGAAATTGATTTTAGTAAATATAATAGTTCGACATGACCCTTTAAAGTATACGTATACGTATAAGTTGTACTTTCACTTATGTGCGAAATCTCTCTAGTGTTTTAAAGTATTTACGAATTAAATAACAGGTAGATAGATATATATTGACACAGATAAATTTTATTGAAAATATCCAAAACTTCTAATTGTGAATCTTAAATCATGTTTGTAAATTAAAATAATGATGAAGGAAAATATGATATTTATTTGATATATGCAGAGAATTTGAAGTTTCAAAACAGCAATATTTACACATTAACCAATGGGCTAGTTGTAGAGAACAACCTAGTAGTTAACTGCCATCTATACGAGTCCTGGCTCCCATTATGAACATAACAATAAATACGTCCTCACCAACAAAATTTAATAAATAATATTCAAGATGTGTCAGTTTTTAACGTCATTCTGGTAAAAATAAAAAATGGAAATGAACTGCACTTTTAATCAATGAAATGTTAACGCACGGCGCACAACGCAAGGTTACTAGGAATACATTGGTAAAAGGTGCATTTTATAAGAATAATATCAACATTCTTCATAACAATTAAATTTATTACCATTCTTAATAAACATAGTTACACATAAGCTTCATTCACTTTAGTAAGTACCCAATATTCAAGAAATGTTTTTTACTAGTTATTATTACAAATACACAGGCAAGGCTTTATGTAGATGTATCTGTGAAATGACTATATCACAACCAGACAGGATTATTTATTAAAAACCAATTACATAAATGTCCATACTTTATATAGTTATTTGGGAGTCGAACCAAAACCCAAAAATGTAAGTTTTTTAGTGTACATCCACACAACTAATGCAACATTGTGTAAACAAATCATTTAATATGGATAAGATATACATAAGGATATGTACCCCGTTAATCCCGCTTCCCAGGTTATGTATAGGTGCCTGACACAGTGTAGCAATGTACAGTGTTTATGTATACATGTAGGAGCTTGAAACAATGTAGTAACTAATATATTCTATGTAACATGTAAAGGTATGTACCCCGCTTACCCCGCTTACCCCATGGTATGTGTAGGAGCTGTCTCACAGTGTAGCAATGTAGAGAATACATGTAAAGGTATGTACCCCGTTTACCCCGCTTTCCAGCCTATGTATAGGTGCTTGACACAGTGTAGCAATGTGTAGCAATGTAGAGTATACATGTAAAGGTATGCACCCCGCTTACCCCGCTTACCCCACCTCCATGGTATGTGTAGAAGCTGCCTCACAGTGTAGCAATGTAGAGAACACATGTAAAGGTATGTACCCCGCTTACCCCGCTTTCCAGCCTATGTATAGGTGCTGGACACAGTGTAGCAATGTGTAGCAATGTAGAGTATACATGTAAAGGTATGCACCCCGCTTACCCCGCTTACCCCACCTCCATGGTATGTGTAGAAGCTGCCTCACAGTGTAGCAATGTAGAGAATACATGTAAAGGTATGTACCCCGCTTACCCCGCTTTCCAGCCTATGTATAGGTGCTGGACACAGTGTAGCAATGTGTAGCAATGTAGAGTATACATGTAAAGGTATGCACCCCGCTTACCCCGCTTACCCCACCTCCATGGTATGTGTAGAAGCTGCCTCACAGTGTAGCAATGTAGAGTATACAGGTAAAGGTATGTACCCCGCTTACCCCGCTTTCCAGCCTATGTATAGGTGCTTGACACAGTGTAGCAATGTGTAGCAATGTAGAGTATACATGTAAAGGTATGCACCCCGCTTACCCCGCTTACCCCACCTCCATGGTATGTGTAGAAGCTGCCTCACAGTGTAGCAATGTAGAGTATACAGGTAAGGATATGTACCCCGTTTACCCCGCTTTCCAGCCTATGTATAGGTGCTTGACACAGTGTAGCAATGTACAGTATACATGTTGCATGGTTAGAAATGGCTAAGTGCCGTGACATTTTAGCTCGTGACTGCTTACATAGAACCGCAGCCTAAAATTGTGACTAAACAATCTGATGATCATAAAATATAGTAGGTTGGTAAGACATTGGATGATGTACAAATTTGTGATCATAATGTCAGTAATTTTTTAAAACTACAAAGATGTAAGGAATATACAGGGTTTTCGTTTTTTACCACCCTATTCATGGCACCTATTGATGGCATATTTGAATTCTGTATGTAATTTTCTATCAAAACAACTTTGATTTGCACCGTTATTTACCTTTATTCAAATTCTAAATATTTTCTAGTCTGAAATAGGTCAGGCTAAATCCCCATTGACACAATGTTGAAAAATCGTTAAAAGTTCATTCACTCTTATGAGGATCATAATTGCAATGTGAAATCACAATCCTTATGTCAATAAGATCATCTAGTTAAATTCCATTGGTGTTTTAATGGTGTTTTTGATCCTAATGGAATTAATTGTTAGATCATGAAATTAAGTCACTCTTCCCAATACATTACCATATATTCTAGCCCTACCAACACCCATGATACCATCTACATGTATTTTTCCATTTAGATGGAAAATGGTCAATTAACAAAATGTATCATTTTGATTCACAATATCAGGTCATTTTATTGTAAAAATATTTGTTGAGTAGATAACAGTATATTTCATAGGAGCTTCCTGATGATCCCTAATACTTTTGTCTCTAGGTATATCCCTGGAAGGTCCTGAAAAGAGAATAAAATTTGACACAATTTACAACAGCATTATTGGAAGTATCTGTTGGGAAGTTTTTAAGTTATCATCATTAAGTTGAATCTGTAGTTGGTTAATAGCATGGACAAGTAATGTCATAAGTCTCACCTGTGTAGTCCAAGTCGTGGTTTAATAATGATGGGAATCGTGATGTCCATGATGGCCATAGCTGGTGGAGTGGTGGGCAACATGTCCGTATGACTGGTGTCCATGAGCATGGTGGGCATCATGGTGTCCGTAGCTGTTGGCATGGTGTCCATGAGCGTGGTGTCCGTGAGCGTGATGTCCATGAGCACGGTGTCCGTGAGCATGATGTCCATGAGCGTGGTGTCCGTGAGCGTGGTGTCCATGAGCATAGGAATCTACTTTGCCATCACGGTTAGCATCAAGAGCATCTGGGACTCCATCACGGTTCTCATCACCATATCCTGGAATTAAAAATCAGTTTATCCTTCCATTAATTCATTGTCAGTTGAATTGTATTTTAGTAATATTAATATTTTTTCATGAAAAATATAGAAATATCACCTAAATTAAATTATGAATATTCAAAAGAGGACATTTAAATCTACAAGATGTAAAAATATCAAAATAGTCCAAAGCAGGCGTAACGTCCAGTAGACTGATGAACTGCGTTCTCCTAACCGAGACTAGTCTTTTATTTGTTTTCAGCATTATCCGAAAGTGAGTTGTTCTAGGAGAGTCTTTTCAGATGATTTGAGTTCTTTGTTTAACCTACCATATCCATGACCATGGTGGTTGCCATGGTGACCATGATGACCATGGTGACCATGACGGTAGCTTGGAGTTGCCATAGCAACGGCACACAAGGCAAGGACGACAACAGCAATTCCGTTCATGATTCTTGATGTCTAAAACAACATAAAATACTGATAAATCTTAAGTTAAACCATTATGGAGAATGTTTATAGAAATTAGGTATACTGTATTTCAAAGTGATTTTGAATGACAATGCAACTACTTTGTTCATGATATAAGCTATCTCAAAAAGAAATATGATTTCAGGATTTAATCAGAAATGTTAATATTTTACTTACTTTTCCTTATTTTACTTATTTAGTATATTTGATTAAAACATTTGTGTATATGTAGTTATTAAGCTTACCTTGAGTCAGTTGAGATGATTCAATGATAAACTGAGATGAGTATCAGCCTTATATACCGTTCACTTGGCTCCCTTTGGCACTTTAAAGACCTCACCTTAATCCCCCTTGGCTCATAATCCTACATCCTAAATAATTGTTTCCATATTACAACACCAACATTATTATTTTTCCTAAAGGCAGCCTAACCTATCATTGTGGCCTTTTCAAAAAGTGCAGAATGGTAACTGTAATTAATTCAGTGATTTAACTTATGAGTTTTACTCAACAATGGCAGGTTAATATAAAACAGTAATAAACAATTAATTCAACGGCCAAAGGCCTACTTCATATTGTTTTATTATGTGTGTCTATAGCCCCATTGTAATTGGGTTAGACATGAGGGGTGTGTTTAACTGTCAAAAACAATGTATGATGATCTTGCATTGTAATATGTTGATCTACTACTTTACTTGCATCAAAAATTAAGAAAATGCCTCTTTGTAAAATCATATCAGAACTGCTATATAGTTGGAATTATGACACATTATTCCTTGACATCGTTTATGTGTTATTTTACATGTTTGTTATTGCCCCAAAAGTAATATATTGATATTGATTATGTTTAAAACTGAACATGCAATTAATCAATTTATTATCCTACTAGTATCTTGTGACAATTATTTCAAAAATGAAATCTGTCAACATTGTCGGACACTTAAACATTCTAGTTAACATGTTTAAAGGTTTTTGATTTTGTTACTTACTGGTGATAGTGTAGGATATAGGGGCTATCGGACAAAATAAAACGGGGTGGGGGCAATCGATTATTTCTCAAGCGTTTGATAAGATCGAAACGCTTTCATCCAAGGTCAGGTCTCCTTGACTTCGACTCACGCGGTCGTCAGTTCCGATCTCGCTGACCTCTGTCCTTCCGCCAGGACCATGTTCTCACAACGCGAATGTCACACAGCCTGTGGTTCGCTGTGGGAACTCAATGCGTGAGTAGCCTAGCGAAATAAGTTGAGAGCTGAAGAACTACCTGTGGCAATATTTTTTAAACATATTTTTAATAGGCTTATATAACACAAGTTTTATGCCGATTGTATACTCATTTTTATTTTGGCAGTTTGTGGAGTATTGTAAAACACTGGTGTCCCATTTGACCCGTCAGATGTTATATATCCAAGGGTATATCCTTGTTTATTTACCCAACCCACTTTACCCAACCCACTTCAAAACAAGGTTGTTATTTTATCCTTGTGAGTTCTTGGTGTTTTGGAAATGATCACACTTTTAACATTGCTTTTGTTTTAACCAGGTGATGTTAGTCTCTGATGTTCTTGACTACAAATTTTAAAAAATGCAAATATTGATTTGTACTTTTTAAATCTTCCTGGTCAATAAATGGAGAAAATGACACGCCTAACCATCGACAAGGTACAGTGACAAAATATACCGTAGTACACTTGAGATGTACGGTGTCACTTTTTAACCGATTTGAAGCAAAGACAATGGTGTAGGTTTTAAAAAAATAATCTGAGGAATACATTCAGGATTTCATGTTTGATTTTTTGTGTAGGAAACTTTCTTAACTTTCTAATAACGTTAAAAGATTTTCGAACAGTGTTCGATTTTTTTCGTAGTCAATCTACCCATATAATTGGTCGGTTGGAAAATGTTGTTTTTTACACATTTCCTTTGATCATTTCGTCCCCTGTCGTCTGAGAGTGTCGAATATTTTTATCAGACTATGTTTCTTTAAACAACACAAATAAGATCTGTTGAAGTATTAACGTTTTGGCTATAATTTAAAAAATCACAAGTGTAGGTTGTTAACTCGAATGTACGTTGTCCCATTGAACTTACTCAATTCACACAGTTAAACCTAATGCAGGCAACGTTTTTTTCATAACACTAACAGACAGGGAGGTCAGATGGATTTAAAATTGAAACAGAACAATTACAGAATTACTTCAATTAGATTGAACTCTTGAAATTGAGCACTTTCCAGATATATCATAAACGGGATTTTAAAAAGTCATATTCAATAAGCTAGTCTAGATCTATCTATCAATGTAACTAGCAAAACGTAAGGCACAGATGCCAAATAGTCAAAGAGGCTGGAAGCAAACTCCGTGGCAGTGCTAGTCTTCAACATATTCTATTCCGAGACACTGGATGGGAGTTTGGGCTGGAAGCTAACACCAATTGGGCAAATGAAAAAGCAAAATGGTAAATGTTGGACATTATCCTATGATTTGAAGGGGATCTTCTACAATACTTTTAAAATCAAAGTTATACAGTGCGTTATCAAAAAAAACGCAACAGATTGTTATCTCGGAAAAGCACAAAACCAGTGATAACAGCATTGATTTCATTCAATGCACTAGAAAGCCATGTGTCTCCTCTTTACAATGATATATCATTCATTGATATGCTATTGATATTTGGTTATGGTTGGGCGAGTAATCATTCCATTTGCAAAGTGGGCCAAAATTACCTTGGGACCAAGTTATAAACATCGCAAAAGTCAGTGTACGGAGGTCGATCGACATAAAACCAATGCTGACTGCATCCTTTTCATTCAATGTACCAAAAAACCAAACTAGACAACAGCAACGCCAAAGCGTAGCAAATCCCATGGAACAGGCATGGCTGGCATATTTACAAACAAAGAATATAGCAAAAATGGCAGCCATTTCTCAAAATGACCACCTACCAAAAGTGTCATTAGACAGTGTGCCATGCTTATAGTATTCACATACCAAATATGAACACAAAATCGCTCCACTACTTTTCGAGTTATAGTAAAATACGTTAAAATGGCGGCCATTTTGAAAAATGGCCGCCTTCTACCAAAAGTGTCATTAGACAGTGTGCCATGCTTATAGTATTCACATACCAAATATGAACAAAATCGCTCCACTACTTTTCGAGTTATAGTAAAATACATTAAAATGGCGGCCATTTTGGAAAATGTTCACCTTCTACCAAAGGTGCCATTAGACAGTGCCATTAGACATTGTTTCAAAATAAAAAATATCTAGTTGAAATTTAGTCTGAAGAATGGTTCCGGACATAGACATGGTTTAAAAAATATACAATACAAACAATACAATATCCTAGTTTCTTTCCCTAATGTAGGTATGTACAGATATATTTACAATTCAAACAATAACATATACTTTTATAACATCTGTACATTTTAACATTCTGTTTCATAAAAAAAATTGGAAATCATATTTGATAAACTGGCAAGAAAGCATGGGTGTAGCAAGCTATGAGATGGATATAGAAACTGCCTTGCCAAAATTTTACAATATATATAAATATAAAAATATAAAAATTAATGGAGTCTAAGAAACCTTCATTTACAGCTGAACTCCAAGACATCATATTGACTGTGGAACATCTGGGGAATTAACATTAAATATATAGAGTGTAATGATGTAAATCAAAATTGGTTCTACTCGCATCTCGTCTACTTGGCCAAAACAATGAATGTAAAGTAGAAATCCCCATTTAATATTTTAAGGAGAAAATGTAAAAATCTCCTTAATTAAGGTTTAAAGTTTGAGGATTTTAGAAAAGGTCCATGTGTAGTATGGCAAGTGATTTTACATGGTCATATCTTTCACCGTGAGTACTTCCTGGCCATAAATACAGTGGTTTTTATTGAAACAATATGTTTTCTTTCAAGTGAAGTCCCCATGATAGTAAAATATCATTCTAACTCTCTGACAAATTATGGATTAGGACCCCACCTTTGCACTCTTTCAAAAATGTAAGGCTCTTGTTTTTCTCAATTTAAACATACCAAAAGTTTCTTCTACACTCCAGTATATTAATGATTCCTGAAAAGGGGATGTGTATTGAAATCTGTTAAAGTTAAAAACTACATATCCCATGTTATTTTCCCATAGAGAAAACTCATGCTATCCATTATTTTCAGCATAATTATGGTCATCGAAAATTAATATCTTCAAGACTTATAATACCATTCTACTTTTGAAGAAGTTTTAAAACCCTTTTTGAATACTCTTTTCATGCAATAAAACCAGAAAAGGAAGATCCTCTTTTGAGTAAATAGGTTCAACATTTCGGAATTGTTCCATTGATATTTTTATCATCATGGGTACTTTACTTAAAAGGAACCATATTGTTTTAATAAAAACCAATGTATTTATGCCCAAAAGTACTCATGGTTCAATATATGACTGTCTAAAATCACTTGCCATACTGCACATGGACCTTTGTATAAAAAAGCATTATATTATATTATATTATATATAATTATTTATACCATATTGGAGTTTAGATATATATCTGCACAGATCACCACTCTCAACCTTGTCATTTTAGTCAAACCCAGACCACATGACATGGTTGATCAAGCAGTATTCACTGGACATGTATATCAAACGAGAAAATGAAAAACATGAGCAATGTACACAGGGTGACCAAAAATAACTTTCTCAATTTTGGTGAAATCTTTTTGTATTTTCTTGTGAATATTCCAAAAATTCTAAATTAGAAGTTTACATTTTTGGGCCACCCAGTGTGTAATATTTTCACGATTATTTCAACAGCTCACATCTGTAGAGAAAAATGAGATTCATCATTTCAATAACATATTTTTGTTTTTGAAAAAACAATGCACCAGTAGGCTCTTTCAATGTTGGTTAATAAACAAATGAAGAGTTAATATTCTGTGAGTAATTGTCGAAGTCTCTTTTGCCAGCTATATTCCTCCAGTTGTTTGTCATCATATTGGTGTTTGTCAAATTGGTGTTTCTCATCATTTTGGTGTTTATCATCATATTGGTGTTTGATATCATGAGGGTGTTTATCATGCTTAAGCTGATTAAGCCACTCAGCACCATAGTCAGGTTCTAGTGTCCTACAAGAGTCTCCTTGGCATACACTCAATTGTATAAGTCTTTGATTTTGCTTTGCAAGCAGTTTAGGGTCAATAGTCTTTGCTAAGTTATTCAGTTGATATGGGTCCTTTTTCAAGTCATACACCTCAACAAATGACTGGAATGAAATAAAAATTATGTAAAAATATGTTGTCATAACAATGCATCCTGGAGAGCATTGAAAAATGACTGAAAATGTGTTGATGTGTTAAAAAACATCTTGAAATGTGAACAGTTTTTGGTTCCATTTTTTGGCGTCCTCTTGACTCCCATGTTGTCAGAAACTCTCAATGTGAATTCATCTAAATGGACCCAAGCATTCATATTTGGTTTTACTAGTGGCATAGGTTTGCTCATATGAAAGATACAAATCACCATCTTTAAGTTGAATCAACTGGAACTGATATGATACTTTACCTGACTACTGATCTAATTTATTGAAAATAATTAATTAAGTAAAAAATTAATAAGGAAAAAAATTGATTAGGAAAAAATTAATAATACCTCACTGTCAGAGAATTGGCAGTAAACAAGGTTAGTGTTGAAGGAAAGTGTTCTAACACAAGTGTATGTGTTGTTCTTAGCATCCTCACAGACACAGTCAGGATAGCAGTTCTGAAACACAATTATGATGATGATTTAATTAAAGCAAAAATTTCGAGACTTAACTAAGATAAAAGTTTAGAAACACTATAGAGCCATAAACTCCAAACGTTGCCAATTAAATAAATCTATATAAACATGTACAATGTAAATGTACAGCATCTGTATACATTGATTATGTATAAATATATATATAACTCACATCAACATTATCATCCTTCAAATCAGGACATCTTGAATCTCCTCCATACTCCCCCTGGTGTTCAATCAGGAAATCATTCCTCCATTTTGAAGAGCTGGAATCCAGCAATGGCACGAATGACTGACCATCCATCTCTGAAGGGACAGTGCCATTTGCTAATGCTATGAATGTAGGTGCCAAGTCAATGTTGCCTATCAGTTGCTGGAATATGATCCTAATATCACTACAAGACATAAACTTTACAGGCCTGTAGCTAGGATTTACCAAGGGGGGTTCACTTTTAACAACTTTGGCCCAAAAATGGCCAAAATCTCTTGAAAAGTGCTCAGAATGGGGTTCGAACCCCCCGGCTATGGGCCTGCTTTATTAAATTGTTGCCTTGTTATCTGTTTCTTTTGTTAAATAGCCTATTTTCTCAAGTTTCTATCAGTTACAATAATTTTTTTTTATATTATCGTCATTGTGGTAAAATGATTATATTTCATAAAATAACTGAAAGTGACATCTTTTCTTTATATATTTTAAGTAAATGAACTTTCCTTGGTTCTGCAATATATAAACCTGCAAATTGTAAATGCATATGCCAAAAATATGATAGATAAAGTGAATGGTTTTCAAGGTCTACAGCATAGGGTTAGTAGCTATTAACATGTGAATAATGTACATGTAATATTCCTCAAACAGTGCTTCTTCTACAGAGGTATTCCACCTCTTTAGGTATGCTCATCTTGCTTCATCAAGCTTCGGACCTATCCTTAATAGATAGAACGTAGTGATTGAGAGTGGGAACCGACGATCAGGTATGCTGTTGTGCATAATACTATAGCCTAGTCTAGGTAAGCTCAATCAAACCTTTAGATTTATAATTTATTCAATAGACTTCTAGATCTGACTAACATTTTTTTTCTGGCCAGGTTTGATCCCAGGTCCTCTTACATAGAGGGGGACCCTGATGTCAAAATCATACATCTGCCGCTTATCATTTGGTAGGGAGAACTGACCTAGAAGTAGTCAAAGAGTTCATTTATATACTTACAGAATATGTGCTTAATGTTATAGTACGTATATCATCCAATCTTTGGCAGTTTTATAAAGTATGAGTATAAAATATAGGCTAAATGTTTTGAAAAAGCGTCATGGCATAAAACTCAATGAGTTTTGATGGGTCTTACTTTTACAAGTTCTTGTAATTATGTGGAGATTTAAGCATCACAATCAATTTAATAAACTTAAACAACTTACTGTATACTAAAACAACTTTATTCATTTCTTCAAAGAATCTTTTAGATCAAGGCTTTCGACTTGTATTCCCAAGTCTTTTTCAAGATTAATGTAATTTGTTCAAGATTAATGTAATTTTTTCAAGATTAATGTAATTTTTTCAAAATTAATGTAATTTTGTTTTGTTTTGTAAATACATTTTTGCTATGTACATGTAATGATTTGGCTGAACCACACGCACAGGTGATATGTATATTTTGCTTTGTCTTCCCAGACTTACCTAGATGGAATCCATTGTCAGATGAGAAGAATATATAAGTGTTCTCTAATAGCTTCCTCTCTTTCAGAACATTAATTACGTTCTCTACAATATCATCCACTGACAGTAGTGTGCGCCATCTATAAACCAAAATATTTTGTTTTGTGAAGTTCTCAATCAAAATAATGAAAACAGTTAATATGGCACCATTACGGTTCTATTTACAATGGTATTATGGAATTGCAGCACCATCTCTTACCTGTTGCGATAAGCGCCATCTATATATTCTAGTGAAGTCTTTGACAGAGGGTGCTTGGCCGCACGTAGCAGCCAGTGTTTGTCCTGCAATAAACATCATTGATATTGATGTATTAGACATACTACCTAGTTTAATATTTTGTTTTATTACATCATTGCTAGAGTGCCAGTATCTCGATTGGTTAATATAGCACCATCTGATTAAAAATGCCACAATATAAGTTTATTTTACATCTCAACATTTTGGTTTTATAAAAGATGCATTGCCTTATGTGTTGCCTGCTCATGGGATCTCATGTCATAAAGAATGCCTAGTAATGATACAATATAACAAATATTTCATTCTATGTTTCAACAATACATGTTGCAGAATTATAATTTATCAGTCATACAATGGAATAACAAGGCATTTAGATGCAAAATGTCACCACCTGCCATTTATCACAGATGCCCGCTCCCAACGCTGTTACAGATGAATTAAGTGAAGTGAATTTATAAAAATAATACCTTTCCATATACATTAAAGCTGCCATTTCTTGGAGCTTTTGTGTCATTGAATTTGCCGCTGTATTGAGGAGCAGGTGTGAATGGGGCGTGGCAGGCAGGTGTAGAGAGCATCATAAAGAAAGGCTTGGCATCAGCATTTGTCCCATCATTGTTTTGAAGTTGGAGAAATTCAATTCCTCTCCTATGCTGCGAATTAACAGAAAGTTGTTAAGGTATATTTGTCATAAAGCCACTTATGGTTGTTCTTTTACATCAGTAATTACTTATGCCATCAGTATTCTTTGATTTTCTTTTAGACATAACTCAATCTTGATATGTTTGATGATTCCTTGACCTTACCTTGCTCTTAATATTCATAATATTAATCTTTAACATGTACAGGTATAAACATCAGAAATGATGTTTATTATATTATTAAGGAAATTGAATTGAATTGAAAATTTAATATGACAATGTTACAATATTCTTTTACAATGGCATAAATGTTCACAAATTAGTATCAGTTGTTCTACATTGACATCAGTGTTTATACATAATATGACATCCATATTTACTATGACCAATGACATCAGTATTCTTTAACTTTGACATCTGAACTTTTACCATGACATCAGTGTTAACTTACAATGACATCAGTAAGGTAGTCAGTTTTGTAATCATCTTTGTGATTCTCCTTTGTACCATTCACTGATAACTTGTAGTTGTAATATCGTGAGTTGCCAACCTAAAACATCAAATTCTACAATTCAAACTCAATGAAGACTTATTGGCATTGCAACTTCATCTTTTCAAACTAGAGTAGAAATATCTTTTTCAGATTTCAGATGGAATGATACCATATTTTATTGGAGGTTTACTCTTTTTCTTCATATTGTCTTTATTTGAGAATTGTAAACCAACATTCCTATAAATATAGATCTGGAAAAATATTTTTGCAATGCTGTCCACGACTTCAGCAAAGATAGTTGCATGGTTATAACAAGCATTCAGATACAACTTTTTTTCTTAGTTCACAAAATTAATGACTTACCAGACCATTCCACCAATCCCAACCTGGGGGTACATGGGCTGGTCCCCCGGCTGCTTTCTTACCATACTAAAATGAAAATGGTTTGATGTAATATTCACCCCTCCTTCAAGACAGATCTCACTTCTTCTGACTTATAAGATGTTACTCAGACAAAAACATTCAATGCATGAATACACAGTGCGTGTATGGTGTATATAAAAATGTATATGTAATATTGCATGGAATAACAAGTTCGAAAAATACTCTTTTTACCTTTTTGACCTTGAGAAGGTCATTGAAGGTCAAATCTCACATCTAAAGTCAACTTGAAGCAAGTTCGAAAAATACCTTTTTGACCTTTCTTACCAATTGAGAAGGTCATACATAGAAGATCAAATCTCAAAGCTAAAGTCAGATTTGAAATTCTAAAAACTTGTAGATGATTTTGAAAAAATTGAAGCCAGTCAAGAACCACAGTACTTGTTAGTTATTGAAGTTGTAAGAGTTGTAAGAAATGTTTTAAAAGAATTGTGTTACAGACACCATCCACAAAAAGAGACCATAACAATATGTCACCTTGGAGGTGACAATAAAAAGAGAAGATATGATAAAGACATCAATTCATGTGATTCTAAATATAAAATATAATCTACATGATTTGGGTACTGTAAAACGGGTATTGTTAGCGAGGGGTAATTGTTAGCGATTGTTAGCGATTGTTAGCGATCGCTATAGTTTCGCTAAAAATTCAATTCGCTAAAATAAACCGGGGTTAAAATAAACCGGGCGCTAAAATTTGCAAATTCCTGGGAAACTACATGAATACTAGTATTTAAGGAGCTTTTCGTTCAGTGCTCGACTTCCGGTTTGTAATTTGAAAAAGGTAAATATTTTTAAATCGTATGTTTTTTTCAATCTTTCGTGATTTTGTGATTAGCCAGATGAGATTACAGTAGTTTGGACCAATACCATGTGCGTTAGAAGTCTTACATTTTGATAATTCCTCTGTCATGTCCGTTATTCATTCTTCTGCCATATATGATAAAATTTCTAATGCATTTCGCTAATTTGATTTTTTAAAGATTAATCTTCTTTTCGCTAAAATTTCCCGCACTAAAACCCCCTAAAATTGAAAAATCGCTAAAATTTCCCGGTGTCAAAATTACCCGTTTTACAGTATATTCCAGCAAAGAATGTAATGTATTGTTGTTCTTTTAGAAAAACGTTACCTGATTCAGGTATTTTCCAGCAAAGAATGTAGTGTATTGTTGTTCTTTTAGATATACTGAAAAGGCTTTTTTCTCTGCCCCAGCTTGCCATGCTGGACTACTGCAGTTACCTGGAATATATAAGGGTAAATATGCACTGGGAGGTTTTGAAAGTTTATCCTTGGGGAAATATATGTATCTCGTTTAGGGATAAAATCTGTATACATGTACAGTGTGAAAATCAACTAAATGTTACTATTGACTAATGTCAATTTTCACCATCAGATATTCTAAATTACATGAGAAATGCAAATGTAAGAGTTCGCTTAGAGAGGGAAACACAATTATCCCTGCATTGTATTTCCATTCACATGGACATTCATGTTTCAATCAAGGGACAAAATCATGTTTCTAGCTCATGAACATTAATAACATTCTAAATAAATCTTTGAATTTGACTGTTGTCTGTTGATATTCTATGCCACTTCAGTCCTTTGTGCCCATATTACAAACATCTGATCACAAATTGCATTAGATAGAGGTGGTTCCAGTATTAACATTAGAAAATAAGTCTAAACATGAATGCTTCCTTACCATTTATTGAGTTATTTACAGCATTATGGTTGTGTATGTATCTCCCTGTCAATATGGAGGATCTGCTAGGGCAACATAGGGGACTGTCAACAAACTAAAACAACCGAACATAGAGCCTTACTGTATGCGTATTGACCACTTGCAATTTCAAGTTTTAACATTCTTTCAATGTTTAACTTGTTTGTCATTTTTACCAGAGGTGATGAGGAAATATAGAGAATTGAACCAGTTGTAGAATGTACTCCAGTCTATGAATTACACTAGGTCACCTTTCTTTCTTGTACATTTTGTATAGTGCAAATTACTTTAGTCCTCAAGGCAAACATAATTTACATGTAGTTTAACTATCAGATGGTTCAGTTCTTGTTATATCAAATACAGAGGGTGATACAAAAACAATAATCAAAATAAGATCAAAAAAGTAAATGATATCATTTTAAATTTTCTTGTGAATTATTTCAATGCATGTATGTTTGATTATACCAAGGATCTTTAAAGATCAGGTGAATAATGTGAGAAATGATAACCATGATCATTTTTTTAGATATATTACCATCCTACATTCCGTTATTTTCCAGGATTGAGATTTATATAGGCACAAATGTGGTTCATTTGATGGATGACCACCTCTTAGTTCAGTCAAATAGGTGGATCATAAATGCCACAGGATTGCTCACTGCATAATATGTTTAGCTCGTTTCCCCTCCCATCATACTTTCCTTGAGTTAGTATTTTATCAAATCGCCATACCATTGTAGAAAATATAAAAAGGTTCTAGTGTTCTTAATGCCCCACACCTAATGTAGATTAGGAGAAGAAAAAAGGAACTTGATCAATTTATTTCAAAAATTATTTGAGATTATTTTGGGTCCAAGCTAATGAGTCACCCTGTACATTATATTCAAACTTACCATATTCTGAAATGTGATGCCTGCATCTCCAATTAATTGTTTTGTTTTCACAATAGGGATCTAAAAGTAGAAAGAGTGCATCATTACTTAAAGATATAGAGAAAGCATGTATATCTGAACATCTCCTAATCTGAATGCTGTCCCAATGACAGGTTTTACTGGACAGTGTCATTGTCATGGGTGGAATGAACAATTGGTATGAATACAGATGCAACATACTTTAAGATCTTGACAATAAAACATCAGATTATACCAAATATTGGCAAGCCACAAAGCCCACACCCTTAGTTATGAACGTCTCCGTGAATTCTGTTGCTACCAAAATAATTCATGCTCCTCCTTAAGCATGTGCCCTCTAGTAATTTGAGGTCTATCCACCATGTTATTTTTTCAGAATTAACATGGCAGAGAAGCATCAAAATATAAGAGGTTACAGACTTTATAAGCCAATTCAGAAGCAATCCAAGATATACAAATGTCATTTGTGTGTAATATGAACATATTTTTCTTCATATAATTGCACAATAGTCTTTAGATTTCTTATTTTTAGTTACAATTGCTTTGAAGCAGTGTAACAGACTGTAGTACATGCTGTACTGTATTATACAACATGTATGTATTGTAATTATTCACCTTTTAAACTAGGATTTTCATACAATTTTTTTGAAAATAATAACATGGATGGTCTGTGGTCTCGTATCTAAACTATTAGGTTCATCATGGGCATTCAGGCCCGTAGCCAGAATTTTCCAAGGGAGGGGGGTCACTTTTCCAAAACATTTTAGGGGGGGTTCACTTTGGTAAAATTGGCCAAAAATCACTCAAAAATATAGTCAGAATGGTGAAAAACTGCATGATTTTGAAAGAAAGAAATTTTGAAAAGTTCGCCTGAACCCCCCGAACTCCCTTGGCCACGGGCCTGGCATTCAAAAGAAGGGTATTCAACTCTGTGTTATTGCATGAGAACTTCAAAATGAGTAGTGTCATGCTTCCCTTTATTAGTAATATTTCAATTTAGATAAAGTTTATGTTTTTAGCATTATCATGGGCTTTCTCTTGAAAGCCCATGTCATTATCTTGAAGAAAAACATGTTTTTATTTCTGGGTTATGTCTTCAAATCATACATGGGCATACATGAAAAGTACAAAACAGGTTTTTCTTTGGAATGTGTACAGGAAGCATGTCTTCTCCAATTTTGAAAATCCAAGACAATGCTTATACATGTATGTATGAAATATGGGAAGTTGCCTACCCTTCTATTGAAAGCCCTTGAAGCCCTACGAGAATCAATACATGTATCTACAGTGGGAGACATAAAGAATTGCTATAGCTATGAAAATTACATGCTGTCGCACATGTAATAAATTCTTACCTCGGTGTATTCAGTGCTCTATTTCTCCGTCCTAGTAAGTCTAAATATAGTGGAATTTAAGTCCATAAATGAAAAATAAGAACTTAAAAAGTTGAAGTGGATATTCACATGTTAATGCGGACTCTTCAAATGTTGAGGTAATTTTGGAGCCCGATTATGCTGCAAGGGAGGATAGGCTCCCAGAATGCAACATGACACATGCCAGCTTTCAAAATGCTGCTCCGCCATTTTGAAACCTGTCACGAGTAAATAAGGTTAACTGATGTTGCATTGTGGGAGTCAATCCTCCTTGGATCACAAACATGGCGATTCATAAAAACATTTGTTCGATTTGGTAGGGATTTATCCATCATTTGCAGGTATGAAGCTTTGGATTAATTTATTATGCTACTTAAAGTGAATGGGAATTATTTTTCTACCACTTGGGAGAGTTTGAGACACGAAACTTAGAATTTAGCTCATTGTGACAACTTTTGATGGTTGAGGTTCCTGTTGAGGTTTAGTTTTGTCCCCCACTTTATAAGTCATATGTGTCATGATATAGGGACAGAAAATATTGGCATTTTGTAGAATAGTTGATTTTTCATGTAGGCATTTTCAAAACAAGTTACTTTGTCTTAAAAACGTAACTTTATTGGACTTTAACTTTTTTCCACGAAGAATGGATGAATTTTTATGTAGGTATTTTCAAAACACGTTACTTTGCCTTAAAATGTAACTTTATTGGACTTTAACTTTTTTCCACGAACGATTGATGAATTTTCAAAACAAGTTACAGTGTACTTTGCCTTAAAAACGTAACTTTATTGGACTTAAACTTTTGTCCATGTAGAATAGCTGATAAAAGTTAAGTCCAATAAAGTAACGTTTTTAAAGAAAATTAACGTGTTTTGAAAAATACCTACATAAAAGTTCAGTAAATGACAATATTTTCTGTGATATGCTTTACTTTTTCAACTTTTCTTTCCCCCATAGATTGTCTTCGAATTGTGTGTTGTAAAAGAGACGAAAAAAAGGTAACTTTCAAAATGCCAATATTTTCTGTCCCTACATGTACATGTATATCTTGACACTGTTGTTATAAGCACAGGATCTTGTAGCACGTTTATGATGACTGATATGGGGCTGCCTGATATGGGAGACTGATAGAGTACATGTATGTCAACAAATCTAGCCTAGCCTCACGGAAAGATACTCTCCTAAAAAAACAAGGAAATACACACATGCCTTCATACTTTATTGAGCATCAGAAAATGAACATGGGCGTGTGTAGGCCCCTAGTATGTATCCAACAGACTGACTAGAAGTCAGTCTGTTATGATGTACTACATTCCTGTGGAAATCGCAGTGAAATTTTTTGCACAAAATTATCAATTAGAGGAACCATTTTTTTAATTAAATAAACATTACAAAATTTCAATTAAATAGTAAGGTACAATTAAATGCAATAAAAAGTAACACAGCATATTGTCAAGTGGAAATAAAGCTAGTTGAAGTAACAAATTGCAAATTAATTTTACCCAATCGGCCATTTTGAATAGCACTTCCTATGTAAACAAATATCTATAATTACCAAACTTTAACATAGGTGCCTTATAGTCTGAATATAATTCAGACTAAATAGGATATAGTCTATGTAGGCCCCCCTAGAGAGCAATTTTCAAAAATGTTTTCTAAAAGCCTACTTACGGTTCCTCCAATTTCAATATCCTGGTCGTCTGTTAGAATGAATATTATGTTCGGTTTACGCTTTAAACAACTATTGGCATCTGCATTTAATAACTTTGCTTGGCGGTAAAACCCTAATAATGTCATAAAAGCCAAAAATTTAAAGAAAATTTGGTCTACCATTTTAAATGTCACATGACTATCACATGATATTGAGTGTAAATTTAAGATAAGGATTTAGATTGTTGGATAAATCGCTAATTATCAATATTCATTTTGAATATATTAGGTATTCACGGTGTATTATTGTTCAATAATTTTAGTGAGATTAATTGTAAACTAAAAGATAATTGATTGAAACGTCACGATATGATGACTGACAGTTAAAATGTTGCAATATAAATCGCCAGCTCGGATGCTTATCCGTAATACTCGCTTAGTGATAACAACATCCGGGTTCTAGAAATTTAAAATTCAATATGGCAGAAAATGGAAACACAAAATTTAGTGAAGAATTCGATAGAAACTCCAACGATAAAACTCATAAAGGCGGAACTAGTGATTGCAGCAAGATAGTTCAAGATACAGAGGAAATCAAGGACAATAATTCAAAAGCTGAGACAGGGTTTGTCAGTAAAGCTGAGCTGAGTAATTTACCAGGAAGAATGGCACATGTTGAAAGTCACGTTCTAACAATACAGAAGACAGAAACAATGGATGTTAGTGGCTCAGATGATAAGATATCAGCGCTGAAAATCCCTGCGTCTCAACGGACTGATCCCTGTATTAGCCCTGACAATGTCACACCTGAACGAAAGCGCAGACGCATTCAGCATGATTATCGAAGACTGTCAAGTTCTGGATATTTGGATGATTATACAACCACGGTCAAGGAAAAGCGATATTCAACAAGCGAATCAGAGCTTAGTCTCTCACCAACACCTCCAAAGGTGAAGCCCTTGAAAATCAAGATACCAAAGCATTCACCAAGGGGTGAAGAAGAAATTGGTAAGGTTCAACATTTATTTCATCATTGTCATGAAATCTAACTTGGCACGAAGCCAGTTTCAATAATTTATCTATCTTGTGCATGTTTTATCTTAGAATATTATTGACTGTTTGCTTTGAAAGTACTTAGAATGTCAATCTGTCCACATATACATGTAATTTCCAATTTGATTAATAAAGTGACTATTGAACATGCTTATATTGCTTGATTTCAGTAACACATTCTGTATTATTGGTTTTCAGAAACTGAGCTTGGTGCAGTGAAAGAAGATCATGAGCACAAGCATAAAGCACACAAGCACAAGCATCATAAACACAAACATAAGAAGTCAAAGATGAATGGTGACTCTGAGTCCCCACCCATAAGCAACAATGACCTCAAACAAAAGCCATTATCCAATACTGATGATTCTATAAAGGAAGAGAACAATAGCAAAGTGAAGAATGACATGAACTTAGCCAATCCATCGGAGGAGTCGCAACTCATGCCTAACAAAAAAGAAAAGCATGTCTCACAGTCAGCGAAATCTAATAAGGATGGTGGAAAATTTAGGACTCCAACTTCAGATATAGAAGCTGAAAAAGTTGTTAAGAAACACAAAGATCGAAGCCAACATATTTCGAAACCTGAAAAACAGGAAAATGAAATCTTGTCATTGTCAAAGGTAAAAGAAGCAAAAGAGGCTATGCTGAAAAGGACGGGGAGTCAAGAAACAATTCACAAAGGCAAGCAGGATGCAACAAAAACCACATCAAGTTCCATTATTGACTCAAACACAGCTCCTCAGATGAAAGTCCCAGTAAATCAAATAAAACAAGAATTTGCTGTTCCTAATCAGAAAACTCTTGTTATACCCCAAACAGTCCAGAATGTCCAGATCAAGCAAGGTACAACAACACAACCTGTAGTGATAAATGCATCGGAGAAACCAACTCAGCCTATAGTTAGAGTCATTAGTCCTGGACTCAGCATGAAATCACCAAGGATTGCACATACTCCAAAATCTACCCATCTTCAAATGCCAGAGAAAAAACAAATACATATCATTACTAAGAAGCAGAATATTTCTCTTTTGCCAACATCAGAGGCACAAGACAAGCAGCATCCCAAAACACCTACTAAAACTCTCCCTGTGTCAAAGTTTGAAATTAAATCACCAAACCCATTGGATACGAAGGAGTTTTTTATGAAGAAGGCAGATCCTAGTGAAACAATGGCATGCCCTCATCCTCTTGGAGTAAAAGGTATCATTGCAAGGAGGCAAAGTGAACCTGCGATTAAGCCCAAAGATCTGAATTCTCCAAAGTCTCAAAGTGCCACTAAATCCAAGAAGTCAGCAACCAGACATGCCAGTGATTCTAGCACACCAAAGAAGATCAAGACCCCTAAGTCCACTCAAAAAGATATCAAATCTAAGGACACTCCTACAAAGGTCCACAAATCAAAAGACACTCCTAAAAAGGAGCAAAAAATTCTCTCAGGGACTGTTAAAAAACACATTGCACATAAAATTGAAATTGATGCACTCAAGCAACAATTTCACGAAGCTGCAAATCGTAAGATTGAAAGTGGCTCTGAGGTGAAGCAGCCTGTATCTAATGGTAACTCCTTTATCACTGATACAGACAGAACAATCCGGTCTCTTAAGGGCCCAGCTGGTGATGTCCCTCAGAAGTACAAAGATCTAATGCATATAGAAGTTGATCGTAATGGAGGGGCATCAGTCATCCATGTATACCAAGATGAGCTGGCAAGTTTGTCTAAAGCAGAAATGGATGAATTCGTCGATGTGTATTTTGAGGAGGTATATAGAGAAGCTCCCTTTGGCTGTTCTAAACATGTCATGGGGATTGTCCATGGTGCCTGCCGCTACATGCCAGACCTGGTGGATTACTTTGGGACCCTGTATGAGCAAATGACGATTAAAACAAGCACAATGGGTAAAAATGACATTGACACAACAAGCATGGGGAAGTTCAGGGAACATGTCAATGCAACATACTGTAATGGGACCTACAGATACGGTCCATTGTTGCAGCTCAGTCTTGTTGGCACGGTTCATGAAGAGGTAAGTGACCATTTACTTTTATTTGCTACTAATCCAGTGATTGTTGCAGTGAAGTAACAAGATTCAGAATTTGATATATTTGTACCGAATCAAAAATAAAAATGAAAAATTCAAAATAAAATTCCCTATTTTTCAAATTCTCATCTAGGTACACTCCCAGAAATTTTTTCAAGAGAAATTTACAACTGAATTCTTGCCAAATGAATAGGCGCTGTGCATGGCAAAATATGTTAGGTCTTCTAGTATTTTTTTTGAACTGAGACGCACGCTTCTAAGATATGAGATCTATTAAAAAAGGCGCATCATCACCAACGTGCAAAAGTCAATGTTTTTGCTATAAATCAGGCAACAATGGTTTACATGACCTGTAAGAAATAGGTATAAGGGATGTTATTATCACAACACTAATGACATTGCTCACTTTTTAAAGTAAGATTCCATGCATTAGGCCAAAGGACTTGGAGTATTGGTTTTGCGTCCTTTTAAAATTGAATATCATCATGCAAGCAAGGTGAAAAAACAAACACAAAAATAAAACAAAATTGAAAAATTTACCGTTTTCACTAATTTTCCTTTTAAATCTTAATCGGCGGGCCTGTAGTACAATCTATAGTCGACTGTCTAGAGGAAATGACCAGTCTTTCAAATATTGTACTACCAGTGGTCTTCCCACCCAATTCCATGGCAAAATAGTCAATTATTCCATTGATTTTCACACAAACCAAATGTGACATGGAGGCTGCCATCTTGGTTTAAGTACTGCACTGAACGAAATGTTGAATTTGTGGGAATTTCCCCGGGAATTTTAGATGTTTTAGGGTAAAAATGTTTGTGTTTTTTTTTTTTTACTTTTGGTCAAACTGTACACGCACGCGGATGCAAAACCAATAATCCAAGTCCTTTGGCCTTATATAAAAAATAATCGAAATAAAGTAATATTGGATGGATGGGGAGTTAATGGAGGCGGGAGTTATTTGTCTTTACGACGGAACAAATTCAAAAGAACTCGTGTATTTGAAAAACTAAACTCAGTACCCTTCGAAACTGGATATTATATTTCTGGAGAATGAAAAATGGGAAAATTTGGAGTTATAAGAATAAATTCAAGTAGCATGTCTTATCATGTCTTATATACACGTTACTCGCCCCCTTCCCTCCCACAGTTGCCAACTCCCGATTTAAATCGAGAGATTCCTGTTTTTTTAACCCATCTCCTGCGCAATTTTTTCTCCCGATTTCCCCTGATTTCTACAAAAAACTTCGCATGTTTTAGGTAAAAATCCCCCGATTTTGTCTGTGTCCTCCCATTTTTTCCTCCTACCTCCCGATTTTTAACTTGAATCCGAGTACTCATCGATCGTCTCCAGTATCTTACATATAAGTCAATTAACTCCAGCGACATCTAATCATGAAAAACAAAGTTAATCTAATATAAATGTCCAATCAACAACAAGGAAATTAGCGCACGCGCAACAATTTTAATCAGTAAAAGCGAATCCATCCTTTATTACGATCCTAGCGCATGCTTATTACGTAGATAATCTCCTGAGTGGAGGTGATAAGAATCTGCTCAAGTATGTCCGTGAAACGGGGTAAGAATAATTTTGTCTATGCACGATTGCGTAAGCCTACCAAGATTAAGCATGTATATACATTAAGAGAAATCATGTTAAATAAGTTTGAATGATTTTACCATTGAAGTTTGTCAAAAATTGAGATTTATCAGTCACATTTACGGTAAGCTTTTTGGTTTTTCCATCCTGGACCAAGGATGATTGGCTCCCAGGATGCAACATCGATACCGATACTCCCTATGTCGTGACTACAAAATTCGAATTCAAACTGCATTTTCGTTTGAAAATAAGACCAAAATGAATGATACAAATGTTGAAGTGAATAAAATAGCGGCTGTTTGAATTTTGCAATCATGACATCAAGAATATCGACAGAGTATCGATGTTACATTCTGGGAGCCAATCCTCCTTGATCCTGGACCTAGACGGCCATGTGCAAAAAGAAGATGTATTTTAAGAAATTCTCATGTCTGTTTTTCCTTGCTATCGTCTTTACTAAAAGAAACATGTTTTTAAGAGGTCTCCTGCTTTTAAAGAAAATCTCCTGTTTTGACAGAAGATCTCCTGTTTTTTATTTTACTTGGTATCTTTACCAAGAGAAACTTCCTGTTTTATAAAGAAGTCTCCTGTTTTCTCCTGTTTTTAAAGAAAATATCCTGTTTTCTCTTGTTTTTAAGGAAAATATCCTGTTTTCTCCTGTTTTAAAAGAAAATACCCTGTTTTTTCCTGTTTTTAAAGATAATCTGTTTTCTCATGCATTTAAAATAAATTGTTTTCTCCTGTTTTTAAAGAAAATCTCCTGTTTAGACTGAAAGTCTCTTGTTTTCTCCTGTTTTTTAGATGGTAACTTGTTTTCTAAAAGAAACCTCCTGTTTTCTCCTGTTTTTTAAAAGAAGTCTCCTGTTTTCTCCTGTTTTTTCAGTAAAAGTCTCCTGTTTTTCTCCTGTTTTTTGCAAAATATCTCCTTGATTCTCCTGTTTTTTTTTTAAAACTCCTGTTTTTTTTCTCTGAGAGGTTGGCAGGTATGCCATCCACTCCACCCTCCATCCAATATTAATTTATTTTTTGTATAACGCATGGAAACTAACTTTAAAAAGTGAGTAATGTCATTAGTGTTGTGATAATAACGTCCCTTATACCTATTTATTACAGGTCGTGTAGACCATTGTTGCCTGATTTATAGCAAAAAGATTGACTTTTGCACGTTGGTGATGATGCACCTTTTTTAATAGATCTCAGAAGTGTATCAGTTAAAAAAAAATACTAGAAGACCTAACATATTTTGCCATGCACTGCACCTATTCATTTGGCAATTCAGTTGTAAATTTCTCTTGAAAAAATAAATCTTCCAAATTTGTTTTCTTGCAGAAATGGCCTACTCCCCTCATCCATTTTGTACGATCACAGGGGTTCATCAAGGCTGAATGCAGCCAGGCACGATGTGCTCACTTCCTTGTGGCAAATGCTATTATCAGAACTTAGTCATCGTAAACATAAAATGAGTTTGAAAAAATTATTGTCAAGCTTCACTTTGTTTTAATATTTTCTATAATGTACTTCTCTTAATGTTTCAGGTTGGGGATTATTTCCCAGATTTCTTGGATATGATGGAACGTGAGCCATTTTTGAAAGCTGTTGCACCCTGGGGTCCTTGGTCCTCCACACAGATGGCAGATAGGTGAGTTCAGTATTAAATGTAAAAGCAGCATGGAATAATTGGGATAAAAAATCTCAAATCTCAAGCAATATATAAAAGAATTTCATTCATTTGTGCTAATTTGTGGTTCATCTTAAGATGAAATTCAAAAATAAAATATAAATTGTAACTCCATTCTTCACTATGCTAGATTGGAATATGAAAAATGTTTTCTGGAAAATTACATGTATTTTAGAAAATCATGTGTTTTCTGTAAAAATCCTTTCTTGAATGTGTCTGCCTTGATGTATGACTCTTGCTCTAAAATATCAAGTTTCACATTTGATTCTGTAACATAAAATATGACATATTCTTCAGATCAATGAGTAACGATGGCCCTATATTATGGTGTAGGCCTGGAGAACAGATGGTACCCACTGCAGATATGCCTTCCAACACCAAATCTCCATTTAAGAGAAAGAGGTAAGTTACGCTTTATAATAGCAAGAGAAAGGGTAAGATGTGTCTTCTAACATCAAGTCTCTTCTAGTACCAAGAGTCCCTAAAAGAGAAAACTAATGTTTGTCTTGTAACACCTAAGTCTTTTCAAGTACCAAGTGTCCCTTTCAGAGAGAGAACTACTGTTTGTCTTGTAACACCAAGTCTTCAAGTACCAAGTGTCCCTTAAGAGAGAAGCTGACTACTGTTTGTCTTGTAACACCAAGTCTCTTCAAATACCAAGTGTCCCTTGAAGAGAGAGAACTACTGTTTGTCTTGTAACACCAAGTCTCTTCAAATACCAAGTGTCCCTTGAAGAGAGAGAACTACTGTTTGTCTTGTAACACCAAGTCTCTTCAAGTACCAATTGTCCCTTTAAGAGAGAGAACTACTGTTTGTCTTCGAACACCCAAGTTTTCCTTTAAGAGAATGAATGAAGATATGTCTTAAACACTAAAAATAAGTATGTAAGATATAAATCTCATCTAACAGTAAGTCTCACTTTAGAGAAAGCTGCCAATTATGAGCCAAAAAGTCAAGTCTCGGTTTGGAGAACGGTCTACTGAGCTAATAATTCCCTAAAAAATATAGAAATAACACCCAAATTAATTATGGATATTCAAAAAAAAGAGGACATTTAAATCTACAATATGTAAAAATATCAAAATTGTCCAAAGCAGGCATAACGTGCAGTAGACTGAAGATTTATTTTCTCCAAACCGTGACTTGTTTTTTCAATGATTATTTAGATCGTCTCAAAACTCCCAACTTTTCTCAAATATGTGTTTCATATGCATCTCAATGTTGTAGGGGTATAAATGAACTACGTAATCTGCACTATCTGCCAAGAGCCTCTGAAACGAGGGAAACATTGGTTGAGGATCGTACTAAGTGCCATGCTGACCATGTGGGCCATGGGTTTGATAGATGTACCACAGCTGCCGTGGGAATGCTGAAAGGAATCTATGGGGGCACTCAGTAAGTCTAATGGAACAAATTATTGAATTCTGTGGAATTAAGAAGTGTTATATATCTGTCCAAAAAATGTTGGTATATTCTGGGATACTCTCACTATTTCAATTATGTTTTTTTGAGTTCTCCAAAATCTAAAGTTTGAATTTTAAAAGATCCCTTAATTTTGTTGACTTGATTTAATATCATGATGGCTGGTTCTGGGTAAAGTTATGTTATATTTTCACGACTGTTTCTGTGTTTCATCTTTAGAAAACTCCTTGAGAACAATGTTCAAGCACAAAAATAAGATACACAAAAATTATTGACAATAACTATTATTGCAGTCCTCCAGAATTGGATCGTGTAACGAAAGATGTGATATGCTTCGATGCCAGCAGTTTTATGACAGTCGTTAACCAAATGCAGCTAGATCTTCATGAGCCACCAGTTTCACAGGTGAGTTGAAATTCCATAATATTCATTCAGATCGATCATACAATTCTTAGAACATTTATGTAACGCACTCTCAAATTGTTTTTCAATTCATCTGTACACGCCTAACCATCGACAAGGTACAGTCACGTGACCGTGACAAAATATGCCGTAGTACACTTTTGATGTACAATGTCACTATTAACTGATTTTAAGCAAAGACTATGATGTAGGTTTGATGCAGGTTTTCAAAAATAAATTTGAGGAATACAAAAAGGATTTCCTGTTTGATTTCGCGTGTATTCGATTTCAAAGACATTTATTTTTCTAATTACGTTAAAAGATCTTCGAGCAGTGCTCGATTTTTTTCGTTGTACGTCTACCCATACAATTGTTCGGTTGGAAAAATGTTGTTTTTCACACATTTCCTTTGATATTTTTCTCCCCTGATGTCTCGGAGTGTCGAATATTTTAATGAGAATGTGTTTCTCTAAACTGCACAATTTAAGACGGGTTAAGATTTAATAAATATTCATGCATTTAATATAATTTAAAAAATCAGAAATGTATTTTGTCAACTCGCAGTGTATGTTGTCCCTGTAATTGAAATTCATGAGTTATGATATTAAACATTGCAATGATTTAATTTCAAAATGCATTAAGGGTTAGTTTTATGCGTAACAAGTGATGTTCAACGAACATGCTCCTGTATCCCTAGTACAGATAAACAGGTAAACGTGATTTTTTCGTTGAATGCTATTTTATTTTATGAAAGTGTTAATATGGTGATTAATATGTGACCATGGCATGATATCTTCCGACCTTTTTGGCCACTCGGCGTCGGTACGTTACGTTATGTTTAGTTGCACTTTTATGAATTTTAATAATCTCAAGGAGTTCATGGAGAGATCTATACTAGCAAGATGACTTTCAAAATTTATGCTATAGGGTGTCCCGAAAGTATGGGCCCCCTAGGCAGACATATACCAATGTCTCCATAGTATGTGTCATATATCATTTTAAAGCTCATCCAAAGTTATATTAATTTGCCGAGTATCATGGTTCAACTCACAAATGGAAAAAGTTACAGTTAGTGTTTGGCCAAAATTAAAGTCAGTTTTACACCAAAACAATTGTTGGTGTGTCTCCTTAGCCGCCATGTTAACAGCAGCAATACTTTCCATATATGACCTTAAACAGGCTTCAAATAGGGATATGGCGTTTTGTAATCCTCATGAAACCTTTTTAAGGCATAAGAAGAGTTTCCTTGGAGTATCTACCCTAAACGTCATCTTTTTAGAACTCAATAGCCATCCTATCTTCGAGAATGGCATCCATATTTTCTGTCACAGGGTCAGGGCTGTTCCCAGGATACTGAAATGAACTATCTTTTTGACAAAACGGTAATTTTTGAAATGCCTGTTACTTTTTGCTATTTGAACCATCATATTTTGCAAATCAATGTAACTTTGGATAAGCTTAAAAATGATATATGACACATACTATGGAGACATTGGTATATGTCTGCCTAGGGAGGGGGGCATACTTTGGGACACTGTATATCTGGAAAGTGTAGAAGTTCAAAAGCCAGGTATAGAACACAAAAAAAGAATTAGTAACATTGACATTTAATCATATCAATGACAATTTTATGGATTAACGGAAAAAATATTAGGGTAAATATATCTGATATGCCTATTAAATATTATTACTTTATTATCAAATATGTTCCTTCTATTACACGTACATTATAGCATTTCATTCACTGTAAAATGAACTATGATTGAGATCTGTAAGGCCAATGTGACAACATACATTCGAGTTGACAACATACATTATCTATTTTTCGTAGTAGCATCCAAAGTAAAAAGCGGTTTTGCATTAACTCTGAATGTATATTTGTATACTTATCTTAAGTTGTGTTAGTCGTAGTTTGGCTGTTATTTGCATAGCAAAACAAAAATTAGAGAGAATTTTGAGAAATTCAGTCAAGATTTAGAGATCCCTGACGTGCTGGGTAGATCTATAACAAGATATTGAAGTTGCTGAGGATCATTTAAAGTAGATACGCATATTTGCAACTTAATTACAAATCGAAGGCAACAACTACCTGATGATGAACTGACACAATATTGATCAAATCAATGCTAGTTCTTTCCTCGCTTCCTCATTCTAGAAAATGGCGATCTAAAATGGCGGAAATGACATAGTACATCAAAAGTGTACTACGGTATATTTTGTCAATGTCACGTGACTGTACCTTGTCGATGGTGAGGTGTGGTAATGATAGATGGGATGAAAGCATGAAAGATAAAGGGCCTTGGTAGCTATTTCTGATCTTAAAACTTTAAAATTTAGATTAGCTTGGTGCTTGCACCTTCAATAGACATTGCTTACAACCTTCTTCTCATAAAATATTACAGCTTGAAAAAATTGCTGGCAGAGTAAATGAATGAATTTCTTTTTAAGATTGATGAGAGGTATTTTTTGCACTTGTCATGTATACTGTCAAGAAAGAAGCTTTACTTAAAAGTTTTATGTTGGTGCCAGTTGCAGGCTGTTCAAAATTTAAAGGACAGAGCACTTTAAGAAACATAAAGCAAATTGAAAATGTACTTTGTCTATTTTGCATTCAATATTTTGATTTTGTTCCCTGTTTCAGTGTGTGACCTGGGTAGAGGATGCCAAATTGAATCAGTTAAGACGAGAAGGCGTGAAATATGCTCGTATACAACTCCGTGATAATGACATCTACTTCATACCTCGTAACATCGTTCATCAATTCAAAACTGTATCTGCTGTGACCAGTATAGCTTGGCACATTAGGCTTAAACAGTACTACCCTGAGTTAAATAGCCAACAACAATCTGATAATATGAATGCTACAAATGCAACTGAAAAGGAGCAAGGTGAAACACAAAGTGTCCTAGTGAATGGTGTAAGCGAGAAATCTCCCGAGGGACCTCAAAATAAGGAAACAGCGAATGTCTCGAGCAAGATACATTCCAGTGAAAGATCAGAAAAGGTGACTTTGAAGAAACAAATTTCTGGAGATATGGACACTGAAAGTCCATCAAAGAAGCCAAAACTGGAGAAAACTTCAAGTGAAAAACTCAATGATAAATCTGCTTCAAAAAAGAAACCAGTGGCAACTGGACCAAATTATATAATATCTCAGGAAGGAAAAGTGGAAACAAAATCTGTCAAGAAACTCAATATGTCAGGTGAAGACGTTCATATCAGTAGGAGTAAACCTAAGACTGATAGCTCTAAACAAAAGGATCATTCATCTCATAAACACAGAAAGTCAGAAAAACATACTGACAAGAAACAGGATAAAGTAAGAGTGGAGGAAAGCAAAAAGGAAAGCAATATCGAGGATAAGGACAATAAAAGCAAAGAGAACAAACCAGTGGATATTAATGGAAAGGCTCAAAACATAGACAATGATATGTTAAAACCACAGAATGAATCCAACAGTGATGTAAAAACTGAGCAACGTGAAAAGTCTCGACATAGACACCGCTCTGGGAGTTCCAGTCGCAGCGGAGAAAGTTCACGTTCACATCGTCATGACAGCCCAGGTCATAAAAGCTCCAGTTCAAGTAGCAAATCAAAGCACAGGTCCAGTCATTCTAGTTCCAGTCATAGACATTCAAGATCACATGATCATAAAAGTGAGAGGCATCGAAGCCATAGAAGTCATGATTCTAGTAGTCATAGGAAAAGTAGTCATCGGAGTGATAGTTCTCGGCATAGACATCATAAACACTCAAGTCACAGATCTGAGAAATCTGAGAAATTAGATAGAAATAAGGCATCTGTTGACTTGGTTACAGAAGATCCAAGTTTAGAAATTAAAGACTCTCGTATTATAGAAGCTGATAACAAAGTGGAGAGTAAAGAATCTAGCAACATAAAGATGAATGATAAATCCGGTGAGAATGAAAATATTGGTACTGTTTTAAAAGATGAGAAGTCTGTTGAAAATGAAGACAAGGCCACAATATGTATAGACACATCGGGCACTAATAGTAACCCCAGCATCATTGTAACAAAAGATAACTCATGTGAAAATAAAGATATTGTAAATTCAGAAGATAATTCTGGAACAATTAAAGAAGATGTTAATCCGACAAAGTTGGAATCAGATGAAGTTGATAAATCAGATGAAACCAGTGAACTGACAAATAAGGAGGATGAAATAAATAATGTGTCTGATGAACCCATTAACAATGACATTAAACCAGTGAATAACATCACCGCTGACGTAAATCTAACTATAGACAATTCTTATATAGTGTCCAAAGAAAATGACACTCAATGTGATGAGTTGCCAGAAAATACCTCGGACAAACATGTTGGTAGTATCTCAAACGATGTTGATGATTCTAAAAACATTACTAAAAGCGAAGGTAACGATAGTGTTGAGAGGGGAGTTGATGTTGTTCATGACACAGAAGCCGTTGGAAAGGACTCTATAAGTGAAGACTCTATTCTAACAACAGCCTCAGTAGACTCCAATTCAGAAATATTGGCCACAAAAAGTAAATCTGAGAGTGAGTTAGATATCACAAAAAAAGATAAATGTGAGAAAACACTAGATGTTAATTGTGTGACTGTGGAAATGAAGACAAATGATGATAATGCTCAGGCTGATGAGAGCAAGGTTGATGATAAAGCTGATGTGAGTGATCATGAAGATGTGGATGGTGGAACTGGCCAGACTGCAATGGAAGTGGACATATCACATTCACAACCGACTACTGGAGACAACACCAAGCTGCCTACAGTTGAGCTTATGGAAACTAACTGAATGCTAAAATTATCCAGTTCTATTTAATACTACATGTGTAATCTAAACACCGACAAGACCAAAAAAGAGTTGCAAAGAAAGGTTGGTTATCTTACAGATGTATAATTGAAAGCTATGCAGGATTTAACAAATGTTTAAATCATTGTAGACCATGAATTTTCTTCATCCATTCAATTTTGATGGACTTCAACATTTTTTTTATGTTCACAAGTACATGTATTGTATGGGTAAGCATTGTATGTACCCTTGGTGAAAACTTGACTTTAGATTAGAGATAATTCTTTGATCTTACCTGTGTCCAATCAGAGAATGTGTTCAGTAAGCCATGACTACACGTTCTGCCTATGAGTAACTAACATTTATTTACATTCAAACTCCCATAAGAGGCCATGAAAGCTACATTTGTGAGGGATAAGATCTGAAATCTCATCACATCACTTCAAACTAAACATTATGTATATATGTAATTGTACATTGTCGTTGTAAATATCATATTAGGTTTTCTGTTTTCCATCGTATCCTTTGATGTGCATATCATGTGAGATAATGAGTTAATATAGTTGTATTAATTAATGGCCGTCGGGCAGATATATCATATTGTCCTCGGGATAATCCCAATATCCTGAACCTCATATGGAATAATCTCTATGTATTCAGATGTTTCAAGTTTTAGTTATGAGGCAAAAGATCATTGGGAATCTTTACATTGTAGTCATTGACAGAGATATCTGTTAAAATAACAAGATAAATTGTTTCCTGGTAATGAAACTAGGAATGTGTTTGTATAAATTATATGTATGTACATGTATAATACTTAAGCTCATTTTAGAGCAGAAGACTAGTAAAACTGTACATGTATGAGATTTTATAATGATATATGAAATACTGTAATTAAAATTGGCATTAAGAGACAGTTGTTTTATTTTGAATGTAGATATTATACTGATTGCAAGAAAATTTCATTGTACATTAGTGATATGTATTTTATTGGCAGAATCCATTTTTGTATAAGAAAAACATGATTAATTTAAATTTTGCTATACATTGTATTTATTTATGCTTTATCATGGACATTAAAATGTTTAATATTTGCAGCTGTTCTATAACTTATATTCATCCAATGTAAATCAGATTGCCTTAAATCAGGGGCTCTCTTGAGAAATGTTTGCCAATGTGTCTTAATATTCAAGGCTATATTTATCTAAACCAATATTGGATATAAATGTGCAACTATGAAAGCTTGAATTGACTGAAATGTTGAAATAAGCAAGATCTTGATCTTCATGATTGAACTCAAACTTGTTAGTGGGACTGCATCTTTAACTTGGTTTCCTCTAATGATAATTTCTAATGATTGATGTTACGTTTCAACAATCAAGTTCATAATCTTTCACCAAGTTTCTATGTTCCAATGCATTTCATTTGAACAACTTCACTGTGGAGACTCATGCCATGGTCACATTTGCTCCGATTTTCAGTACCGGAGCCCAGCCAATGAGTATTTTGTTAAAAATTGCATTTAGTTTTGAACAAAATACTCAGCCGGAAGCTGAGATTGCATTTAATTTTAAACAAAATACTCAGCCGGGCGCTGGTGTTGAAGATTGGATTAAATGTGAGCACAGCATAAGAGAAGGTGCAGGGGACAAGGGATGATGTGAATACTCAAATTCTCAGTAAACACAAATGAAGACAGACATGCAATTGATGGCGGGGGGGGGCAAGACTCACTTAATATCATTGAGCATTTTCATTCAAGTCATTTTTGTATATAATTTGTATAGAACCTTGGTTTATGTCTGAATGTCTCATTTGTATTTAACCGGTGAAATTTAAATCAGTGTTTTCTATGACAGTGGACTCAAGTTTGAGAATTTTTACTTCAATAATTAAAGTCTATATTTTTTCAAATCAAGAGATGCAATTAGATGGTGTGCTGTATTTTATTATTTAAGTATGTTTGTAAGATGGTGAAAGTGCTTAAAGCAATAAGAAGAAAGAAGTTGATTATCATGTATCCAAAAATTATTTTAAAATCTACATGTAGATTGCCAATTTAAACTCCATTCATACCATATTATTCAATTTCATTTTAATTGTCAAAGCTTAAATTTTTTCTTCATTTAGACTCAATCTCGAAATAACTTGTGGAGTGTCCTGGTTTTTGAAGCATTTAGTTTTAAATCAATTCAGTACTGCTGTACTGTACTCTACTTAAGTTTGTGTGACAATCTAGATAGAAATGTTTAATGTTCTCCTTATTGCTCGTGGCCTTTTCTTCTAGAGGTGTTCATTGCATATTTCTGTTAAACAAAACGACTGTAAAACTTTATGTGTAATTTTGTAGATTTAATTTTAGTATCCAAGAGACAGATTATATTATATTTATGTATTAAACTAAATTTTCTAGTTGGTGTACGTATTTATCATGTTTAGAGGTTCATGCATGTAATGTTATGATGAAAGTTGTTCAGTTTGAGTTGGAACTAAATCTTAACTGAAACAGATTGAATTAAATAGAGTTGAGCCTATAGAGCACCTAAGATGATTGTGTTTGTGTTTTGTTATGACAGTACAATGCTACAAGGGAACAGCTATGATTAAGCCTGCCATGTGTTGAAATCATCTTAAAAGCAAATTCTGAAGTCCGACCACTGTTGATATGAAGGCACTAAGGTTAGACTATAACAATTTGTAACTGACACTGGAATTCTGAATGCTTAATCAGTCAGCGGCAAGGTTCGCTTTATGTCCTCCCTCAAATAGGATTCAAAACTGTCCTCCTTATGTATTACTCCCTCATATTCCCGGGGAAGAAAATTGAGGTTTTTTGGCTTAAAAGTCATGTTAAAATTATCATTAAAAGATGTCACTTCCACAAACACTAAAGCAAAGGCCAAGGATGCCTTCTATCTCAAAATAATCACTTTCTGTCTGGTCTTCTTTGAGAAATGACACAATGGAAGATTAGTCAAAAATCCCTATTTTCCCAAGCACCCGGATTCCTCCGGATAACAGGATTTGCATTGAAAAAAACTTCAGGGTTTTAGCAATCTTATCAACAGGGTCTCATTGATGAACCAAGGCGAACCAAGGTGTTTTTGGCTCACACAGTGAGCCTATCTGCCTATGGGATCGACCAGGCATCTGTCTGTCCGTTGGTCTGTCTGTCCGTCCGTCAACATTGGCCGCACAAATTAAAACTGCTATTCGGATCGATTCATATCCACATTCATTTTATGCATATCCATAATGCCAATTTGACCTATCAATATCATCACCATTTCCCAAGTTCACCCGGTTTCCGAGAAATTGCTGAATTGCTCAAAAAGTCAAATCTTCTGTAACTACTAGACACTTTGTTGAAGTAGAACTTTCAAATAACTTGTAGTAGTTGTTGTATATAGAACTTATGTCCTCTGAAGATTTCAAAGCTCTTGAAATTACAGTTTTTGGTGTTTACTCTATAAATTTGACTAAAAGTAGGATCAGGGAACTTTCTCATGTATAAAGTCAATCATCATTGGCTGCACAAATTAAAACCGCTGTTCATATTGAGTCATATTCACATTCATTATATGCACAAAGTTAATCCCTTAAAAGGGATAAATGATTCCTTTTAGAAAGTGGAAAACAATATTTCCCATGTTATTTTCCCATAGTGAAAAAATCATAGCCTTCAGCTAAGTTTGGTCACCCATAATGGGTATCTTTAAAACCCCTGAAGGAATCACTTATTCCTTTAAAGTGGTTAACTATGTGTCAAAACGCAGCATATTGATGCAAGAAAAATGAAAAAAGCAGGGATGGAAGGGGTCGAAAATTAGGAAAACATGTGGGTGGGTTGTTTGCATCTACCCTGTCACAAAGTCGAAATTATTTTATCATGTCTAGAAGTGATTTTCCTGGAGGTAATGCATTGGCCTAACATATGCAATTGTTTAAATCCTCAGAAAATGGCCAAAATCCAACATATGACTGTCCAAAATCTGTTGCGCTAATTTCTCTCCTCCTTTTGGTCATCTTAATCACAAAAGACCAACTGAGCTCTGAATAAGTAAAATGGTCAAGGTCAAACGTCCTCAAACTAGGTCACACAACTGTGCTATCTAAGTTTCTCAAAATTCGAGACTACAAATCAAAATCAATAATTTTGTTTGAAAATCAGGATATACATTCCTCTTAAGGTTCTACACTGTGTGAGCACAAGACCGTGGGTCCTTTATTACAGATTTACACAAGTGTGACGGCCAACTCCATTCCACGCCATCCTGAAAAGGATAAATTGAAGAAAAGTACATGTTTTTTTTTAAAATTTTATTTATGAAAATTTAATTTACACAAACTAGCTGTTACATGTATATTTTACAATCATACAATGCATTTTAGCTTTATGCAGTAAAAAATCTGACTGATAAACAATTCTGACTGAGCAAGCTAATATAATGGAAATAAAAATACTTAACTAGTGATTAAGATCAATACATTGTATTATTTTCTCAGTTTTATGGTATATCATCCCAATAAAAATTGAGATAGTCATTTAGATATAGTTTTAATGATTTCAAAATGAAACAAGGCATTAACATGACAAAATGTCACCACCTAGTTGCTCACTCACTTAAGTCAGATTTGAATTTCTGAGAACTTGTAAAGTCAAATTTGAACTTCTGAAAAGATGTAGATGATTTTTAAAAAAAATTTGGTCAATTTGAAGCAAGTGGAAAACAGACCTTTTTGACCTTTTTTGACCTTGAGAAGGTCATTAAAGGTCAAATGTCAAATCTAAAGTCAGATTTGAATTTCTGAGAACATGTAGATGATTTTGAAAAAAAAAATTAGTCAATTTGAAGCAAGTTGAAAAAGACCTTTTTGACCTTTTTTGACCAGGAGAAGGTCATTGAAGGTCAAATGTCAAATCTAAAGTCATATTTGAATTTCTGAGAACATGTAGATGATTTTGAAAAAAAATTTAGTCAATTTGAAGCAAGATGAAAAATACCTTTTTGACCTTTTTTGACATTGAGAAGGTCATTGAAGGTCAAATGTCAAATCTAAAGTCAGATTTGAATTTCTGAGAACATGTAGATGATTTTGAAAAAAAAATTTAGTCAATTTGAAGCAAGTTGAAAAAAGACCTTTTTGACCTTTTTGACTTTGAGAAGGTCATTGAAGGTCAAATGTCAAATCTTAAGTCAAATCTAAAGTCAGATTTGAATTTCTGAGAACACGTAGATGATTTTGAAAAATTTTTTTAGTCAATTTGAAGCAAGTTGAAAACAGACCTTTTTGACCTTTTTTGACCTTGAGAAGGTCATTAAAGGTCAAATGTCAAATCTTAAGTCAGATTTGAATTTCTGAGAACATGTAGATGATTTTGAAAAAAAAATTAGTCAATTTGAAGCAAGTTGAAAAAAGACCTTTTTGACCTTTTTTTACCTTGAGAAGGTCATTGAAGGTCAAATGTCAAATCTAAAGTCAAATCTAAAGTCATATTTGAATTTCTGAGAACATGTAGATGATTTTGAAAAAAGATTTAGTCAATTTGAAGCAAGATAACAAAAATACCTTTTTGACCTTTTTTGACATTGAGAAGGTCATTGAAGGTCAAATGTCAAATCTAAAGTCAGATTTGAATTTCTGAGAACATGTAGATGATTTTGAAAAAAAAATTTAGTCAATTTGAAGCAAGTTGAAAACAGACCTTTTTGACCTTTTTTGACCTTGAGAAGGTCATTGAAGGTCAAATGTCAAATCTAAAGTCAGATTTGAATTTCTGAGAACATGTAGATGATTTTGAAAAAAAAATTTAGTCAATTTGAAGCAAGTTGAAAAAAGACCTTTTTTGACTTTGAGAAGGTCATTGAAGGTCAAATGTCAAATCTAGAGTCAGATTTGAATTTCTGAGAACACGTAGATGATTTTGAAAAAAATGTTTAGTCAATTTGAAGCAAGTTGAAAACAGACCTTTCTGACCTTTTTTGACCTTGAGAAGGTCATTGAAGGTCAAATCTAAAGTCAAATCTAAAGTCATATTTGAATTTCTGAGAACATGTAGATGATTTTGAAAAAAAATTTAGTCAATTTGAAGCAAGATAACAAAAATACCTTTTTGACCTTTTTTGACATTGAGAAGGTCATTGAAGGTCAAATGTCAAATCTAAAGTCAGATTTGAATTTCTGAGAACATGTAGATGATTTTGAAAAAAAAATTTAGTCAATTTGAAGCAAGTTGAAAACAGACCCTTTTGACCTTTTTTGACCTTGAGAAGGTCATTGAAGGTCAAATGTCAAATCTAAAGTCAGATTTGAATTTCTGAGAACATGTAGATGATTTTGAAAAAAAAATTTAGTCAATTTGAAGCAAGTTGAAAAAAGACCTTTTTGACCTTTTTTGACTTTGAGAAGGTCATTGAAGGTCAGATGTCAAATCTAAAGTCAGATTTGAATTTCTGAGAACACGTAGATGATTTTGAAAAAAATGTTTAGTCAATTTGAAGCAAGTTGAAAACAGACCTTTTTGACCTTTTTTGACCTTGAGAAGGTCATTGAAGGTCAAATGTCAAATCTAAAGTCAGATTTGAAGGTCAAATGTCAAATCTAAAGTCAGATTTGAATTTCTGAGAACATGTAGATGATTTTGAAAAAAAATTTAGTCAATGTGAAGCAAGTTGAAAAAAGACCTTTTTGACCTTGAGAAGGTCATTGAAGGTCAAATGTCAAATCTAAAGTCAGATTTGAACTTCTGAGAACATGTAGATGATTTAGAAAAAAATTGAAGTCAGTCTTAACAGTATTTGTTAAGTTATAGAGAGTTGTAAGAAATTGTTACAGACGCCGGACGCCAACAGCCGGACGCCAACCGCCGGACGCCAACCACCAACCGCCAGACGCCGTCGCAAAAAAACGGAGACCATAACAATATGTCACCACTTTTGGTGGTGACATAATAAAAATGAATGAAGTACATGTCTTATATTATGTTTCTTACTTATATTAAATCCATATGCCATACTTCATAAGAAACAAATGTAAAAATAAATAATCTAAACACATTAAAATACTTCAGTACACACCAAAATTACAGTTAATTTTCAGTTTCAATCAATGTTATGTTGGATGTTTTATGTGCTTACATCTAACATGTTATATAGTACCTTAGGGAGACATTGCTCTGCCTAAGAATCAAGTTGAGGCTCTATCCTAAATTATGGACTGGGTGTTGCTACAGCTATGCAAATGATCCAAAATAATATGTACATAAACTCAAACAAGCTTACAAAATGTTTGATTCAGTTTCTCAGTATTAATTCTAAAATAAGTACATGTGTACAGTTGATTACCAGGAATAACATTTCATTAAATTTGTTAAATTTGTTTCTAAGTAGTGACTTGGAATACAGCCTCCAATATTGGTTAACTATGCACAACCATCAAAAGCACAATTATTACATGTACATGTATTCCCACCTTAATAAGGGCTTTAACCATTGAGTTGTTTTTCTATTTGAAATAATAAGTTAGAGTGCAAGAACTAAATCTAAGTGATGTTAAATAACTAATAAATATCATCTACTATTGAATAATCCTATTATAATTGACCGGATGAGTGTAAACCTTGCTACCCTATACTTCACCATAAACAGTCAGGCCCGTAGCCAGGGGGGTTCGGGTGAACCCCCCCCCCTGGCCAAAATTTCTTTCAAAATCATGCAGTTTTTCACCATTCTGACTATTTTTTGAGTGATTTTTTGCCAAATTCACCAAAGTAAACCCCCCCCCTAGAATGTTTTGGAAAAGTGAACCCCCCTTGGAAAATTCTGGCTACGGGCCTGACAGTATACCCAATGTGCTCATATAACAGGTATATACATGTATCATTTATATGATCCGTACAGGAGGAGGATGTAAGGAAAGAGGAAAGAAACTCTCTTTGAGAAAAACCTTTAAATGTGAACATTATTTTGAAGTTTTTAAATATCGAAACCCTAAATATCAATCTTCAACTTCCAAATTGGAATCACATGCTTATTTTTGTCATATTTTGTATCATTTTAGTATGCGTGGTGTCAATCAATCATGAAACCAACCATTCCCAGATATTCATCCTGGATTCCATCATCATATTTTTTATACATTGTATTTATAAATGGCTCTTAGTGGGTTTCTGTTGACAGAAGGTCTAAACTGATGTTTGTCTTAAAGCATAGGCTCCTGGTGACATATCTTTGCGAATAAAGAGATAGCATTTCATTTGTTAACTTTGGAAATGGATATTTATGCTTATGATATCAATATGAAGTCGGAACAACTGAAAATTTGGAAATCAAGATGTTATGTTTTTCTTGATATCCAGTAACATACTGTTTACATTACATAACTTTTGAGCGTGTGAACACATCTGGATATAAAACAGTTTTTCTATTTATAAATCTAAAAGTTCCCTCTCTCTCTCTACTGGACTAACTATAAAACTGCTATCATCATCGATACCTACCTATGCAAATGCTGTTATTGTTACATGTCGCCTGGTTACATAATATATAATATATTAAATGTCACAATAAAAATGTGAAGCTTTTGTGTCTCATACATACATAAACATTGTACAATTCCAGCGCAATTGCACTTATTTTACCAAAATATCCCAATATTTCATCCATCAAAGAAATCTAAAAAGTGTTAATAACAATAAAAACGATCCCGAATGAAGCAAAAATGTTCACAAGATTTAATCTTCATTGGGAAAATATGTATTTATTTTATAATCTGAGACACCCAATATTATGCAAGCAGGTATTCCAAATCCATGCCATCTTAATACACCCTATGCAGACAGAGCCTGTAGGAAATATTGTGTGCGGCGCAAATGAGCGGAGGGTGCGGAGCTAACGGTCATTTTTGAATTTAAAATTGGGATATTTCTGAAACTAAGCCGTTTTGGGACTTCAAATATACCAAGATATGTGTATTTGACACCAAATATCAATAAAATTGTGAAAATAGTAGTGCAATTCATTTTATAGCGACACAGTATGCCTTAAACATTTCCCTGACCTATATATTTTGAGACTATCCTTTTAATACTGCGTCCCCAGCATTCATAAAAAATGGTGTTCAAGATACACTACCCATGCAAATTATTTTTGCATCTTGGAAGCCAGGCAGTATCTGTGTGATTTTATAAAAATTCGGAAATGTTCTTCAGATATGAGCCCCCTCTAAATATTGGGTGCGGAGGTACGTTTATGGAGCTCCTCCGCACCCAATATTTAGAGGGGGCTCATATCTGAAGAACATTTCCGAATTTTTATAAAATCATACAGATACTGCCTGGCTTCCAAGATGCAAAAATAATTTGTATAGATAGTGTACCTTGAACACCATTTTTTATGAATGTTGGGGACTCAGTATTAAGGGATAATTTCAAAATATATAGGTCTGGGAAAGGTTTAAGGCACACTGCGTCGCTATAGAATGAATTGCGCTACTATTTTCACAATTGTATTGATATTTGGTGTCAAATACACATATCTTGGTATATTTGAAGTCCCAAAACGGCTTAGTTTCAGAAATATCCCAAATTTAAATTCAAAAATGACCGTTAGCTCCGCACCCTCCGCTCATTTGCTCCGCACCCAATATTTCCCACAGGCTCTGTCTGCATAGGGTGTAATATATAAACTTGAAACTCATAACCTTTTGTATCCACTTCATTAAACTCTTGGATTACTGCGATCATTGGTTGTGACACTTTTTAATTGTCTTCCCATACGAATGTCTCCTAATAAGGCACTACGGCTGGAACCATTCCCTGAAGAGACCAAAGCCTTATTTGGAGCATAGTTCTTATTCTCACTTTTTAAGGGCATTGTTGGAGGTGGTAAAGATGGCGCTGCTGGAGGCATCGGTGGTGCAGGAGGCAAAGGTGATTTTTTGCTGGTGGAAGCTGTTGGAGGGGGTGGGGTGATACTCTCCTTGGTCCGACTACGTCGTCTGAAGACAAATAAAGAAAGCACACAAATAATAATTGCATCTAACTAACAATACCAATAGCTATTATGCAAAACCTTGAAGTGAAGATTTGAATTTTACAAATTGAGAAACTTGTGTAACTTTAAGTCTTAAAATGTGCCTCTTTGGACCAACGCCCATTGCAAATACTGTAAGTACATGTATATAACTGAAATTCAATGAAGCTTGCTTCATCTAATTAATCACCTGTTTCCCTGTTCCCTTTCAATGTGAGATTTACTTCGACTCAGCTTTCGATCTTTCTTCCCTTTCCTGACAGCCTTTAGTAAGTTCTTCATGTTAGAGTTCAGTTTTACCTGTATATAAATTAATAATATTTTAGATAAGAAGCAGTGCATGCAAAAATGGTTGTAAAATCTATCTTAGGTGGAGCTGAAGATAAAAATCTGTAAATGCTACTCTGCTTTACATAAGCTCTACATAAGCTTTACATCGCATTAAAATTAATAATTTTTGGGTATTTTGTAATGTCAAAGTTAAAAATAATTTACCCATAAAGTACCCATGTACTTTTATACTTACCACTGGAGGGTAGAAACTCTGTAACTCCTTACATCTTACATCTTTAAAGAATGAGTGCTTAGATATCTGGAATAATACATATGCACATATTGTTAGGAAAACAGGGCCGTCAGATGGGGGGGTGCGATGGGTGCGACCGCACCCCCCTTTGTCACCCCCCAAAATAAATTTGAAAAAAAAATTTAGAAAAAATTTTTTTTTTGAAAAATATTTTTTTTGAAATTTTTTTTTCATTGACTCATACACTTTGAAAGTACCCAGAAAGCACCAAATAGCATCTTAAAATTGTAAAATTTTCTAGGGGTATTGGCCACCCCTCACCCCCCCCCCCACAAAACAATGGAAAAGTTCTAAATTTATTTTAGAGTTTTGTCTCAGACACTTTTAAAGTGCCCAGACATCATCAAATAGCTCCTTGATAATGTTAATGATTCTGGAAGACTAACACTTACTCCCCCTCTGGCAGCCCCCCTCCCTTAACATTCCCCCCCCCCAAAAAAAAGATTGAGATTTTTCAAATTTTTTTATTGACTCATACCCTTTGAAAGTGCCCAGAAAGCACCAAATAGCATCTTAAAATTTTCTTGGGAAATAGGCACTTTTAGGCACAGACACTTTTAAAGTGCCCAAACTTCATCGAATTGCACCTTGATATTGTAAATTTTGATATGGGGGACAAACACTTGCTCCCCCTCTGGCACCCCAGCCCCACCTCCCCCTCTGGCACCCCTCCCCCCTTTGACACCCCCAAAATTTGAAAAAAATTGTGATTGTTTTACAATGTTTCTATTGACTAATACACTTTAAAAGTGCCCAGAAGCACCAAATATCATCTTTAAATTGTAAAATTTTCTAGGAGAGTTAGCCACCCCTCACATCCCCCACAAAACAAAAGAAAATATTCTGATGAATTTCATGTATTGTCTCAGACATTTTTTAAGTGCCCAGACATCATCAAATAGCACCTTGATATGGTCAATGTTTCTGGGGGACAACCCCTTGCTCCCCTACTGGCACCCCACCCCACTTCACCCTCTCATCCTCTTTGACACCCCCAAAACAATTTGAAAAAAATTCACATTTTTCTTATTGACTCATAATGCACAGGCGTACCAGATGGTTGGGAGAACCCCCAGACCCCCCTGAATGCTCAGTTTTTCATTCATTCAACTCTTATTCCCGTGATGGGGGCGTACTACTTAGAAACTTACACTTTGAAAGTGCCCAGAAAGCACCAAATAGCATCTCAAAACTGTAAAATTTTCTAGGGGGAGTGGACCACTCCTCACACCCCCCTCAAAACAATTGGAACGTTTGGAAGTTGCATGCATTTGTTAATTCCAAACCAATATAGGGAGTAACTGCCCCCCCCCCCCCCTCTGTCTTACGCGATTTGATTCACGCGGCAAAAAAATGACAATTTTATATTCTCTTTAGTAAGCTAAAAACCGCACCCCCCTTGGAGAAAAGTGTCTTACGGGCCTGGGAAAAGAATATCAATACTGACAGTTAATTCTTTAATTATACAGAATTCATTAATTATACAAAATTCTAATTAATTTGAGGATTTCATATTGAGTAGTTTATACTGATATTTAGTACAATGTACTTCTGTACATGAAGAGGAAAAATGTGGTTTTGAGTTTTTATTTTATATTCATTTTAAAATTGTTGACAGATGCACACATTAAGGAACATAGATAAGTCGGCCATTCCAAAGGGTCATCATGTGAACAAATAATGTCTGAAGAAAACTTACGTCTTTAATGCTTGGATATCCATCATTTTCTCTAGCAAATATGTAATCAAGCACCTGAAAGAATTAAAAAATGTCATAGCCAACATACCTCAATCTAGATTTAAATTGAGCAATGAACTCAAGAGACATTTAGCGTATATTTGACAAAATAGGAATTGTTTCAGAGAACACATTAACAATTGTTGTCCCTTATTTTGTAAAGACTCGTGCTTATACTTGTAGTATACTGATGATATAATAGAAGTCAAAGACAGCAAATAATTGTGTGATAAATGTAGAGAAATTGTCAGAAACTAATAAAAATATAATTCCCATCCAGTATGATATCACTATTATCATATATCCTTGAAAATGGCTAAGTTTGCATCTGAGTGGACATTCAATATTGAATTACACTGACAATTATTACCTCTAATGCAGGAGAGTTTCCCAGTGAGATGAGATGTTTTGTGTCAGGTTCAGCTGTATCTAATTCATAGCCACTGCACATCTCAAACAACAAGTGACCTGAAATATAAATCATTTACAGCAAAGCTTGTCTTATCTCAGCACAAATGGGACCAGCCAAAAGGTTTCTCAAAATGTGAGTCAATGGAAGAAAATAAAATTGGGACCAGAAAAGTGTTTGAGACTGGTGTTCAGATTAGAGAGGTTTTCGGATATTTACAGGTTTTATGGAATTTATTCTCATATTTATAGGGTCTGAATTTTGTGTGCCCTTATTTTGCTTTGAGGTTTTCCTTGTACTATACATACCAGTATATATATTTTCATACTGTTCACATAGAAAATAAACAGATGAAATAAACTAAATGAATAGTGCATTTGAATTAAAACAGATTCACTTATCAGTTTGTAGTCAGGAACACCTGTAGAAGTTTAAAAAACTTTCAATAGATTTCTAGATGGATTATCTTACCAAAACACATGGTGTCTATTGAGTTCTTGTTGTCCTTTATCCTGCGTCTTATTAGTGTTGAAGCTCTTGATGTGAAGCCAAAGAAATTGTTCTCAAAGCCTGTCAGTCTGAATATGAATAATATTTTATTTATCCGTTGTATTGTCTTCATTATTTTCACTATGTTAATGAGTAGGTTGTACTAACCTTGAAAACACTTTGAAGAGTGCATGTCTATTTAACATTACTGCACTAAGACACACTTATATTACCTTAAACTTAAATACAAAACTAGGGGGAACCAGGAAAAGATTTCAGATTTGACAAGTCAGTTAGTTTCTTAAAATACATGTGGATTGATCTGCTACACTTAAAAGTAAATATTTCTGTATAATACGATTCCCATCATAAACTTACTTGCATATATTATTCACAACCATCACATTCCCAGAATGCAAGTGACAAAATGGCCGCAACCCCTTATCCTCAAGATACATCAGGGCCTCCAGTATCTGTCTCCCAAATAGTCTGACCTGTTCTATTGGCAAACATTTACTTCTACAATTGTACTTCTCTCCCCAGCAATCCATGCATCTAGCCTGAAAATATACATTTGAAAATCAGTCTAATGTATTTCTCCATAATTGTGTCAAATTTAGATGATTTTCATTCATTTACGCAGGAAATATCACAATTTGTGAGATTTTATTGATGCCATGTTGACTGAACTGATAAATATTTTCTTGACAATTATTAACGTATTAGTTCAATAATCAATATGTTCAGTATGTTCTGATTCATGGGCTAAGAATTGGCATTTAAAGGTGTCATACTCGTCCTGCATGACTGTTAGATAAAATAGCGAATGAGTCAATCTTAACAAAATATCACCCTTCTTAAGATTGGGGGATCTCTTAACACACTCTGTATATGAAATCTTTCAATGAGCTGGAGCTCTTGATTTACCTGATAAATGAGATCTATCAATGAGCTGGAGCTCTTGACATACCTGACAAATGAGATCTTTCGATGAGCTGGAGCTCCTAACATACCTGATAAATTAGATCTTTCGATGCGCTGGAGCTCTTGACATACCTAATGAATCAGATCTTTCAATGAGCTGGAGATCTTGACATACCTGATAAATGAGATCTTTCAGTGAGCCTTTAGCATTGAGAGGTTGCACAACTCCTATCAGATCTTGTTCTTCCACAAAATCCACTTGGTGAATGGGATAAATATATGGATGCTGCAAATGATGGAATTGAAAATATATACAACTGTAGGTGCAAAATACAACTTTTTTCTGGTCTAGCCTAACTGATGAAGTAAACATGTACTTTTTGAATTTCTTCAATAAAAAATGAAATGAGTAAACCACTAAAATCAACATTTTTTTCAAAGAACAAAATGAACACGTATGCTTATTCAACTTTTTTTCTAGTATGGTGCCTTTGAGACAATAATCTGAATATGTTAAAAAAATATGATTTTGCTAGTATATAGGCGGGGATAGCATCCTACCTGAATGCTTGAGAATATTCCATTGATTGTTTCAAGCGTGAGTTTAGTAAACGGAACAACCATCTGAGGGCTCCTTGGCACCAATGTCAACAAATAGTCCCTCTTTGTTTTAATATGTTTCACCAAGAACCAAGTTTTGTTAACCCTGCTTCCTGAAATAAAACAATGTATTAACATGATTGGTCCACAAGTGAAAGGTTGTGTAGTGAATGTGGGGTAATTGAGGATGAGCTTCACTTTATCACAAGCTGTACAAAGAACTTAAAACACAGAGAGCTTTTGTTTGAAACTTTAGAATCTGATCTGAAACAGTGCAAAGATCCAGATAAACTGTTTGAAACTATTATGTCTAGTAAAAGCTCTCATGTTAACTTACATTTAGCCAAATTTGTATATCACTCTTTTAAAAATTTGGAAAATGATAAATATTATGTAAACATTTTTTTAAAACACATGTATTATGGATACACCACACTGATATCATACCCTGACATGTGAAACTGATGTAAAGTAGTTTTGTAGTATGTAGTTGTAGTTTGTAGTTTTTTGTACACTGTAGTGACTGATATGTCATTTACATGACATGGTTATTGAGTCAATAAAAGATATATATATATATATTACATGCCTATGGGTGATCAGTGTATGATTTCAAGATAAGAAATAGTAAAAGTCTATGGGGATTCCATATGACAAAATGCAATGTGGTCCTGATGGCTGGATTAGTAGAAACCACTTAAAGGTAGACTACGGCTTAAGTTTCTCCCTCCCCCCACCCGACAATTCGTGATATTGCATTTTAATTGCTTATATAATATCTTACATGCCTTAGATATATATTGAGGCCAACTTATGGGTATAGCATTGTAGATATATTGAGAAAATCGAAAGAACAACCAACTGTCAGGATTGAACACAATTTAGTTGGATCGCGGCAATCGAGGGAAAATCCTTTCAAATGACACAAGCACAGTAGCATTGGCTAACTCACCAGTCGTAAACAACATTTATGATTAGAACACATTTTTGCAGCTCTTACATTGTACATGTACATACCCATCTCATTGAGATGATCCATCATCGTGTAGATCCCACTAGACCTCAAGTAGAACTGGCATGTTATAAGAGCAGTTTCTGGAAGAACAGAAAAATGCAGATGAACATACAGACTTTACATAATATGCGATGCTAATGTAAATACAAGTAAGTGGGAATTAAATAATTTTCATTTACAAATATTTAGCAAAGAATATTAACAAAATCTTCATCCTTAGGTTTTGACAGATCAGAAACCTTTGAAACCTCATGAACACATCGATGATGTTAAAATACTGGATTTGTTGATTAGGTTTTTCTGTGCAACGAAGAGTAAAATCTTTTATATAGTCTGATAATTTAGAACAAAATCTTTCATTTTAAACATCATCAGTCCATGGAAAAATAAAGCATAGACCATAACTTAGATGATTTGTTGTAGAAGTTTGATCAGTGCAGGCAACATTTGACAAATGAAAGGTTGAAAGCATAATGTATGACATGGACTCGAACTCTATACGAACCAAAACAATAGGCACATTTTGTATAAAACAATATGTCTATTACACCAGATGCAACTAATGACATCACTGCTTCACCTCTAATTGCTTCTCTTTTCATTCTCTTCTCCATTTCCATCTTCTCTGGGAGGGCAAGATCTTCCTCCAAAGCTGTGTAGTCATATCTCCGATAGTTCTGGAATCTGCAACTGCATACAAAATACAATGCAGCATACAGTGCTTGTCATAGGAGTTTTCTAAAGTTATAAAATATATTTCTACTTTAATTTTTGAACTGTGTAGTCATATCTCCGATAGTTCTAGAACCTGCAACTAAGTGCAACTGCATACAAAATACAATGCAGCATACAGTGCTTGTCATAGGAGATGTCTAAAGTTATAAAATATATTTCTACTTTATTTTTTGAACTGTGTAGTCATATCTCCGATAGTTCTAGAACCTGCAACTAAGTGCAACTGCATACAAAATACAATGCAGCATACAGTGCTTGTCATAGGAGTTTTCTAAAGTTATAAAATATATTTCTACTTTATTTTTTGAACTGTGTAGTCATATCTCCGATAGTTCTAGAACCTGCAACTAAGTGCAACTGCATACAAAATACAATGCAGCATACAGTGCTTGTCATAGAAGTTTTCTTAAGTTAAAAATATATTTCTACTTTATTTTTGGAACTTTTAGGAAGCGATATGTACCTTATTTTTACCCTCTTCGAGAGTTGAAAACAATGCCACTATTTCCACAACGTCTTACCTGCATTTGCATACTGCATACACCACGGATGCCACAAGTAGGAGGATCACAATGATAAAGATTATAATTATCTGCAATAAAAATATACATGTATTGTAACCGAATGTCATTCTTGAGAACCAGGGTGTGTCAACCAAGCTCTCCAACAACTACAGAGGGAATCCCTACGATCATGAAGAGAGGCCTCCGGAGTTTCCCTTTTTACAAAAAAACAAAACAGTAAAGATCTGCACTTTTAACCCATACCGTTTCTGTAACTTAAGTGAGGAATTAAATCGACGATTCTGTTGTCTTCTGAGCTATTTTTTCGCAAACATGTATATTTTGTAAAACATATTAGATACTGATACACGTTTTTGGGGATTCTGCCTACAACGCGTGAAATAAGGAAAAAAGAAAAATCGTACCTTCGACATTCCGAAATTTTGTTACTGAAACAACCGTTTTAGTAACCAACGTAATCAAGTGGATCACCAGTGTTAGCTCAAGTACAAAAAATTTATCCCGTGCCAGGACTATAGTCCTGCGAATGTCTTATTCTTTTGCCTGTGCGATTACAACATGGGAGAATTTTCTAAGCTTCTTACACTTAGATACCTATTTCAATAGATTCCTTGGTATTTTAGCATTCTTTTCGTGTAGTTGAATCCACAAATGTCTGGGTTTATCGGCAGAACAAAGAAATTTTCGATTTTGATCGCAATATTTGCATGTAATATTGAACTTAATTCGACCCTCAAATTCTTCCATTTTTTGGTACATCCAGGCCACTTCCGGATAGTCAAACGGGGAATCCCCTTTTAAATCCAACCGCCATCTTGGAAAGTGATGGAATAACTCTCGATGAAAAAGAAAAATGTTCACATTCTGCCGATATACCCAAACAATTGTGGATTCAACTACATGAAAAAAATGCTAAAATATCCAGGAATCTATTGAAGTAGGTATCTTAAGTGTAAGGGGCGCAGATAATTCTCCCAAGTTGTAATCGTACAGGCAAAAGAATGCGCTCGTTACGGAACTATAGTCATGGTACGGGATCACAAAAAGTAATTCAATAGATCAGTCCAATATCAAAATTTTAGCACTGCTGTAAACAGGGGATTTATAGGACTTTTTTGTTGGTAAGTACTCATAAACAGGTGAATATGTGGTAAAACTCATTATGCAAAAAAGTCCAGAGTGTCTTGATTTTGCTCTCCTATGGTATAGGACCTCGGCTCTTTCATAAAAACTTACCCAGTAATTTTCCTGGATGAAACTCAAAAAAGTATCAGCCATTTGCAGGTCGTTTTACTGTTGCAGTGTGTAGTCTATGTTTGAAAGATGAAGTCTAAAACATATTTCAATAGCACATAATACATTAGACATATCTATTGTTGCAATCTATACGTGTTTTCAACAATTAACTCAACTTTTAATATTTTAATAAATTGAAAAGTTTTTCCATTTTGTTTATAATCATGTGACAGAAGTATCCGTGAGAAAATAATTTTTGCGCAAAATACAATGAACGAAATCGCTTTTAATTACCGGGAGAAAACAAATACCAATACATGTACACTGTACAGTCATCCATTATCTACCTATCTATCTAACACAATGATATCATTAATCTAGCCAATATATCATAGTTTCTTTGATGTGCTAAAATGTGGCTACCCTGCGCGCAGAGTCTAGTTAAACTACACTCTGCCTAGTAGAGACCATATTACAGTTTAGCAGCCCCGCCCCCATGACGGGTACCGAATGTGTGCTAATTATATATGCGCATGTTATTGGTCAATTCTGGGCTCAACGATGACGTCAGAAGGAATGACCATATATAGAACGTCGGTCAAATTTGGCCGACGAACACTGATTGGCGCGGTGAGTTCACAGGTTTATTTTAGTTTGAAAGAGTGAAGACAAAGCTCTCTTTTAAGAAGTGAAGTCAAACGAATGCAAAGGGTAAAATGTGGCAGGGTTTATCGGAAAGGTCTATTATTGGTCCCCAGACTATGCTTGAAAAGTGACATCATTACAAAAGAACTTGTCACATTCAAGTTGTCAGCCAACCCATAACAATTCAAACTATATAAAAGTTATCTATGACACATGCTTGTATTTTTTCATTCTATTACACTTTGGTACACTGATGGATTTATTTTGCGAAAAAAACAATCTCACAAAAATGTGAGACCCTATCTGTTGCAAGACTAACGCCTGGCGTAACCGTCACCATGTTATTCAGTGTTTTTTAAGTAGCGCAAGGATCCTGCCATGACCGTGGTAATGTTATCGTGAAAGCCTGGTATAACCGCGACTGCTGTATTATATTGCAATGCGTGCCATGACCGTGACAATGTAATATAGTTCTGCAAGGCTTGGTATGACCGTAACAATGTAATATAGTACTGCAAAGCCTGGCATGACCGTGACAATGTAATATAGTATTGCAAGTTCAGGTATGAGAGTGGTAATGTAGAAATTTACGATTAGGACTGCTATAACCGTGACAATGTGTATTGCAAAGCCTGGCATGACCATGGCAATGTAATATAGTATTGCAAGGCTTGGTATGACCGCCATGGCAATGTGATATAGTATTCCAAGTTCGGGTATGAGAGTGGTGATGTAGAAATTTATGATTGCTATAATTGACCGTGACAATGTGTATTTGAAAACCTGGCATGACCATGACAATGTATTATGGGATCGCAAAGCCTGGTATGACCGTGACAATGTAATATAGTATTGCAAGGCCAGGTATGAGGGTGGTAATGTAGAGATTTAGGCTTAGTTCTACTATGACCGTTATAATGTATTGCAATGACTAGTAACTATGTATGACATTAATGCCAGGAATATCCTTAACAATTTTAAGTGATCCTCATTACAATTAAACAGATTAATACTATGATCATGGTGTTTATCTACCTTAATCATGTCAAAATCAAAATTACTACTATACATTAATATTCACATTCGCTTATAAACCACAATAAAGGCTACGGTCGCGCCAGGCTTCCACGATAACACTTCCAGGGTCATGACAGGCCTTGCAATAGAATACAGCATTGTGACGGTTATACCAGCCTGTCACGGTTATACCAGGCTTACACGATAACACTACCACGGTCATGGCAGGATCCTTGCGCTACTTAAAAAACACTGATTAACATGGTGACGGTTGTGGCAGGCGTAAGTCTTGCAATAGATAGCATGTGAAAAATGTTTGCACAATGTTGAGTATTATTGATGGGCATTTTGACACTGACATATTTTGTGGTTTACAGTGCTTCATTCTGAAATATTTGTGGTCACTTCAAGTTTCTGATGGCCATGTACCTTGCTGAACCAACAAGATATGTTTTGACATCTCTTAGAAACAGACTGAAATGAATACATCCCCCACTCCTCTCCAAACTTAGACTAACTGGTACAATATCAATGCACAATCATTTGTCACAATCACAAACCCAGTATTATTTGAGTATTATGATAGACTGTTCAATAAAATACTATTTTCTCCATATAGTCTCATTGTGTCTTTTGTTGTTACAGAATAAGTTTATTTCTAATGTATTGGCATTTGTACCATTCATTAGAACATTGCCCATCTAAATTGAACATGCCAGTCACAAACTGCAGATAAATGTTGCAGAAGCTGAGCTGTGGTAATTGGTTACTCTATGCTCCCTACATACATCATAATAATTTTCTCAATACACTCAAACATGGCGATTTTTGATCGGCATCAGTTTTAAATCTCTCCAGCATTTTATCGAATTTCTTCACATATATAAGTCTATTTGTGCGTAACATGACAGGATATTATTTCAGAGACGTTTAGAAAGGTATGTGTTTTGCTTATTTTGAACGAAATGGAGCAGTTTAGATGCAGACATCTTGTAAGATCAGTCAGTGGTTTCAGCTATTTTTTTCAGACTGCAGCTGATATCTAGATTAGCCTTGCCTAGAATTTTAGAAAATAAATGTATATTGCATGTAACTTACATTTATTTCTTTGCATTAGTGATTTGTCTTTATGAAATGATTAGCACGAATGAAGCAGATGCACTTGTAAATAAACCATTCCTTGGCTGCTGTTGCAATACAAACCCGCAACCATTGACAGATGTCATTTTGGATTTTCCCAACAATTCTCGAAATCGTTGTTCCCTCTTCAAAAGAGGAGACGCGAAAATCTTTCCTTATAAGGTCAAAATATTTCCCATGATGCAGTTCGCGGAGGAACAAATTTATACTTCCTTGTTTTCCCTCATAGGTTTAACATGGGGATTTTCACACCTATTTTTCAAACGATATATTCATTCATATTCCCATACGAGAGTACAGAAAAAATTATTAGAAACGATTGATCTCTTATTAAACTTAATATAACAGCTACTTTTTTCATTGTATTGATTCATAGCGTGGTGAAAACGACGATTGAAAAGTGAGAAAATATTCCGGAAGAGATAGTCACGTGATCAGTTGACTAGTCGCCATACTGGAAAAAACAATTCCATTCGACTTTCAATACTTTCATGCCAATCTTACCGCACTACAAACTGCAACATCGATGCAACAACTGAATAAAAGTATTCATCTTCAAATTACATTATAGAGTTACGTTGAAAACCCACAAACAACTGAGCAGTAGACCAAAGAAGACGCGTCGCTATTATCTAGGTCAATCTATTCAGTGGTCCGAAAGCAAATCTATAGTACTCGTTTCCGAATTTTGTTGTTCATTGTACAATCTTTTATTGATTTAACTCGGTATACTGACTATTAAAGCAATGACAAAGAAGAATACTTCCGATGGTGTCATTGTTTTATTTAGCGTGCGGGTGTAAAAACAAAATTGCGTAATAAGTTTGATTTAGAACTTTCGGGTCACGCAAATAGCTACGCGAAATGCATAGTGGGAAGATATTGACCAATCAAATTTTGTCCTTTTTGAGTGCTTTTTCTGAACATATTTGCGAACGTTCTGATTCAAAGAGCGAACCGCGAAAGGGAGAATTGCGATATTATCTGAAATTATTAAAACAATTTGTTAATTCAATAATCTGTATATAAAATTAACTTTTCGTAAACATGATCTTTTGGATTTCATGTGATTGGGGACTTAGAAAGTTTACAAGAAAAATCCTTCTGAGGTTTTCTATCGATATTCAGTGATTTTTAAATATAGATCTAAAATGTGATTTTAGAGAGAAAATGTTCGACATAGTTTTCTTAAAACAATTTCATGTGCTTATTGCCAGAAATCTACGGGTGCATGTTACCTGAAACTGGTACTATGGGGCATGTAACATGTTACAGTATTTAGGTTCATATTTGGGAATTAATTTTAACTTTGCTCATCTGTCCATTGGTGTCTTGTCTATAGCCAGCCCACGCTCATATCTAATAATATAATATTTAATCTCAAATCAATAATTAATTTATTGTTCAGAATTACCAGGAGTTTACATTTGTGAAAAACAACTTACGCAGGTATTATAGATTATTTCCAAAAATTTCTCATACTCACTTACCAGTTCGATTTTCAATCAAACCCCATGTATTGGTTATCTAAAATGAAAATTTCCATGAACACTTGTTAAACTGAATCAAGAAAGGAGTTGAGTTTCTAGCTCTATAGATCATCTATGTTAAGCATCCTTTTTTCCAATTCCGAGTTTATAAATTGATTGATACTATTCAACTGGCCTCGCTCAGAATCAAGATTATTCGCACTTTCCTTTGTAGCAATATGTTTGAATTATGCTCTCTTAGTTTTGATAACAAATAATAGGTATTTACTCTTTATTTATAACATTTAAAACTAAGATAATACTACCATGCTATTGATAAGGCTATATTAATGTTTATAGAAATCTATATACAGAGTGCTGGTTTGGTGGTAACCCTGTACCTTTTACTTGTCCAAAAGAAAGCTTTTATCCACATTTGTTAATGTACTGAACATAGGCGACCATTGGAGTAGTTCCCCTGTAGCTAGTTTGCCAAAAAGAAAAGAACAAAAAGAATTATGAAAGGCAAAAAGATACAGAATAAGTTTACAATTTTCTGAAAAGTTGCTGTTCTCAGATTCTACCTTATTTCAGTTTAATTCAATATAAATGCTAATTTTCTATTCAGCATAATATTACAAAAAATGTGAGAAGTGCATGTATATAAATATAAATAGTATGCAAAACCTAGAACTATTTTTAAATAATCTGTCCAGTGTTTAAAATCAAATATGCATGTAATATATAAGGCTATGTAGCTTTCACCATTTCTGTGTTTGAAAGATATCTCAGGCAAATAAAGTTCATTGACAGTTTTGACACGATATGTTAAAATTTAATCAGTTGCAACTATTGTAAAAAAGCACATGTAGTTCTTAAAGGCAATGAGCCAAAATAATTTTGGTAATATATTAAATGTTAAGTGCAAGTTTTTTTGAACTACATGTATACATGTATTAACATTTGAACAATTTTAAACAACATGCTCACTTAGAAAAAAGGTACCTCCAATGAAAAATAACCCGTTACTAAATCTTTATTTTGTTTCATATCATGATTAAAATTATTCTTAATTGGTATTTGAGATATAGAGCTCAGCGAAGAAATATTCATGTTCCTAGCTGTACTCATGAGACTTGCTATAGAAATAAATTTGTAGCATCTCGAGTAAAAAAAACAATATTTTTGAAATATTGAAAATTTATCTGATCACTTGAATTTCTTCATGTTATATATTTGGCAAGTGAACATTAATCATTTGTTGTAGAAATCATTTGTAACTTGACTTGACCAAAATTAAGAGAGTCGCAGTTATGACATTTGCTAGAATAGTATAAGATAAACCCTTTGCATCAGATCAAGTTGTTCTATTGATATTTCTAATTCAGTTATAGATCTACAATTATGAGTGAAACTATTATAATTTAGCCCATCTGTCAGCTTATCTCTTGTTTATAAAATGCTATTTTACTTAACATAAAACAATGCTTATGTGCTTGTTGGAACTTAAATCAATAGAATTAGAAGCCCCTCAAGTAATCAAGGATTGTTACAGTTTTGATACATTATTTCAAAAATGTACATGTAGTTAAGTACAATATGTAGCAAGTTATAGTTACACTATAGCAAGTACATGTACAAGTGTAATTTTTTATGTTTATTTTATTTTAGTTATATTGTACATGTATTTAAATAATGCACTGATTTAACAAATATACATATCATTTATGAATATTTTCATATTTTCTATTTTTCCAGGAAAAATTAGATAGGTCAGTAAAGGCTGATTTTGAAGACCAAAGATGGCATCTGTTGCAGCATGGTTGCCCTTTGCCAGGGCAGCGGCTATTGGATGGGTACCTGTAGCCCAGAATCCAATGCCCCCACCGCCTGTGCGCCGTGAGAATCATGATGGAGCCGACGAAAAACTTCGGATCAATGTGAGTGGACGTTCTTTTGAAACTTGGAGGAACACTTTGGAAAAATACCCAGACACACTTCTAGGTTCCAATGAAAAAGAATTCTTCTTTGATGAAGACAGTAAAGAATACTTCTTTGATCGTGATCCTGATATTTTCCGACATATTCTCACTTATTTCCGCACAGGAAAACTGCATTATCCAAAGCATGAATGCATCAGTGCATATGACGAAGAGTTGGCATTTTTTGGAGTGATGCCCGATATAATAGGAGATTGTTGCTATGAGGATTATAAGGACAGAAAACGGGAGAACCAAGAAAGGCTGCTCGATGACAAAGATTCGGAAGATGGAGATAATATTCCACTTACAAATTTTCGAGAGAAAATGTGGCGCGCATTCGAAAATCCTCACACCAGCACTATGGCACTGGTATTTTATTACGTTACTGGATTTTTTATCGCAATATCAGTCATGGCAAATGTCATTGAGACAGTTCAATGTGGAGTGATTCCTGGAACAAATGAAAATCCTCCATGTGGGGATCGCTATGAAATAGTGTTTTTCTGCTTAGACACAGCTTGCGTGATGATCTTTACAACTGAATACTGGTTGCGGTTATACGCAGCCCCGGACCGCTGTAAGTTTATGCGGAGTGTCATGAGTGTGATTGATGTAGTGGCTATCCTGCCTTACTACATCGGACTGGGTATCACGGACAATGATGACGTCAGTGGAGCTTTTGTCACACTAAGAGTCTTCAGAGTTTTTAGGATTTTTAAGTTCTCGCGGCATTCTCAAGGATTACGTATTTTGGGATATACCTTGAAAAGTTGTGCCAGTGAGTTGGGATTTCTCCTGTTTTCGCTAACCATGGCAATCATTATCTTTGCCACGGTGATGTTTTATGCAGAGAAGAATGTTGAAAACACAAAGTTCACGAGTATACCCGCTGCATTCTGGTATACCATCGTAACCATGACAACTCTAGGGTAAGTACAACAATACTTTTTAGAATGCCATGTTATTCAATTGAAAAACTAAAACATGTTCTCTGACTTATGAATTTTATAAATAGAATCCAGAACTTCACAGGCCTTGCAAGTTTATTATGTTCTTGTTTGAAAGAAAGCACTTTACAGATCAATAATAATTGTATTCCAAAATACCATTAATGTGATTTGATTAATTTGTATTGCTGAAACTATCTGAAAAAATTCTGATTAACTTGTTCTATTTATGTTTTGTAAATTATCTATAATCGATCCGTTCACAGCTTCATATATAGATTATGAAACAGTTGTTCATTTAATATATCTTTGTATGTATTTCAGCATTCATTGTTAACCTTTCAGATATTTTTTAACCTTGCTTCTTTTGCAGGAATTGTTTACTTCATAAATGTAATAATGATAGTCTTTTATGGAATATAGATATTTTTATGCATAACAGTTTTCAGTATTGCAGGAACTTGCTATTGCTATTTTTCATCAATCTCATTTTAAAAATTAATTACAATATATGTTGTATATTTGAATTAGGATTTATAATGATAGTCTTGCATCAAGCCCCTGGTCTTCCAAATTGTCTGTATGCTGACTTTGTGTTAGAGGACCAGATTAGATAGGTATAATGCAGGGCTTGATGTAAGAGTATTGAGTCTATAAAAGTATGTGTTGTGATTATATGTTGTGAACTGTATGTCATACAAATTTATATATTAGAAAGTATGTTTTTGAGACCTTGGCTGTTCTCCACGACTGCATGCATAAGAATTTAGCCATTTTTTATTAAATTTGTAAATTTCTTGATATTTACTTCTGTCATGCTATTTAAGATTGCATCACCAGAGTTGATATTTAAAGTCATTATGCCACTTATAATATCTTTATTGCATGTTAGTAAGATGATATTATATACATGTACATGCAAGTAAGATGTTTTTCGAGAAAGTAAAAATACAGCTACTCCGAATATTCAGCTGTTCCAAATATATAGCTATTTCAAATATACAGCTATTCTAAGTGAATAGCTGTTCCAAATATATAACTGTTCCAACCTAATAAGAACAGCTGTTTAAGATCTACATATGTTCCAAAAATGCTGCTTTAACTGTATAATATATAAAGTTGCCACTTGTGCTAAAATATTTGCTACTTGTCTATTTTGCCACCTGTGCATATAAAAATATGACTACTTGTGCCATTAAGTAAGGACTTTATTTATTTTACAACTTACATGTTATTTAGTAGTCCAAGGGTTTCATTTATTTGTCCATTTATACAATTTTTACAATCTAAATCTGCAATACTTGTATATCTATCATCCATTACATGCAAGTGAAGTATGGGTCATTCATCATACAATAATTATGTTTTGTTCTCAGGTATTTATATATTTGAAGTAAATGTATTCAGCCGTTTTGTTGCTTTCCTCACCTTAAATGTATTAGGGTTAATATTTGATTGACATTACAGGTGGTTTCTTTGAATAAATCATTGAAACTAATGTGGTTATTATCATCTTCATTTATTAAGGGTTTCACTGCCTCTATCTGAAGAAGGTTGCTTGAAATAATGTGCATGTATATACAAATGTACATGTATATTGTATATACATATACAATATATTCTGAGAACAGCTTGGTTATAATTTGATGATAGAATGGAAGATAAGAAATGAATCTGAAAAATAGATAAGATCAATTTACCTTTACCAGGGTTCCCAACTCTAAAAACTAAATATTCAAATGGATCGTGGGAATTTTTACACTGGCACATTCATCAAAACAAAACAGGCATTTTGGTCAAAATAACAGGTGATATGGATTTCCTTCTGATGAAAACTCTGCTACATATGGTTTCCAATAACAGTATAACAGCATAGTCATGCAAAATATTCAATTTTATCTGATGCAAGCAATGGATTTATTCAGGCACCTTTTACTTCCATTATAACTTGATCATAAAATGCTTGTAAATACTGATATTGTAATAGCATTTCTTTTTGGTATATACTTACATGTACAGTAATATGTAACACACATTCCTCCATTCAAAATGCATAATCTAGATTAGGGACTCATTGAACAGATTAAGGTAATACTATTTTTATATGTTTATGATAATAATAGCTCCAAATCTTATCATATTTCATGATTTTCATCGCATATGTTACACCAGAAAAAATAGCAGTATTTCTGGTTGCTGGGCAAATGAAAAAAATTCAAGGGTAGAAAAGAGATGATCTGGCTGAGGCCCTGCTAATGTATATTACGAGTAATGCTTTCAAGTAACAAATCAAATTGCATTGAATTGCTTACACCTTTTATAATAATTTGATTTGATTTCACTTAAAAGAGAGCTTCATTTTCACTAATTTACCAGGCTCTGACCTTCAGGAAACAGTGAAACCTGTAAAGTGGAACAACTCAAGAAGTAGAACACCTCCGTTAGTTGAACATTTTTTGAAGTCCCAAGACTAATTGACTTTGTGTTCAATAAACCTTTATAAGTGGAACAACTCCCAACTGGAACACTATTTAGAAGTATTAAAGGTGTTCGACTGAAACAGGTTTTACTGTCCATGTATATTGCTATGTAATTTACAAACAAAGCAATAAATACTAAACTATATTTATGATAAGGTATCAACCCATCCTAAAGCATCAGATAAACAACAAAAAAAGGTTTTACAACTCAGGCAGTATTCATTATTTTTTATAAAAAGAGTGATAAATTTTGAAAGCCAGAGAAAAAATTTGGTATTTCCAGAAACATTTTTCCTGACCTTGAAAAACACCTTAATACGTTCATGTACAAGACTGCATAATTTTTCATGCGTTAAAAATGCAAAAGTTGAATGATTGCAGCTTTATGAATTATACAGTGTACCTGCACATGTATATATATATTTAAAAGCTTTAATCCATTTCTGAACAGTGAACAATTATCACAATATATCAGACAGTTGGATGAAATCTAGTACATTTATAGTATATATAAATCAGTGATGTTACATAACACAATTCATGTGAAATATGTTAAACATGGCTTAATAATAACTTGTGCTGGTTAATATAATCCATTTACATTTCCAGTATGTTAAGGACGCCAAACCACACTAGATCATATTCTACTTATAACGATTTTTGCTTTTATGACCGGGCTTTCTTTATATTAAATGTACACAATAGTGTGATGTTTTAATTTCTATCTTTTATTTATTTCACTTGTTTTCACTTCTAATCTACTGCTAAATCTAGTTATGTCTTTTTGAAGTCTAGGCCGAAAGTGACCCAAATCTCACATGGCATATAGTATATTCTTCAAAACCAGACATCACATGATCACTTCAAATCTGTTATGTAAAAAGTTTAACAAAAGGAAGACTGCTTCAAATCCTAATTAGAATCCAAGATATAGAAATGTAAATTAAATGTAAATTAAAGAAACATTTGTAAGTCTGAAGATGCTCTGAACAATTGTAATGATTGCATATTTAATGTGAGAAACTGACCAGAGATATCCCAGGTGTACTACATGACCCGGGTTTATCTAAATGCTTTTTGTATCATGTTTCCATTAATTAATTTACAAAGTAAAAACAAAGTAAAAGTATAAGATATTAATTATAAAATACAACATGAAAATCACTCCGTCACATTTGCTTCTCCTCCAAAGAATGCGTCCCGCATTCTAAATGAAAATCACTCCGTTTAATCAGTCCAAGTTAAAAATATATAACCTGTAATGTTAAATTCTATCAAAGTATAAAATACGTAAAATGTTATATGAACGTCCAACGTTGATGTCATCGCCCAATGTTGATGTCATTGCCTGGAGATGAGGAGTGTCATATTGTCCTTCCTTCCTGAAGTAAAGTCACATTGTTTATAATATTAATTGTTGCACTATCAGAGTTAATATAATTCAGCATCATTTTCATTAATCAAGAAATTCATCATATTAGAAGATTAATAACTCCTCCATAAATTTTTGAGGCCATAAGTCTACCAACTTTCAAATTGTCTGCTAGCAATTCTTATTTTAAGCAATTTAGTGTTCAGAGTGGTCGCATATATATATATATATTTTTAAGCACCTATTTGTATACTCTACTTTACAATTTACATACTGTTTATCTAACTAAAATCATCATAAACTACCATAATAATTATTAAACTCAATAAAACAATTATAAATAGGACAATTTCTTTGTGAAAATACCCAAACTGTAATTAACAACCAACAAAGGTAATTGATCACTCATTATGCACCAGCACAGAATTTCACGTGATGATTCTGTTGCCAGTAAAAACTTCAACTTGGCACAATCCAATCCTGTATTTTCTTGAGTTAAAAATTACAATCATATGTAAAGGAGAAAAAAAATCTTTTATGGCCTATTATAACCATATCTAGTTAAAAGTAACTTGCACTAAATCCTACCTTTCTACTAAGTTTTGTTTATAAACACTGTTAATGATGCACATCATAATTGTTTGTGCAAACTTTATCTGTTCCATAATGCTTTGGTATATGACCTTTGTCTGGCACATTTAAATAATAATGAGAACTCACATTGATGAAGTATAAGAGAAGTAAGGCAAATAATCCCTTGCAATTGAACTTCTTAAACAATGTAAACTGACTGTAGCAGTCCATGAATTCAATTTAAGTTGTACATAGATATTTAATTTAGGATTAATTAATTATATATTTTGAACAATTAAGATTATTATAAGTTGTCATTCTCAAATTAACTGGTCCCAATTAGTGTCTAGCTCCCAGGAAGTAGTTTGCACCCAGTAACTATATTTACCAGAAGGCACTATACTAAATATTAGTAAATAATCCTAACACCTTATTAGTTTACAGGTTAAGACATCTAAAAATATTAGCAGGGTTGGCCATGCAATATTGACACTTTTATTTTGGCTCACTATATCTTATCCTTTTTCCTTAGGATTTCACTTGAACTACATTTCTTT